CGGCACTGGCATGTTCCTCCTCTGAATGGCCTCACTCAGGCTTCCTGGGTTGTCTGGCCAGCGCCTGTGGCAGAACCTCATCCCAATAGCTTTCAGGCTTGCATCTCAGCATGAGCAATGGGCCAAAAACTGGAGCAGAGCAGTAAAATCCATCCAACTCAGAAGACAGGTAAAAGCAACCAGAGGCTTTTTGAACATGTGAAAGTTGTAGCATATACAACATCCAGCAAAGAGTTTAACAGTTAAACCACAGTGAGAAGCCGTCTGCTCTTGCTCTGAGCCTGCAGGCTGCTGGCATTGCTTGGGGCTGGCTGCTGTGAGCCCCCCCGTTTCTGCGGCAGGGACCCAGAGCTGTGTGCAGGACTCAGGACAGGCCCAGCCAGGAGCTGTGCAGCAGAACTGCCCATCCCAACATCTGCCCAAGTGGGAACAGATACCACAGAGACCACATGTCAGATGGGGCTTCCTCTTCCCTTCACTGCACATTGAGTGTCAGCTTCCATGGTGTCATTCTCATCTGCTGCTTGGCTTGCCATCTCTGCCCAGGTTTTATTTGTCTGTCAGCTGATAGACATTGGAGGCAAATGATTTCTCTCCCTTTCAGGTGGCACCTGGGCTTCAAATCATCATTTCTCTGTTGTGGTGTCCTGCGGAGCTGGAGACTTCCTGAAAGCATTCCATCTCTCCTTCTGCTCCTCTCACCACCAGCCCTCCTCACCACTGATGTCAGTGGTTACAAGTCAAGTGGATGTTTTTAACCCTAACAGAGATGCTGCAGCATTAACAACAGCTGTAGCTTCCAAACTTCTGACCCAGCTTGGTTCAACAGCACTGTGCTATAATTCTTCACGCAGAGACCATTTTTCAAAGGTGAGGATTTCAATCAATATTTAAGCCAAGAATGTAAAAAAGGGTTTTAGTAGCTGAAGGGTGCGTTCACACAAGACAACGTATTTCAGATAAATGCTCCTCCCCACCACAGGAGCTAAAGGGAAGAGTGAAAAGAATATCCCCAAAGTACCACACTTTCAGATTTCATTTTTCTTCTGCAGTTTCAGTGAGCTCACACAGTTCCTCTTTTGCTTCTTCAAGAACTGTTATCAATAAAGGGACAGAAACATTAATAAAGCAGTAATGATCAGGCTGAACTTACCTTCTCTGGCTTCATAAACGTCAACATGGAAACCTCGTCTAGCAAAGAAACAGGCATTTAATGCACCCACCTACAAGAGAAGGATCAGGAACGGTGGATGAAAAGTTTCACTAGTAGCTATATCACAGATCACTACTGAGATGCATCAAGGGAAAGCAGCAGTCAGGGAACGCAGCTCAGCATATATATAGGAAGACCCTTTGATCAAGAACCTTAGAGGACTTCTTCCTGAAGAGAAGTCCTCTTTCACGCCAGATGTGCCTGCAGAGCCCCCAGGACAAGTGTCACCCATCAAAACTCATCATACAAAGTCATACCAAGTTCAGGGCTTGTTTACATGCAGTGATTAATTGCAGCTGGGCTAACCCCTTCAGGCAGAGACAACAGGAGCTGGTACAGGCAAGCTCCCTGCTCCTCTCCAGACTATACTTTCCTCAATAGAATTCAGGATGCTGCAGCATTCCCTTGGGAACACAGTGGGGGAAGCTAGACCTGTGCAAAAGCAAGATGTTACCTTAATAAGGACAGAACACATATGTCCTGCTTCTTATTTAAATGGATGGCTGTCTTTTTCTTGTTTAATTTCCATCATTAATTGCTGTCAGAACTACAGACTCTTATGTCATCACTTTTTTCCAGCAGCACAGGGACCAAGAAGCTAATGGCCAAAAAATCAAAAGAGAGATTTAGGTGCTGCAATGCTCCATGCTGTCCTTTAGAGTCAGACACTCTGCAAGTAGCAATGGAGGAAAACCATTCTCAGACAAAAGTGGTCAGAGGAAGGCATTTCCTCTTAGCCTGGTGTTTACCAAGTCGCAGTCCTCACAAATCATTTCATATTAGTGACTTGGTTAAAGCCAGAAACAGCTGAGGGGCAGGAGGATCTGACAGCCCAAATGAGGACTGTTATTTAGTGTACCTGGGCACCACTGCTTGACCTCCCAAATCCCTTCCTCTGAGAAAAGGACTCTCGGCCGCGGGATTTATTTGCGCACACTGTTAGAGGCAAGTGCCAACCACAGACATGCATTGCGTCTCTGGGGTATGTCAGCAGCAAAGCTTTCCCTTGAGGGAAAGAGCCGTTCTCCTCCTACGAAGTCCTAGCTGCTCAAACGAGCCTCACTGCCTCCCACAGTGGGAACTTAACCAACTCCTCCATAACACCCCATCATCTGAAGGAGGAATGATTTTAAGAAAAACATTCACCCCACATCCAAGCAATGCTTTTACAGCTCCAGCTCTCTGGCAAACTCAGTCACACAGCAGCCAAATTGCATTTCCTACCAGGCCACCGCCGACAATGGCGACCCTTTTCCCCTGTGGGTCACCGGGCTCCATCGCTGTGGCAGCTCCCAGGTCCCAGGTTCTAACTGCTGTGTCTCCACTCCCTGTCCTGCCGCACTGCCCTCACCAGTGGGGAGGAGAAGGGAAAGGATGGGAGTGGCTGAGTCACGCCTGCGTTCTTCTCCCCCAGTTCATATTAAAGTTTAACTCCCAACGCAGAGACTGTCGGTGAATCAGCCTGGCCGTGTGGCCAGCCACACTGAGCTTCAGGTAAAGAGATGTGAATATGGTGTTATTCAGTCAGGCCTTATTAAAAGGCCTTTTTTAAAAATTGTAAAGCAGTTCTGCAGTCTTCAAGGACCTCCTAAGGAAATGTGCACAGAGCAGGAGGAGAACTTGCATCTGCCAGGCTTTTGCTGGTGCTTCACTGGGCTGCAACTGCAGAGGCACCGGTGGGATGATGCGGAATAACTCCTGGAGCTTCACGGGCACTCTCCTGAGGGTGGGATGTGAACCACACTGCTTGCCCAGGGGTCTGATCCCATCCGCAAGGACATCTTTCGCCCAAGGAAGTTGTGTGTGGCTCAAGCGTTTTGGGGTGTGATGTTGAGCAGAGGGTCCATGCCTAATCTGCAGAAGCTTTCCAGGACTTGGATGAGGCTATGAGGAGATGTCTCTGCATGCACCATTTCACATGCCCATCCTTGGGTGGAAGTGCTCTGCTGAGCCAACACTGCATACAGTAAGCTTTTAGAAGGGAGGAGCCAATTACAGCCTACACACAATAATTAAACAGCAGACAGTGAAAACACATACATTAACATACACTAACTACCACTTACTGCTAACTCTGCAATGCACAGCCCAAAACAGCAGATATGTCTCAAAGGAGCAAGACCAAATCCCTGCACAAGCACAGAGCCATTCTCCATTGCATGCCCTAGTTCCCGGTGCAGCAAGGGCCAGCTGCTCCTGAGGAGACGGGGAGCAAGTGCCGCACCACAGTCCCAGCCTGCAGTACCACGCAAGGAGAGGACATGAAGGACAGGGTCAACAGGACTCACAAGCAGCCCCAGGCCCAAGTTTAAATGGGACTGCTGGCCTTGGGGAGGGCAGGGGTCCCAGGTGGGTCTGGTTGGGGTTGTTAAAGGCTACTAGTGCACGTGGGCCCTGCCACTGCATCCGAACGAGTCACCACTGAAGACCCTCCATTGGGTTTCTCTGATCTATGCAGGAGTGAATTGATCCACACTGTCTGATTGATTCACACACACAGAGCAAAGAAAACAGAGCAGAGAGGGCAAAGAGCAAGGTAAGTTTTACATAGTAAATAAATTATTCATTAATTCTTTTCAGAGCACAGAGAGCACACCATTAGCTTCCAGCAGTGACAGTTATTATTTGGAAATATCACTCACAGCACCCTTTGCATGCTTGTCCAGTAGGCTTTACAGTTTACTCCACCACCCTGGCTCACCAATTTGATAGGAGCACTTTAAGGTATACCAATTAATTCATGGACTCTTGTGGATAACACAGCATACAGTCGTGTAACTAAAGTTGGTCTCATAATATTGTTTTCTGCACAAAAAGCCTCAGCCACAGTCATGTACTTTGCTCTAGAGGCAGAAGGCACAGACACGTGGGGAAGCACCCAACCCATTGGTGAGCAGCGCTATGTGGTACGGTATATAGGCCACAGATTGAAAGTTTTTTCTTCCAAGATAATACACATCAGCTTCTTGCTGCCAAACCTATCTCCTTAGCTGCTGACCATAGTTCTTGGCAAACCAGACTAAACTTTGCCTATCAGGGACTATCTACACCTAGTGCGATATCTTTTCTTCTGGGTAACCATTCCAAACAAAATTTAGGTCCCTGAGTTATCTTCATCAGATTCACTCACAAACTGCACCAGGCAAAACCAACGTAAAGATGTTCTCCACTTTAAAAACAGGAGAAGGTAGGAAGACATTGAGAAAATACTACTAATTCATTGTTTATCTTTCTGTATTAAACACCACCAGGCTGCTGAGAGCATGAAAAAGTGTTGCTTGATTAAAACTCTGAGCAAGCCTTCCGAGGAGTCCTAAGTGAAAACAAAAAGAACAGGATAGCATGGGCTCGGATTAAAGCCTGCCCTCTGAAAATTAGCAGGAAAACTAAAGAAAGGAAAAGTGTTTGATTTATGTGCTGAAGAAAAAGACATGCCAATAACCAAGGAAGAACCTCAGGATTTATTTTTTTTTAATTAAGTCTAAACCCTAATTATATGAGGGAAAGCTTGAGAAATAATGAAACGAATATACACAAGTCCAGGCTGCTTAAATTACCTTTCAACAGCGCTTTGTGAAGAAAACCTTGGGTACCTTTGTAAATGTGAGATTTGGGAGAGACTGAGAGCCAGAGCCCTCCTGGGGCAGAAAACACTGACTGCAGTTAGCTGGGGGTAGGCATTGCACTTCAACGTTCAAACCCCATTACTGCAGGAGCAGATTTCTTTCTGTTCTTCTCCACTGAGAATTATTTATCCAAACAGTGTGTAAAGCCAGCTCACACAGGTAGGGCAGAGTGCTGGTCTTCAGGAAAATCCAATGCTAGGGTTTTTCTCTGCTATGCAGGTAACTTGCATTTGGATTGTTCCTGCTCACCTTTAGTTCCCTGGATAGGTAATTGCTGTAGGACAAGTATATCTGTAAGGGAGTAAACCCAAAAACGCTGGGGGAGGAACACTTCAGGCTGATAAACCCTTATTCAGGCATCCTGGGTTAGTCCCCAGGACAGCAGCAGGCCCCTTTGCAAGGGACATTTCCTCCTTTTGCACATGAAGGGGACTCTTAGCCCTGGAGCTGGGTCATACTCATTTGCAAGGGCTCAGATAACACTGGTGTTAAGATTATTTTATGCCCAGGGGCTGCTGTGGGCTGCCAGGCCTGCAAGACACTTTGGGATGGGTTTTCTTGATTCTGTGAAGAGACAGCAAAAGTGGCGATTGCTTGTGGCTGGTCTGGCCTTGGAGGATGAGAGGAAACAACTGAACTAGCAGAAATGGGTGAGCAGACAACAGGTGCATGGTAAGTTTGTTCTGAACATCTGCCGTCTTTCTCCTGCTCACTTCTTGTACCAACAACATGCAGTCTTACAGACATTAGGTTGACAATCAGACAGATCATTTAGGAACTGTTCAAATACAGGCTGACCTCAGCAATGCTACAGTCCATTTGTAGAGGAACACGTACTGTCAGTATGTGGGCCACCTGCAACAAGAAAAATGGCTTTATTGTGTTTGGTAATAGCCAAAAGTGCATGCTTGCTGCAGCTGCAGAAGGACAGCATAGATCTGTCAGATCTCATAATTCATGGTGGACAGTAGCTAAAGAAAAGGAAAAAGACAGCTTAAAAGCCAATTCTGGAAGGAGCCAAGAGATCTTTACCGGTACAGATTACAAACCCATGTAAAAGTGAAAGGGGTAGAAATGTTTATCCTTTATAATCCCAATAGGTAAATAATCTCTTCAGGAATTCAAACCCCATGGTAAAGAGGGCCATAGAGATATCCCTGCCAGCAGGTCGCCCATGCCTGAGGATGCAGCTGCCTCCATCCTGTCCTTATGTTCACTAAGGCTTTGAAAGTGCCATAGCACAAAAATAAAAGCTGTGTTGTGACTGATGCAACAGTGAGTCCCCATTCGCCAAATCCCCAGCTACTGCACCACACTCTAGCAATGTGCATTTCTTTACCAGCCTCAGCACATAAGAACTTTCCAGCACCGCTGCTTCCATGCCTGCTTTCTTGCTATCCACTTCTGATGTACTCAGCAAGACCACTGCGCTCTCTTGGCTCAGATCCCTGCCCAAGGGCCCTCCTGCCACAGGCATTTGCATGAGCAGACTAGTTCAAACCCTAGTCCCAGGTGTGATCTGCTCACTCCTAGAAAGCCAACCAGGACAAGCTCAGAGACAGGAGGGAAGGCACAGGCAAGTGAGCCCCTGGAGGAGCTGGCTGCTGACCTCTGCTGAGGGCTCTACAGACCTGGGTGCAGCCTGGGGAGAAGTCCACCCATTTATGCACTTGAAAAAACACCCAAGCTGCAAGCAGAGGCTTATCGCAAAAGCTCAGCTTTATTTCTGAGTACTGCCCTCCCTTTGTACCATTTTTCTTAGCAAGCAGTGGTGGGTTTTTTTCCAGGAATTTCTGATTAGCAAATGTCACAGCAGCATTTTAAGAATATAAATCCTACTGGGAACCTTAGCCTGAATGTAAACCACATGCAGCCCTTATTTAGCAGGTGTCTGCTGCGTTCACGGGGTGACCCAAAACCCAGGGTAACAGCCACTGCAGAGCAGAGCCATACAGCATTGCTGGGTGGTGGCTCTGAGTGGCAGGGACGCAGCTTGGTGTCATCTGTAGACCTTGTCTGATCCTCATGTTATTCCACAGTAAGCAAGGGTTAATTACTCAAGTTATAAGATTGAGTGTATCAAATCATCACTTAACCCTCCTCAATCCCATTGTTGCATTAAAGACAATAACCAGGACTGGCCTTAGTGAAGAACCATGAAGGCATGGGATTGTCTGGCCTACCTTGCTACCCCACCCGTGCAGGAAGGAAGGGCTAAAAGTTTATGTCGTGGCTGCCTGTTTACTTACGTAGGCAGGGCTGGGAGCATGCTCCCAGTCCAGTGATGTGCCATGGACGTGGACGGGAAACCCCCATGGGGCATGGGGAGCACCCCTGTGGGAGGGTAGTGGTGGTGGTGGTGCACCGCAGATGGCCTGGACCTCTCTGCTTTCACAGCCAGGGGAGCAGCAAACTGCAGGTCCTTGTTGGAGAGAGACAAAGGGCGATTTGTGAAATCTGTGCCCCCACGGGAAGGGTCCCTGAGGGGCTGGGTTCCCACTTGGCCACCCCTTGGTAAAGGAAGTCCTTCAGCATGTGCCTGGAGATGGGTTTTGCAGGCTCCAGCATAGAAGGTCCAGCAAACACTGGGTGATACCATATTTCACCCGATATTCAGAGGCACTCTGAGCCCACTCCCCCCAGTTTATTCCACCGGTCTACGTCAGGTAAATACACAGTGACAGGATGGCCTGGGGAAGAAGGTAGGAACCACGGCGAGGACCCGCTCTTCCTCTGCCATCTTCCCTTAGACACAGAGTCCTCCACAGAAAGCTGCAGATGAGTCTGCTGGCTCTCCCAACACCACTGTCTGCCCCAGACATCTCCCCAAGGCAAGGGGGAAAGAGTATTCAAAACCAGAAACTGCAAAGTTTAAGGAAAATAGAAAAGGACTTCCATCCGAGGCAACGCTCGTCGCAGCTCTGACATGAGGAAGAGTCAGTGCTGCCTGCCATTTCCACAGCTAGTCCACCCTGGGACCATGGCTGACGAAGCCAGTGGGCCTCTCTGCACTGCGGGTGGCCTCCTGGGACATCAGTGCCCCGCAACGCGAGAGCTAGCAGCTGCTGTTGGAGGCTTTCTGTCTGGGGCAGACATTTGGTCCCGACAGGTGCAAAAACCCACCAGCTCCCTCCAGGCCATGGGATGGGCTACGGAGGAGGATTGCGTTTCCTACCCCTCTGTCAAACCCAGGGCTCTGGGCCTTTTAAGCCATCTGTTGCTTTTGCAAATAGCATGTAGCAAAGGTACGAGTGAGCTGGGCAAGGACTGCAGAAGTGTAGGAGTTACTTTCTCAGTACCTGACAACCTTAACATCTGAGAAAAAGAAAACAAATCTTTCTTACAGCACAGGGAAAAGACATAGCTAGCCTGAAAATGGCAGAGTAGGAAAAGTACAGCGTAAGTTTTTGCAACACTAGGACATCCTCTCCTCCCCAAAGATCAACTGCCCTTGCTTCTTAAGTAATAAATGCTACAGAGTAGAGGCTAGAAATACATTTTTCCAAAGCACTTAAGGACACTAAGGAGCTCTATCACCTTGTTAAAAATAGCTTAGGAATTGGGCATCTAAGGCTATGTTCAAAATTACCTACCTCTTATCAGGCACTGGACACGTTTTGGAAAAATCCCTATAGGGACCTACGCACCAAAATATCTTTAAGATCTGTCCTTTCAGAGCTCAGTAGCCATTCATTTTCAGTGAGACAGGAACTAGAGCAGTGGGGCTCCAAGTATGATCACAAAATCTCTTCAGCTCTAGCCCATTTGAAACTGTCAGGTCAAATTTTACCAATTGCAGGATTTGTAACACAAATATTGCCTTGCTGTTTGCAGCAAGTGGACCTGCAGCAGCAGATGCCCAGCATAGATGGCTTCTGTGCATAGGCTGTTAGTGGTTCAACTGTACAGACCAGATAATTTTCAGAGCTGGACTGAATCCAGTTTGCACTTCTGGAGGAGACATTCTTCCATGGGGTCCTGTCACAGTGCTCATCATGGCTAAAGAGGCAGGCTGTGCTCTGCTCAGTAACAGTCTTCTGGTGCAGTGTGTTTGAAGATGTGTACAGCTATGAAGCATCCCAGACTTCCTGCATGTTTTGTCCAGGCCCTGCACCCTCCCAAGGAGATCACCCATTGCCTCGTGTGAGCAAGGATGCCCTTCAGACTCCAGTGTTGTTACCTGCTGTGCATGCTGAAGCAGGGGAGAGCTGGCTCCAGCAGGCTGTGTGAACGCCATCGGTGGCAGAGCCTTCAGCATCATGTTCTGCATGATGAGCTGGTGCATCTGAGCATTCTGCATCAGCATCATCTCTACCATATCTGGGAAGAGGTCACCCCAAGGAAGAAAGCAAGAGCTTTATCAGCAACTGACAAGCAGCAGAGGAGTCTCAATAAGAAGTGCCCTCCAGCATACAGACTGGTCACTGCAACCAAGACAAAGCAGCTGAAAGGGACACGTGAAGAATATTAGCGTTATTTGCCTAGGCAGTGCAAAATTACTGTCTATGAATAAGACTATTCATACCAGCTTTTCTGTTTCTCCTCCCTTCTACAGGAAAGCTGCTGTTGAGCATCTTCTAGTTTCCCTACAAGCCCACCCCTCTGGCTATGCTGACTGGCAGGCTGGAGAAGGGCTGAGCACTAGAGCTTTCTCACTTACTCCGGCATGGACCTGTTCCTTACAGTGCTCTCCACTGCTTCAGCTCAAGATCATTGCTTTCCACGTGAGAGGTTTCCTCAACTTTACGTGATATTGCAGTGCCACCTTGAGAGTCCACTGCATGCGCATCAAATCTACTTACCATGATCTCTGGGTTCTAATCACAAAGGACCTGTGCAGCGGAACTACTCTGCTTGGGGAGGGAAGGAAGGAGGGAGAGGGGAAAAAAAAGAAGAAAAAACCAAAAATCAAGGCAACTCTCCTTTTTTTTTTTTTTTAAACTGGTCATACCAAAAGTAATTTACATGTATCAGCTTCAGAAAAGTCATGCATGAATTGGGACTGTTTTGTTTATGAAAATAAACTCTGATTTAAAAATTCAGACATATAGGTGAAGAAAAAGCTGAGAAATACTGCAATTTTGTGACTGAGGATTTCTCTGTGGGATGAAGAAATCTTTCGCTGAAGGTTGAGCCAAGGAAGTCATCCCAGGTTTTTGTTCATGTATTATTTCACAGTAGCATCCACCTATGTTTAGAAACAAACTCTTTTTATTGGCATTGCACTATATTTGGAACAGCACTTTCAGCTGTTCTGTCTTGTTTCCATACATGGGGCATAATAAAAACCTGTATTGTTCTGAGGAGATTGAACAGCAGTTTAAGAGGGAACAAGAGAATAAAACCCACATTTTAGAATTCTGTTTGTTAATTTTGGAATCATCCATGCGCATGAGTTTGACCTTGTCAATATTACTCAGTGCCTTGGGTTGAGCTGGTTTGCTTTCCCAAGCTTCCCTGGCAGCTTAACCTGGCTTTGCTGAGTTTGTAGTCCCTTTTTCTTTAGTTTCAGCAATAAGAGTTTGTCTGAAAGCCTCTCAGAAATGCTATCTAGCCCATTTATGGAGTGCAATTCCCACAGCTCCAGCAGCAGCCCAGTCGTGAAACAGCATGTCACTGACTAGCTTGGACGCCATCCCATGCCCCCGTCCACTTGCTGTGGCACCTCGTCTGCCCTCTCCAGGCCTGGTGATGGGAGGTGGCTGCTAGACGGAGGGTACGTCACCTTCTTTAATGCTTCCAGAGCGGGGGGCTGCAAAAGGCTGGGCCGGAGGGATCTGCGTGATCAGGGGGGGCGGCTGAGGTAACTGCTGGATGATGGTGGCAGGCTGAGGTGGCATCTGAAAAAGAAAGGAAAATGGAGAAGTCAGGGTTGGTTTTGGCCAGCTCTCTCATCTTTGTGAGGGCAGAGCAGCGGGTATCATCTGCCTGGACTTCAGTAAGACTTTGGACATTGTCTCCCACAAGACCGTTGTGGAGAAGCTGTTGAGGTTGTGGGCTGCACGAGCAGACAGTGATGTGCATTGGAAACTGGCTGCACAGCCAGGCCAGAGCGTGGGTAATCCCCTCACTCCTCTTGCTACTTTGTTCCTATGGTAAACCATTCACACTGTTAATTTTGTGCTTTATTTGTAAGATGATTTCCCTTAGATTTTGCTTAGGCCAGTAAGGGTCTCATATCACAGCAAGAGACATATCTTCCCTTTCGGTGGGATGAGTATTTCCACAGAGCCCCCAAGTCCCTCCACCTGCAGTTGTTGTCTCAGACTGGCACAGCGCTAGCGATGTTTCCGAGGAGAGAGGATCCTTACCGTCTGCTGGATAATCCTTGGTGGCTCTCCTTGGGGACCTGGAAAAGGTATCTGGTAGATGTGTGGGGGGGTAGGTCTGTGGTTATGACAGCGTCCTCCAGCTGGTGCAGGGGGCTGTGAAAGCTCTTCCAGAAGGTGCTGCTCCTGCAAAATCAAGTATCTTCTTAAACAAGAGCTGGTCACAGAAAGGCAGACAGTATTGTTACGCTCTCTGGAATAAATGGGATTAGCCCCTGGGAGTCCGCAGCAGGGCACAGCCTCGCTCACCAAAACACTGCTGCAGAAACTTCCAGCACTGTGCATCTGACAGGCAGACCACAAGTGACTGCTACATGTAGGGAAGCACTCAAACAGTGCCTGCGTAAGTATAAAGAAAGTTTTTCTTCCCACATATCTTGAAGCCATACAGTTTTCAGCGCAAGCAAAAAGGAATGGAAAAAAGCTGAAGAGAAAACTGCCAAAACTCTAGGAAAACATTTCATTAATGTTTGATACCCTCCACAAACTAGGAATAAGTAACAGTTACTATTGTCCCTATTTTGGCGGCATTAAAAATCCTTTCTTTGCACTTTGGCACTACACCAGAGAGCTTATGATACAACAGTTCAGGACAAACAGAATCAACCTACCAACTAACTGAAGTGGGTGCAAGCTTTGTTAGCTGTAGCAAGGGAAGACATACTGCCCTCCGGCACCTCTCCCTGATTAGCTGGCCCAGCCTCTATACTCCAAACCAGCAGAGAACTGAATACTGCCCAGCCCAAGAACCAAAGGACAGGAAAGAACTGAATCCACATCAGCGGTGGACATGCAGATAACCTGGCCCTTTCTGTTGTTCCTGTCCACAGAGAGGGCTCTTACCTTAAGCTCCTGCAGGAGATCTTTCCTTCGCCTTAGGGCACTTTGGAGCATATATTCATGTCTGTTCCCTGAAGGAGGAAAAGTCCATTATCTTCTCAAAGGATCACAAAGAGCTATTATACCACCTACATTACGAGATTAATTCTGGAAAACGTGTTATAAGATAGCTTCACTTCTTCCACAAAAGGCTTTAGGCTACTTTTCCTGTCAAATCCACGAATGGCTTATGACTTTATGCCACATACAGACATAGCTGCTCAGCAGCTCTACAAAGGCAATGCACCTTCTTTGAAAATAAACTTTTCAGATTGCTCTCTAAAGTCCCCTTTTAACCTCCTGGCTTAGAAACTCATTTTAGCCTGAAATCTAGATATACTCTGTACATGCAAAGGATGATTGTGCAAAGTGTAAAAAAAGTTTGTTCTGACATATCAAAACAAACTCAGTTTTGAATGTCAACCTTTCTGTTTCCTTTTTGTTCTGAATCAACTTCCTTTTCAATTCTTCCCACATACAGCTGATTTTGAACGCACTTGCAATGAAAATAAAAAAGAACGTTTTCAGATACATTGGAGGCATGCCCAGCATCTGCTCTGAAAAACATCACTTTTTAATTTTTGGCCACAGCATTGAAAATTTCCAACTATTTGTGCATCAGCTCAATGGATATGAGCCCAGAGTACAATCTAGAAATATTACTGATCATCTACCAGTAGCCTTTAATCCATAGGTAATATAAACACTACATGTGCCATGCAAAGAAATGAATGCACTGCCCGTAGCATGCATAGCTTCCATGGGAGTATTGTTGAAGGGAACACACTACTTGTATGTGAAACGTCACAGCAGTCTTTGAAAGGGTTTGATAAAGACACAAGTTATTTTCAGCTCCCTTATTTATCAACTTTTAGCTGGTTCGCTAGCTTTTATAGAGAATTGTCTAAACTTTGGAAGTTTCATAAGCATGCTGGGATTCCTGACCTCTCTGCCCAAATCAAAGTCAGGATGTAATTGCACATGCATGGTTTCCTGGTGAAATGGTTTCCCAGCTCTTATCAACACAGTGCTCAAGTCAACTCTTTCAGTATAACGATTTGTTTCATAAGCTGAGTCACTTTTGTTTACACTGGAAACCATGTTCTGGTCTGCACAAGGCTGCATCGGTCAGCTTCAAAGGTGCAAAGCAGCATTAGTAGTGGAGTGTTCCTCCTGCCTGGGTCCCTCAGAGACACACAGCCATCCTAATGACTTCTTTTCAGGATCACCAAAGCCAAGCACCCAGCTGGACTGCAACAGGGGCTTACTCCTAGGTACAGGAGCTAGGATGAATAGGATCACCAGTAGTTTACTCCAGCTGAACCAGCATCCACAGCTGAGAGGCTGCAGAGGACACCTGGACAGGAGGTCATTCTTGTGTCAGTGCTCGGCTGGCTGATTATTTCCCTTTGTCAAAAAAAACAGTTGAAGAAATTCAAAAGATAAAATGTAGATAGCTGCACAGGATAGCAAGCCCATTCTCTTTGCATCAAGGCTGCTAAGATTCACCGGCTTGGTTAGGACTGAGACTAGTATACAGACTGACATTACTGCACAAGCTTCACTGGAACTTTCATTTTTGCTACTTCCAATCCCCAGGGCTGCATACAGATTTAGATACGCAGGCTGAACTGGGGCAGCACTGACTCAAGTTCAGCGTCTCCCTCCTGCCCTCCAGACAATGTTTCTGTCACAGAAACCAAGATAAAGCAAGTTCTGACCACCCAAATGACCGACCACTGAGCACGCAGAGGCCTCTTCCAGATTTTAGGGAGGAGATGTGATCATCTGGTGTGACCTGCTGAGGAACTCATGCCTGAGAACATCACTAAGCCCTTTCTGTATCATGTCCATAATTAGAACAAATGCTACTCTTTTACTTGCAGTTGGGAGAGGTGACTCCATCTTCCCCAGGTTCTCCTGTTCATTTTCTAGTCTCTGTTGGTAGAACCACAACAAGAACTGGTTATGAGACAGGCAGCAAAGTTCACAACAATTTCCAATCCTACCTTACAGGCATACGTTTGGGATGGAGGAAATAAAGCAGAAGTGGAGACAAGCAGTGCTTCTTAACAGCTAAACCACAGCTAGTGAGGGCTACAAGAAGTATTCATAGAAGTATGAAATGTCTCAGTACAAATCTAGTTACGGTAACAGAACAGTCATGCTTCCAAGTGGCCAGGCTATCCCAAACCTGGAAATTGATAGCATGGTGAATCAGGAGACTCATACATAATTCATCATAATTGATCATATAAAGAACTTGGTGCCAGACAGTTTTGGGTATTTGGTACACCAAGAGGCCTAAATGGCCCTGGCCAGCCTCACCGGGGACTTCCACATCTGCTGCTCATGTGCCCAGGAGCCCCTTTAATCTCAGTTCTAGGTCTTCAGTTCTTACCTGAGCTATACTGGATGAGTAATTGGTCTGCAGTTCAACCACAGCCATGCCTGTGACTGGCCATGGATCCTATCAACTCTGATCCCAACATGCAGACACTTCCCAGGTTGGCCTTGGACCTGCCTCATCGCCATGAGCTTGCCTGATAGATCTGCACTTTTGGCTGAACCTGGCCACCATGTCTGGCTCTGCCCTGCTTGCCTCGCTTGGGGGCTGGCCGGGCAGGCCCCTGCCCTGCTGGCTGTGTTATTGTGCTCAACTCCTTGCTCCTTAGGGAGCAGATGTCCCTTGTTGCTCCCTACTGCTCAGAAATTAGAGACCTTCCACTCATGCACAGGCTCTTTTCTTGGTTCTGCATAGCTCCACACTGTTGAAAGCTTTGCCTTCAAATGGCTGCTGCATCTAAGACAAAAGACTCCACTGTGGAGACAGGTTAGATGCCACTTCCAGCATTCATGTCTCCAGGAAAATTGTTTTTCCTTCCAGACTTCTCTTTAAGTGGCTTCTGGAGGACACTGAAGCAGGTCTATGCTAGCAGATTCAGATGTGCTGAGGGGGGAGGAACAAGGCTGAGTGGAGAACCTTGGGTGCATTAGTGTGCAGAGTCACAACAAGGAGCTACTGGGATTCTGTACAGCACCTCATGTGCTTCCAGCATGGGTCTGCCCATGTTTCATCAGGCAACATATCTTATGTGAAAGCAGACAAAAAAGACGACATGAAATTGCCTTAAAACAATCTGAGGTCCTCTTTACCCAAGATTTACTCCTAAACTTTGCCTGTCACGACTCAAACTAGTTTTGAGCTAACTGGTGACATCTCCCATAAGATCAAAGTCACTTTAACTCTATTTTTAATTTACTGTAGGTCCATGTAAACTTGTACAATGTTATTTAAGAAAGTGACAGTGACTGTAGCACCACTACACATTGGTCTGCCTCAGCTTGCATGAAGAAAGAGGTTCTCAATTGGCTGCAGATCCTCTTTGTATCTCAGTTGAAATATATTTATTTAAAATACAATGTTAATGCTTGAACATGCAAAAAGCAGAGCAAAGGTGACCACTGTAGAGTTATTCTCTTACCTTTTCTAGGACCTTGAGTTTCAGTTGTGCCAGGTGATCTACCACTGAAGGATCTGTCATTGTAGTAGTCTCCTGGAAGAGTAGGCAGGAAAAACCATGTTAAAAAGCTAAGGAAAGGCAGATACATTTTCAGTGGTCATTTTTTCCCCTCCACGATCTTCACAGAAGAATAATTCCATTAGGAAAAAACCCACAAACAAGATTGTGAGCAATTGAGGGAAGAAGATAAAAGCTTCAGTTTCACTCCCAGGTAAAAATGAGTATAGATATTCATCACGATGTCACAGATACAGCTTTTTCTGCCATTTCTCTCAATGCATTTTCATGCTGCAGGTTGCAATGGTCACAGAAGGGTAACTCAGGGTGAATATTTGTCTGTTCTTACTGGTTGCTAGCCTTTCCCTGGCAGTGTCACCAAGCCCAGCCCTCTGTGTTGTTAGTGTCTTCTAAGTAGGTCAGAGTTTTGTGCCTGTAACCTGGTTGCTAAGTTTGTAGTGTCAATCCATAATATAAACAATTTTATCTCCGGGGTGGAAGCTTATGTACCTTTTGTAAAGCAAATGCCCAGCACAGTAGTGGGCAAGAAGAAAAGAAATAAAAGCCAATGGTTCTTTAACACAAGCTCAGTGCTAGGGGTCAGATTATGATCTTGCTGATTGATACCTGATAGCAATGTTTATCCAACTGTAAGGGGCCCATATATGTTTGACATATAGCCCTTCACATGAGTTTTCACCACCAGATAGTAACTAAAAACTCAGAAAATTAAGGAACATAGCTGGAACTCATCCCCAGCTGAGTAAAAGAGTAAAGAGGCTATGGTATAACATCCTTTTGCTTACCACCTCCCAAGCGACCTGCAGGGCATCTCCCTCTCCCAGCAAAGCCCTACCAGCATAAAAACCAGGGCAACATTTATCAGTGACATCCATAAAATCAACACCAAGGCATGAGAAAGAAGCCAAGTAACAGATACTCATTCTCAGTATCATATTCTAAGCCTGGTTCTGCTCCTAGGAGACCGAAGTTACAACCCCTTCCCTACTTGAAGGCCATAGCAAAACCACAGCTGAGCCACTGCTGGCAGCTGGAGCAGCTGATAGATGCTTGTAGGGAGCTGTGTGGGAGCAGCACAGATCACCTCCTCTAGCTGTGACCCACACAGCATGTGTGTGCGATCTGTCCTTAAAAATAATACACAGGCTAGTAGTCACTGGAGAGGTTATAGAAACTGAGATGTGGGGATTCCAAAAATAGCTGTGCCGTGTCAGAGCTGGGACTCAGCTTTCTTTGGCAGGGCTCATCTGTGAATGCTACGAGTGACACGGCAGAACAGAAAACCCTCTCACCTGCCAGCAGTTTTCCTGAGAAAGAGCTCTGTGTACATTTTTGTACTTTAAAACCCCAATAGATTTTTCTCCCATTATCTCTGGCATCTTTGATCTCTTCACCCTTTGGGCAGCTGCAACAACCTTTGACGAGGAGTTTCCTAGTTGTCCTAGACTTAAGCGTAAGCCTAGTCATGCAAGTAAACTGCCTAAGTATAGTTGACTTAAGTGTTAGGGAAAAAAAGGATAACATTTAGGCTGTTTTAAATCTAGATTCCTGAAAAGTTTATTGGAAATCTTCTCATTTGTTATGTGAAATTTATACAACTGTTCCCCATGCACTTTTTCCACACCATTTTCAACATAGAATCATTTAGGTATCATATTCCCATTCAGGTGTTTCTTTTCTAAGCAAGAGAATCTATTTAATTTGTCCTCAAAGAGCAGATTTTCCTTGCTCATTGATCTCGTAACTCGGCTGGGAAGGTATAATGCAAGAGCCCACACGGACTGCTCTCAAACCCACCTCTTAGCCTCTGCTATCGGCCACTCTCAGAAGGTGCTGCATCAGCTAGACCTTTGATCACACCGTGGCCGTATGTCTGTTTGTACAGTCTCATGTTTATCCTAATTGCTTCTCTCTGTACCTTTCTAGTTCATAAACCCTTTTGTGATGGGGTGACAGGGGTTGTGGGCAGCATTTGGGAAGTGACGTAGCAAAGCAAGCTGTGTTGGTTTCTCCAGACAATCACAACGGCAACAAACCTGCTACTAGTCATTGCTGATGCTGTAGTAGTGTTTTTGACTGCTGATGAATACTGAGCTGACGTTTTACCATCAACTGGTTTAATACAGTCCCCCCTAGAAGTTAAATTTCTAGAGCCTTCATTGTGAGAGGAATAGAGGGTTACAAGAAAGGTTGACAACAAGAACCAAGTATAAGTATTCCATTAAAAATAGAGCACCTGTGTTAAGCAACCGAGTTGACTACAGAGGAAAGGGAGAAACTTCTGCTTAATGTGACAGGTATCCCAGAGAAAATCCAATACTAGGTAAAAAAATGCTTTCCAGCAAATCTGCTGAGGGATCTTTCTTTTCCCACACTTACGGCTGCCCTGGTCACAGTGGGATCCCTGCTCTAGAGACATCTTACAACCCGCTAATTAATGACTTGCCAGAAACATGCCAGCTGGACACAAGAGAATCTTGCCAAAAGGGATCTATAGCTACATGGAATCACAAACTAGGGATCACATATGAACATGATGATGCAAAAGAGCAAAATCAGACAAATTTAATTCTGCAAAGTATTAACAGGAGTGTTAGTGCACCTCACAGGAGATAATTATTCTGCTCTATTTAGCAGCACTGAAGTCAGAGTTTTAACACTCTGCCTAATTTTAGACATGATGGCTTAAGAGGGAAAGAAAGTCCAGAAAAAAAAAGATAAAAATGGTGCATTTTGTAAGTTCTAAGGAAGACTTGGAAGGACTGGCTTTGTTTAATTAGTAAGTAGATGGTGAGAAGAAGACAGGCTAGCAATCTTTAAATAAATGAAAGGGTACAATCAAGAACAGGGTGGGTTTTTTTCTGTCTGGAAAGGCTGGGCAAGAAGCGTTTGGCTTAGTGACGGAGAGGGAAACCTGATAAAACCAAGAAAAATTCTTAATTATACAGTAAGATAAATGATGGAGCAGCTATCTAAGAAAAAACTTTCACAGAATTTGTTTAAAAACAATATAGAAAAACAAATGTGATGAACATTGTAGGACTATTAGACCACTCCTCAGATACAAAAATGGATTAGATAACTGGTGAGGTCCATACCAGTACTACCGTTCTATAATATCTTTTATTGATTTAGATACTTTATGCCCTTAATTTTAATTACTATGATTTCTAAAACACAATATAAAAAGAACCAAACAAACTGGCATACCGGGAAATATCCAGAGACTATAAATTTTCATGTTCTGGTTCCCCAGGGAGGAGGCTCTATCATTTCAGTCTTAGAAGAGTGTTTTAATTTATCAAAAGAGAGTTAAAAGAATAAAAAAAGAAACACACACACACACACAAATCACCAACAGAGAAGTACATATAATTTCCTTCCAATCAGTTGTCTGCTTCTGCCAATTGTAATGTTGCAAATTAACAGTCGAGAGCTCGTTAGGCTGCTTGGTGGTTACAAGTATTGTAAAAATGTCCTATCTGCATTTAAAGCTAAGCATATGAATAAAACATATTTTACAGTTAAGAGTTATTTCATGCCACTATCATATAACAATGTGTAATGTTGGTTTTTACTGTTATTTCTGAAAACAGTGACCCCAGTTTGAACCAAATTATATTTATGATTAAGTCTTCTTATGTATAATCAAGTACACTATACTAATCATATACTATACTTATGATTATTGTCTTCTTATACGACAATGGCAAACCACTAGTCTCTGCAAACACCGCTCATTTATTTGTGGATACGTTGCAGCAGCACCCAGAGTTCTCTGTAAGGTTTTGTTACCAGCCTGATCTTAGTGTGGCATTTTCAGTGCGACTGCTAATTTAGTCGAGGTATAAATGACCTCTACTGCTTTTATGGTTATGTCAGGTGGGATTGGCCCCAGCAGAAACAGAGGTGGTGGCCCTGCCACTCTGCCTGGCTGGCTTCAGCTCCCGCACTGCAAAGCTGCTCTAACAGTGCAGAACCCCAGTCCAGCTGCTGGCAGGACAATTTGGGTAGTACTCAAATGGTGTTGCTGGTGCTGGCTGATTGTCAGCTAGCCGACACATCGCTGGAGAAAGGTCCCTTTTCAAATATTTCCACCTGAGTCAATTTAATTAGATTAGCACTAGAAATCCTGACATTTTGACAAAGAGACAGGGATATAAGAAAATATAATGCATGAGTTGGTTATTTTAAAAAAAAAATTACCAATAAACCAAAATCCATTAAACCCAAACAAACATGACTTACTTATTTTACATTTTTAGCTGGAGCAAGAAGTCAAAGCAGTAATTTACTTTAAACCAATTTTTTTTAAGTAAGTGACATATCTGATTTAACAAAATTGCCATTATAAATGTCATGATATATTATCTTTTTTCTTTTAAGAAACTTCTTTTTGCTGAGCTTACCAGTTTCCTTTTGATTCTCAGATTACACAAGCTTTTGTGCTAAGAAATTTCATAATTCAGACTTTATCTCTTAGCATAGACTGGGGACAAACTCAGAATCCTGGCTACAGGGTCAGAGGACATGGCAGTACTACCAGGAGAAACAAATAAACAAAAAAACCCCGCAAAACAGCCACAGGCTGACAAAACAGGAGGTGACCCAAATTAGCATCAGGAGTCTGTCTTCACTGTCAGATCTAATGTCCCTGCATGGTTTGCTCACTGAAATTTCTACTCTTCCTTAGAAGGGCCAAACTGGTTGTAAAGAAAAGGAAAGCCAACGCATACTGTCCACTGGCAACCTCTGCAGTAGTTTAAAACTTAATCTCTACCTTGGCTCTGGACACAGACAGGCTTTCTGATGTGTAGAGAAAGACTCACCAATCCTGCCTTGCTCCTAGTGTCCTCAGCTTTCTCTTTGGAGCACTGGGCACACACTGCTCCAGTCTTTTTATTGTCTATGCTGAAACGTTTACATAGAGATAATGTGGGAGACCAGGAGATTGGTAGAAAATGGTGTATTCCAAGAACACGAACATGTCCATGTTTCTTCCCACATACTTTTCGGATTGTGGTTGACATAGGGATGGGAAACCCGTATTGCACAGATGCAGTCCACAGGAGCAGCTAGGTCCAGCTCACGACCTGGAGGGTGCAATGTCTGAATTGGGGGCAAAAGCCCATACAGATAAGAGCCCAAATGCATAGAAAGGTCCAGGGATAGAAAAGGAGTTGTCAGATCATGAAGATGCTTGCATTTCCATGTTTCTTAGAAAGAAAAAGTCAGTGTATTACAAGAGGTTACCTCTGAACTGAGCAGAGTAACAAACTTGATTACAAGTATGTGTTTTCCAGTATGATTTAATGCCTTCAAGAGACAAAGAAACTGCCAGTTTTGTAGATGACTGTAAGGTTAATTATTCTCAATATTAAGAAAAGAGCACCTTATTTCTCCCTTGTTATCTGACAGTCATTTCCAGACCTCAGCTCTTGCTGTGCCCGTACTTCCAAGGTGAAGGGGCTCTGCAGGTGAAGCCCTCACAGCCCGCTTCCTGCACTGGAAACAAAGCAGTGGGCCGCTGTAAAACCCACACGCAAAATATACACAACAGGAAGACTAGGCGTGCTGTAAAGGGTCATATTTCCACACAGAAGTTTATAATCAAGCTGGATGGTCAACCCCCTGCGCCAACACCTCCCTCTGCCTCCAACGGGGCTAGGGACCAGGCCGCCAGCGCCGAGACCGGTCACGGAGGAGCAGACACGGCAGATAGAAGGGCAGGGCACCCACAAGCAGCCTCTCTTCGAGGAGGAGCCCGCCTGGACCCGAGGTGCCAGCAGCGGCGGCCCCAGGACGGGCAGAGGAGGAAGAGGGAGCCGGGGAGCGGCGGCCGACGCCGCAGACAGCCCAGGCCAGCCCCTCACCACCGCCCGGCAACGGCCGGGTCAGCTTTCCCGCGGCAGCCGCCCCCCTCTCCCCATTGGCTCTCTCTTGGCCCTGGGCGGGGCCGTGGCTGGCGGCCCGTTTGAAAGCGGCCATCCAGCGCAGACAGGGTGGCGGGCGGTTACCTCTTCTATTGGTGGCTGCTGAGGAGGGGCGGGCACTTGCGGCAGCGGGGTGAAGGCAGAGGGCGCGCTCCAGCTTGCGCTGTCTATCCCAGGAGTCAGTTAGCGAGGGTGGGCGGGGCTAGGCTAAAAGCTGCTCTCCGCATTGGCTGGTTTGCCTCGTGCGTACGGCGATCCTCGCCAATTCCCGGAGAGCTTCCTTCCTTTCGCCGGGAGGGCGGGCCAACTCCTGCTCTCTTATTGGCCGGTGCTGGCTAGGGTCGCCTCGCGGTTGGCGGTAGAGCTGAGGCGGGTGGGGAGAAGGCGTTGGGGCGGCCATGACCGAAAGTTCTGTGCCCCCTTCGCTGTGACAGTTGGAGGAGTGAGGGGTGCGGGCCCGGCCCGGCTGCCGCCTCCGGGCCCCCGGCTTGCCCGCCACATGGACGCGGAGGAGGAGGTGCGGAGGCGAAAACTGGAGGCCGGCAGGGCCAAGGTGAGGAGAGGGAGTCCCGGCTTGGGGGGGGAGCCGCGCCCGTCCCGTCCCGGCCTGGCACCCTGCGGTGCCCGCGGCCGGGCACCGAGTCGGAGGGGGGCCGGGGGGGGGGGGCTGGCTCCCGGAGCCGCCCACGGTATCGTCTCTGCCCGCCCCGGGTCTCTCCCCGTCGGGGGGGACGCCGGCGGTTTTTCCCTCGTAACGTGGCGGGGGCGGGGCCGCCCCCGAAGCCCGGGCCCGGGGGTCCGGGCGGCGGCAGTGCTGAAGCGTTGCTGCCAGCTCGGAGCTGTGTCCGGAGGTGAGAGGTGTTTACCTGGACAGCGTGGCTGTGCCAGAAATAAATGTGGCTAGTGGTGCTCCCTGAAAGGAGGTTGCCCGGGAGACTTCCCGAATTACTGCAGAGGTATATAAACATTATCTTCAGTGAGCAGGGAGCAGCTTAAAGCAGTGCATACATCTCCCCCAGGTTCTGGGGTCTTTTTGTTTTGTTTTCTCCCTGATTCTCCCATTTTTACCTAGGATTCCACTCAGTTATTTGTGGAAATACTGTATTTCCAGGTGAGAATCCCCAAGAATAGGTGGCACGTGTTTTATACTTCAACGACTAGTCCGCTTGCCCTTGCATCTGCAGGTGGGTTGTTGGAGAACTGGGTTGATTTAGTTTGTTTCCAGTCATGCTGTTAGTGAACACTTCACACGCTTTGAACAGTTACATGCCTTCAGCTGGTGTAGTTTGATGGGACGGTGTAGAGAGCTCATATGACACAACTGATGTACAAAGGTGACATTCTGTTAGTAATTATTGTCTGCAATGATGTAATTAGCACTTGATATGTGTATGTAACCCTCTTAGATTAAAAACTTCTGCTTTGTTTTGGTAATGATGATCAAGAAGCTGGTTAGAAATGCCTGGTTACTTTTCTTTCAACTTAATGTTTTGGCTGGTTTTTGAGCTGTTACTGTCATATTTCCCTTCTGGGAATCCATTCCCGAGTAAGGCTTGCCACCCTGTAGCTACAGTGTTTCCCTGTTCTCACCATCCCAGTACAACTGGAATGGGGGACTGTAGCTACAAGAGAATAGCTGAAGCTGCACAGGGTGTTGGGAGGTCTGGACGGATCAGATTTTTTCATGATGTGCTACAGCCTCTTCACCCCTGATATCACTCCTAGTGATTCTCCCACAGGTGTAGGGGCATGGCCCTTTCTGCAGAGGACCTGTGTGGAAATCTTGCTAGTGGAGTTGGAGGTGGCTTGGAGCTGTGCTGTCTGCTTCAGATCTTTTCAGCAGCCTTCTGTGTTTCTGTTTCAGCTCCCTCCTCCCAGCGCTGTGCAGAAGGCAATTAAAGAGAGCGTTACTGGGAGGGGAGCAGGGTTGTGGCTGGAGCTGTGCTGAAGCAGCTTGATGGTGGGCAGTACAGTTCCTCCATCCCTGCCCTGTCCCACCCAGATGCTGCCATGGTTGCCACTCTTCCCGCTCCCTCTCAGCAGCTCCTCATCAGCTTGCCCTTGCAGCCTTGTTATGTGCTGTGTGGACACAATCCCCTCTTGGAGAATGATTGCATGATTAGTTTTTGGATTAAGACTGAGAGAGGAAAGTTTGAGAACAGGAGTTCTTCAGGTTGAAAAGTTACATTAGCTGTGGCAAGACTTATGTTAACATTTCTTTTGTAACTCTTCTCTAAGTGCAGTATCTGTTTATGGTAAGAAAAATGTGATAGACTTGCCTTGAATAAGTTATTAGTTCCCACCTGTTGTACAGCTGCTGTTTGCCATTGGAAAAAAAAAAAAAAGTAGGGACTTGCATTATGTTTCAACTTATGTGTGCAGAGCCAATGTTGCATTTATTATTTTTTTAAACTATGTGCTAAATATCTCTCATCTTACCATTTAAAAAAAAAGTTAGCAGCCCCGTCAATGTTGCTATTGCATGGTATCACATACCTCGTATACTGAGAGGAGAGGAGAGGAAAGGGTTTAGAAAGGCAGAGATAGATGTAGTGCTTTCTCTGCTTATTAAAATGTCACAGAGATCCATTACTTAGCTAGCAGATTGTGGGCACCAGACAATTTAAAAAAAAAAACGCCCAAAGAAATGAATGGAAGCAATATCCATCAGGGCTTATTAAATGCAAACATAGTATGTTAGGGTTTGGAAGGCAAACACGTGAGCTGCACATTCGTTAGTATGCTCACGCCCAATTTCTACCATGTATGGCTGCATGCTTGCCCTGTTTCTGTATCTTTACTTATATACCTGAAGTTGTGGAGCTAACTTACGGAACAAATGCATATTGGGCTAATTACTGGAATAAATGCACCTTTGGTGTTAACTTGGCATAGTCCTTGGCATGTTCTTAAGCCCATAGTAGGATGTGGTCATGCTGCTGAGTAGGTGGGCTGCAGGACTGTAACTTGCCTCAGAAACTTCTTTTGGATAGCTTGTGTTTTGAAAGGCTCTTATTTAATAGAGCAGTAGGGACATGTATCTCCTTTTTGTTCTTTTCCTTTTCTTTTTTTTTCTTGCTTTCTTTGTGCTGTCTTCCTCATGAATACAAAGGCAGTTTTGAAAGGGAGAAATGACCGTGAACAGCTACAGTATTTCGTTTCTGTGGTGCAGGCCTACAGCAGCTTAAGGTCATCCCATCTCCGGACCAATACCAGTGTTCAGTGTTCATCCAGATCAGCTTCCTGAATCATCTCGCTGCATCACTGTGAGAGTGCTCATGAGAGCAGGGGACAGGAGTGCGAGGCTAGTTGTGTGTTGCAGGCCTCTGTTGTAGCAACCTGACTTATAGCAACGTATGCAGTCATGCTAACTGCAGTCTGATAATGGTTTGATCTGGAGATGTGAGCTGCTGTGGGGTTTTCTGCCTCACCCTCCTCCAAAAAAAAAAAAAAAATTTTTTTTTGTCTTTGGCATCCTTAGAATTTAGTCTGCTAAAAAATGACTTGAGAAAGGAATATAATGTGAATGTTTTCCTCTTTAAACCAGTACTTGCATTATTCTTTTTCATATAGCAATAAAAACTCCATTATGGAAATGCATTTAAGTTATCACCAAATAATAATAATGATTCCAACTGTTGTATTAATTGGAAATTGTCATGATTTGGCAGCTAAGTACTGACTGTATCAGGTACTTCAGATTTCTATTTTTAATAAATGCAATACTGATTGCCAAGGTAGTAATTGAGAAACAGAACAAACCCCAAGTATTCAGTGCTGCTTTTTTCTCCTTGTGTTTTTCCACCTCACGTTAGCTAGTATGCACGTTGGCCAACTGTGCCTCTAGTTACAGACCTATATATGCCATACCTCATGTGTGTGAAGTTTTTGCTGTTCTTGCATTTTACATGGTAGGAGCTCAAAAAGGAGTGTGTGTTTTCCAGGAAGTTTTCCTGCCTCATCAGTTTGAGCAAGCTCTAGAAAATATTTCTGGGTTTTGTCTAAGAGTACTTGTTGCTTATGTTTACTGTATCTAAGAGGTGGACTAAGGTTTATTTGAACAACCAGTTTCTGTTGGTTCTGACGCATGTAAAGCAGTAAGTCAAGGAGTAAATTATGTGTGAGGTAGGCTGGCGAGAGCTGAACAGTGCTGCCTGTGCTGTAGTTTCCCTGTCTGCTGGCCCGTGCTGCTCATGTCAGTCAGCTTGCAATAATGTGGTGGAAGGATGTCAGCACAGCAGGTAATTGGGATGGTGATGACACAGGGACCACCCGACACAAAACCTGGCAGGCTTGTTCTAGTTCTGCAATGCTCGTGTGGTGCTGGCCATACCAATTCAGAGGTGCCTTGTGGTTGCCTCTTAAGTGACTGGTCATGGTGAGATTAAGTTGCAGTATAGTGGTACCTGCAGGAAGGCTGAGCGCTCTTCAGTTATGGAGAGCTGCTTTGGATGCTACGGTGGACAGCACTGTTTGTGTTGCGGCATGCTACATCTTGGCTAAAAGTGAAGCTTTCGCTTTTGCATGTGCTGCTAGAAAGCAAACTGAGCTCCTTCAAAAGGCATGATCTCACTGGGATGGGGAGAGTCAGTGTTATGTGCTTTCTTCATATTCACACACACACACTACTTCATGTTGGATGACTGTCTGCATATCTGATGATACGCTTATAATGACACTTAAATTTATGTAGCTGATTAAAGGCTTTGGAAACCTGATATTGCCCTAAATAGGGCTTTTCCCCATCCAGTGATTCCATAAATCTGAAGTGTGTTTGACTCCAGATACTTTCATGGACCAACAAGTCCAATAGTTCCATAAAATTGTGGAGTAGTTGGATATTTTTGCATGGTCTGTATTATGATTTCATGTTTAATGCTTATGAATGGGACAAAATAAGTTTTGTTTTCTTTCAGCTGTGCATTTAAAAATCCATACTCATTTAGAAGTCATGGCAAGTCTTGGTATTTTAATGTCAAATACTTGATTTCCATTCATGAAATCATTAACTGTTCTCTATGATGGCCACACTCTGCCTTTCATTTCTCATCTTTTCTGATTGTTTTACTCCTGTTTTCCCCTTTTTTCCTGCTTCAGCAGCTTTCTCAACTCCATTTTTCTGCAGGATTCCTCCTATCCCTTTTCCCTATGTTATCAGGTTAATTAGGGCTGGTTTTGACATAATTGCCATCAGTAAGTGCTAGAGTTAACACCTGATTTCAGAGAATAGTATTTATGTCTCACTACAGCTTTATTTACTGATCTGTTCATCTTGCGTATTATAAAAGGCAACAGGGCACCTGGCAATCTTTGTTTAATCTGCATTCAGTATTAATAACTATGGAAACTACAGAACGTAATCTTAAAATTAAGCTATTTGTACATAAACATCTGAACTGCTGGTAAGAAACTGATGTCTTTCTTCAAATACACCTTTTAAACAGGCTGCTCAGTGTAGCAGGTGTGTAACCACGTATCTGTTGAGTAGCTAAGCTGTCAGGTAGAAGTTGCTATAATGGGTGTAAGGAGAAAGGACTGAACTAAATCCATTTCAAATGTTGAATGAAAAGAAATGGACAAGGCTTTTCTGCAAGGTGGCTGTTTTACAGGAAAACCAAGCTGTCAAGCAGTGGATTATCGTATGTATTGCAGGTAGATCTTGCCAATTATGTTTACATCCCATGATCATTTGACTGTCTGTTTTATCTTGTCACAAGGATATATTAACAGTGCACTTGATAACCTATGCTTGTAACCTTGGAGAAAGCTTTTTCCTTATGAGAAGGCTGTCTGGATTTATGTTGTGAGGGAGATGTGTTTAGGCAGCATTTCCAAGTAACAATACTAGAGTTCAAAATAGGATAATCCTTTTTAAGCAGTTTAAGGTGCTAAAGAAAGTTGGGTAATAAATTGTCAGTGACATTCTTTACAAGTCCCTGGTGCTTTGTAGAGCTGTGATAGTCTGATAAAGTAGAGCATCTGATTCTTCAACAGAAGAAATTAAAATGACCTGGCTTAATTGATTTTCTATTTATGTACTGTAGGCTGCTTTCTGGCTAGGAAGTTTTGCTGTATTCTCTTAAGGGGGTGGCGAGGAAGGAGCATGAGGATTCACTTCCGTTAATTTTAATCTTAAAGCTTACGCTGGCAAAGATCTGTTTAGATACATTTGTAGGGGGTTACTGTTTTTGCTGGTCTTGCAGAAAGACTGCTCAATTATTATTTTTTCCTAATGATTCTATATATTAACAACTTGTTCTTTTACTAATCTGTCTTACTGTAATTCTGGATTGTCATTGACACACAGTTTCACTGAGTAAAATTTGATTCTTGTATTGAAATGAGTCTTTAGTACTGGTGTGAGATTTTTTGCTTAATTGCACAGTTATCCAGTATGTTCTGAATGTGTAGAAAGTAGGAAGATAAAGCAGTTTTTCTGCAGATGTATATATTTTATCAAGATAGGATCTTCATCACCCATGGGTGTGTTAATCTTGTGGTCCTGCTACCTTTTTCTCACTTACCTCTCCCTCTACCTCTTCCAATCTTTTCTGCACAGTTTGCTTACTTCAGACAACGAAAAACAAAAAGTGACATCACGCAGTCGCAGAAAAAGACGGCGAAGAGGAAGGGCTCGTCTGTCCACACGCATGACGTTCCGAAGGAAGAGTACGCACTAGCGGCCCAAGATGTTGGTAAGGGTATAGAGAGTAAGGCTGAAGACACCAACCTACTAGAGAGTAAGGCTGAAGACACCAACCTACTAGAGACAACAACAGAGACAGAGGTAAATCTTAGTATTTCTTGTGTTTCACTTCACTCCATCTGCAGATAGCAAGTATTCCAGGTGACTGTTTTACTTAATTGGGTATTGGCTCTCTGGCACTGTCAACTAGTTACCATTGAGAAGTAAACTGATGTATTGTCACTTGTAATAATTAACTCTCTTACAAAGTGATGTAAACAACTGGAAAAACCCTCTCCGTTATATGGACTGGACAGCTGGTATTGTCAAGGAGCTGTCTGCTGTTAGCCTGCTAAATTGAGGTCTTTCACCTTTCACTGCCATGAACTTCTCTTTGGGCAGACTTCTGGTTATGTGGCTGTGACTCCATGAAATGGCAAATCCAGATTGAGAGGCATAGTAGATGAGCAAAACTGCCAGGACCTTGTAATGCACAGCATTAGTTTGGTTTTGTATCACTTTGCTGGCTCAAATGTGCTTAATGTTTTCTGAAAAAATATAATTTGTTCCAGCATGCTCTCAGTAGCCATTGTAAAGCCAGCATAGGTGTTATGTTCTCTGACAAATTTGTTTAAAATGTGACTCCATTTATGCCTGATGTATTTCAGTATGTTTGTACTGGTGACACGCTAAAGGTGGTCGTGTCAATAAACATAGAAACGTTGCTTGTCATATAGTGTGAGATTACTAGACGTCTGCTAATAGATATACTGGTCTGCCTGAATTAAGCAGTTGCTTTCTTGCTTCAGCTCACAGTCAAGATTTTTATTTTTATATCAGCTGTGTATTAGACAGTCATATAATGCTTTCTCTCTCTTTCTGTCTTGTAATAAAAATAGGCAAAATGTAGTTTTGAACGACTTTTTTTTTAGGAGTTCAGCTTGCTTCAGAAGTGGTTGGCTAATGCTTTCACAAGCCTCAGAAGCCACAAGGCAGCTCTCTGTCTACAACAAACTATATCTGTCTCAGTCTGGAAGTTTGTTTAGAAAGTAGTTTCCCAGTGCATTTCAGCATGTTGTCTATTGCAAAGATTCATGAGTTTTGGGAAGGCACCGCCTTCTGCATGAAAAGCATCTCTCCAGCTGTTAGTGTGCTTTCATAACATACACCAATAGCATCAGTCTAGTGTATTTGCAAACCTGCAGTAACGGAGGATACCATTTGCATGCATTACCCTCACAACAGAAAGCTGGATATCCCTACTGCTTTCAGGATATCCTGAGCATAATGTTAGGATTGCAAAGGCTTTTATGAAGCTACATGCCAAGCTGTTTGCACTAAGGAAAAAGCATACAGAATTTTGTCACTCAGCCATAGCAGTGTCCTTATTACATTCATGTGAACTTAAATTAAAAACCAACAAAAATCACTTATTGCTTCTAAACAGCTTCTGTCCAAATAGCTAGTTTTAGTAGTAAATAGTAAAGCAAATGGAATTGCTTTCTAAGTTATGTGGAGGGGCACCTCTAGGGGGACAGTAGTCATTGGAAACTACTTTGTGTGGATTCAAAATACAGGGAGGACTATGGGGTGGGTTTTCTAGATAGTGCTACAGTCATCTTTGTCTTGCTGTGAATTTAGTGAGAGGTAAGTATCTTTCAAGATATCAAGCTCCATTAAGTATATGTGTCAGAAAATAATACTGCTTTTGTAATTGTCAGAATGATTTTAGCATGTTTGTTAAATAATCTCCTGTCAGTTAGTTTACTAATATTTAGTAGTAAAGAGTACTGAACTGTATTTGCAAGCCACAAAAGCAGAATATAATACATTAAATCTCAGCAGTTAGACTTGTCTACTCAAAAATTTTGGGCTATTTGTAAAAATTAATTTTTTTTTTGCATTTATTTCATTCATTTGACCTTGAATGACCAGCTGAGTTTACTATTATAGTCAGTCTCTCTCTCTCACTAGTATGTTGTCTCACAACATGGACCTTTCTGGCTCATGTGTTTAGGGTGTTTCCAGAATAATTAAGCTTTTCCTTATGTATCTTTAAAATGGCCATGATTTAGTGTTTGTTTTATTTAATTACCAGGGGAGTGCTGACTTGTCCAACTGGGATGTACTGAATGATCATGCAGCTGAAGTAAGTGTGAAAGAAGGTATCTTTAGTAAAAGATGCTGATATATATGTGAAAGATGAGTATGATAATTGGTTACTGAAATTATTAGTTATTGAGCATTGTTATCAAATATGATAAAAGTGATGCAATTTCACTATTTTGCAGTCTAAAACAGGTACTTATCTGCATGTACTTTTACTGGCTGCGAAACTGGTTGCTAAGAGAACTGGTTTTAGTGAAATCATGGACCTTGTCCAGAGAACTTTGAACAATGTTTTTAATTGAAATGTAGGTTTCTTCTTTAATTTTTTTCATACATTAAAACCAAAAAATATTTAAAATAAAATACAAGATACTGTCTCCTCTGGGAGAATTGTAATAATATTGCTCCTAAGAAACCACAGGATTGATTGGAACAGCTTTTCTCTTTGTACTTATTTTTTTGTTCTGTTGTTAAAGCTGTAGAAACTCAGAGTATGTTGAATATTTATTTGCAATAGCTGCATACATTTGAATTTAATTTTAAGTCAAGAACTTTACATAATTATTTTTCCTGTGGGTGGACTGTTCTCCAGTCAGCACAGATGGATGTAAAAACTTTATGTAATTTTGGTAGTATACCCACCCCCCAAAATTGTAAGTTGGAATGTATTTTAAATCCCAACACGTTTCAGATTGGTACTTTGCCACAATTTGGTGCTGTAGAATCACAACGCTCTTTTCCCTAATGTACCTTTGCGCCTTAAAGTATCATATGAAAATATATTATCTTTGAAAATTTTTTATTGGAAATTTTTAAGAATTAAGGACTTTATGTGTAATGTTTCAACACTGGGACTTTAATAGAATTACTTTTAAACTAGAATTTGCTCAGAATTTCAGACTGAAGCTGAATTTATATTCGGAGTAATCGCCAACCAGAAATGGCATATTGTTTTGTTGAATAAATACATTTTTTGTTTCTTTTATGAAGAAAATTACGATAAATTCTGCTGCAGAATACAGTGAGCTTGATGCTAAGATGTGTCAGGTGAGAATAGCTGACTTAGAGAACAGACTTCTGGAGAAACAGGAAGCGGTCAAAAGACTCACTGCACAGATGGAAGAGCTACAGCAACAACTTACCCAGCACAGTGACTCTATGCAACTTCAGGTATGTTTGATAGAATTGGGTAAGGGGGATAACACTACTTTAATCCTAAAATATTTAGAAGGCAAAACTCAAAATTAGTATTGTGTGTTATTGAAAAGTACTTCAGCTTGCTAATGTGTGCTGCAAAAACCAGTACTGAGGTTTTCCATTCACCAGTGTCTAGGACTTCATGTTGCTTGAATCAAGCGAGAGTAAAATTAAATTTGAAATGCCTCTATTTTTAGAAAGTTTTTAGCAAATGCATAGTTAAATTCGTCTTCTGAGAAATGGTTGGACACTTGCTGCTAGTTTTTATTGATAAATTTTCTTACTATATTGAGGAGTGGGCCTTTATAGAGAGAACCTGCAAGAACCACTAAGGTAAGTGTAGTTAATCATACATTGAGGTAGGGGCTCAATGTAAAAACACAGGACTTAAGTCAGTATCTGTAAAAACTTTATATATATATATTCCTTTTTTTAATATATATATTATATAACAAGGTCACGCTGAAAAAATCATGCAAAAAAAAAAATGTTCAAACTATTGATAAGGAAGTACTTATTGAAATGTCAATGTTTTTGTGGATATGTCTGAAAACCACTTCATAGATGCAGCTAGGCTCCTTTTCAAATGGTCACATGGGATGACAGACACTACTACCACCACCTACTATCGCCACCACCTCAATGACTTTCCCTTAGAGGTCATTCACACTTTTTGAATATTTATAGATACTTGTGGCTCTTTGGTTTTAGGGTGTGATTTCTTCTTTTTTTTTTTTTTTTTTTTTTGGTAGTATGGGCAAATGATGAAGTAGGATAAGTCAAACTTTATTAAACTGACATGTACCTTCCCCTCTGCCAAAATATTAAAAAAGATATTTTGAATTCCCTTTCTCTAGCATTTCTATGTAAAGGTAAATTATCAGCTGCTTCTGAAGAATAGTTGCTTCCCCATTTACGTGTTGTTTTTCTCCTTCTAGGACTGGGGAAACAAAGACGTTTCCTGTTGGTGAGAAATAAATTGAAAAGATTAATGTGATTAACATAAAATAGGATTAATGTATCCCATCTCATTAGCTTTCTCTTACATGGCTGAAAAGAAGAGCTGACAGATAGGAAAGAATTTAGGGGGTACTAAATATTCATTATGTCCTGTAGAAAACTTGATTGCTTTTACATCGATAAGAGCTACAAAATTTTTAAGTAAAAATATTTATTTCATTACTGGTATCCTATTATTTGTTTAAAAAGTCACTTTTGATTAGCTTTGTCATCTCTGAGATCAGTGTAAGATTCCTTTTTCATCACCCTTGCCATCATGTTTGAACACAAACATTTCTTGTCCTTTAGTGCAAGTTTGTTAAAACTTAAGTGTAACTATAGACTCTTAACAGCTTTGCTTTAAGAAAACTTACTAGGTTCCTATATATTAAGAATATTTTAATTTGAAACGTGCACTTCTTGTGATCCATGTAGGAGACTACGGTTCGGGAGCAGAATGAAGTCATCAGGAAACTAACAAGCTGCCTTCAACAGACAAAGAAGGATCGGGATGATCTACAGGAAGAGGCTTCACGTGTAGCTGGTCAGATCCATGATTTGCAACTTCAGTTACATCAGGTGTGCCTCTCCTCCAATTTTTATTTCCTTACAAAGAGAGTAAGAACAGGTTTGGAATATGAATGTAAAAACATATTGAACTTATCACATAGCTCTTCATAGTTCAGTTTGCAATGCAGCAGTGAAAATGATTTGAGGGCGAGGCAGAGTTTTCTTCAGTTGTGAGGGAGAAGTCCCAGAGACATCCTTATATTTTCCAGTTGCCTGTGTAATGTTTGGGAGGTCATTACACTTCTTTGTGCATCAGTTTAGCCCTTGTTAGGGAATTTTACCCAATATTGTTAGTGGTTTGGGATCTATACACAGCAATCACTGTAATGGTATGGGCTTAAATGTGATCAGTTTTCCTTGCCTTTGTCAAAGAAAGCTCCGAGTATATGCGTGGGCAACTGTAACCAGCTCAGCTGTTATACAGAAACTTGCTATGTTGAGGTAATGTGACTTGGCTCAAAGAAGGAGATTTAAAATAACCTGAAGATGGTTGATGCAGCCCCTATGACACATAGAAACCTGCTTCAGTGCAACAAGTTGATCATGGATCTAATCCCTGGATAATGAGAGATACTAAGCCTTTCATGTACTTTATAAATATTTTTTTTTAAATACTTTATTCTTTTTTGGTGATGCTCAGTGTTCTAGTGGCTGTTCTCTCTGAACACCTGTATATTTGTTTTCTCAGGAACCTTGTACTATATGCCAAAGAGTAATATTTATGTTTGCTTACCATTTCAGGTTTGCAAGATAAGAATTGTACTAGGAGGGATTACATGTCTTAAATGTCTGGATAGGAAGGGTTTTTTAAAAAAAAAAATTAAAAATAAAAACTGGGATTTACTGGAGGCAAGGGATTATCTTGAAGTTGTTGGTCATGCCCTGGAAAATAAATCCTCTGCTAAATGAAATTTTGGAAAAGGACAAAAAATACTGCTTTCTATATACAATTCTGATTGCTATTGACAAAATAAGTGGTAATAGTGAAAATTACTCTACAGATGATTATTGGGATTTGCTCCATAAGCCTTTGAAAGACAACGATAAAACTTCTAAATAGCACTTTGGACATATGCTAAATAAAGCTAGTAATATGATGCAAGTTGTTTGTGGAAGCATGTCAACTTTGATAACATGAAAATACTAATACGGTCTTAAATGTTATCTTCTTGGTTTTAGCAAAGTCTTCAGAAAAAGGTTTTAAAAATGAATAAGCTACATTTTATTTTACCCCCATACGGGTATATGTTTGGTTTTTTTTTTTCATTTGGGGGGAGGTGTAGAGTAAAAAAATACCTTTGGTACTGAGCTGTAAATCCTTTGCAGAGAAGACTGGTTTTGTTCATTATCCTTTTACCAGTATGTCCAGTCCATTGGAAGTCCTGCTTCATTTTGGAGGCTTCATAGAGATGAATTTTCTAACGTTTACAACTTTACTAGTTGTACTAGTAATAGTATCTAAAACATGACAAGTGTTGAGATTGAAGGACATAAGGTAAATCTATAGTAAATGATTACAGTATATTTTGTGCATACCGTGAGACTTGTGTATGAGTTATTCTGATATAAACTTTCTTCTGACTGTGAGTACCTTTATGTGTTCAGGTTAATGAGATGCTGAGGAATAAAAGCCATGGGAAGAATGAAGTATTAGAAGCCCAGCAGCAGATGTCCTTGTTTCAGAACCGTCTCAGAGAGCAAAATGCACATTTGGAGATGCTGCGTCAGAAAGCACATGACCTGGAAGTACAGCTGGAGTCTTCTCAAAAGGTAAAAAAATGTTTTAAAGTGCCTTTATAATTACAAGCTCTAGGTAGTTAAGTTTTTGGTGTGTTTGCACAAGCCAAGGTGGTACTTTTTGGAGGAAGAACCTGTAATGAACATTTAATTTGTGCATGAGGTAACATTGATGCTTCAGGACTGAAAGTACACCTTAGTGTGGAATTAAAAATCTATTCTTCTGAAGGTAATGATATTCACCTAAGGCAAAATAGCTGCTCACAATTTAAGATTTTTTTTTTTTTTGTATGAAATAAGGATTCAGTTCTGGCTCTTTAAAATTTGCTTATTTGTTGAAATTACTGCATCAGTTTCTGTTGCAGAAGGGTTGGTCTTTAACTCTGTTACTAAACTGTTGTATAACATTAAGAAGTTTCCACCAGAAGCAGGTCCATCTGGTGTTTCTTGAACTGACGCATGTGGGAACATAACTGACAGAGGCTTGCAGTGGGGTGAAGGTTGCTGGATATGCTGTGTAAGCATATAACAATACAGTTGTGTGTGAACTTGAAACACCTAGATGAGAGTAAAAGTGAACTGTATCAGTAATCATGTTAGCTTCAGATACAAAACAAAGTGAAAACCTTGTGTGGGAATATTTTGATGTAATCATTCCAGAAACAAGCACTATGAATAAAGAAACTTGGTTAAAGTTAAAAAAACATAACAGATGCTTACTTTTTTTATAATACGTATTTCAAATCTGGTGATAACTCTGACCTGCTGTAGTGGCATGGTCATGAAAGAAAGTCTTTTTTAGAAACAAATTTATAGGGATTGTGGTTACTAACATACATTAAAGGAACAGCTTAAAAGGTCTGATTTCCTTTAAGAACATAACCAGCAATGCCATAGGTAGAAGCCTTAAACTTTTAAGTGAGTCAGATGAGTCAAAATTTGACATGGCTGTTCTGTTGGCCTACTCCTGCCTGCAGGAGGTGTTTTCTCTGTGCACATGGCTGTGAGATGGAGAGGTGTCTGTAGCTTTGATATTATTTTATTTTGTTTTCGTTAAAATACCTGAAGTTTGAGACAGCCACTATTTTCTTTCTCTCCGGAGTCAGTGGCGCACCAGTTGTTATTGTTTAGGCAATTTGATATTTGTTACCACATTTGAAGAGTCTTTCAGTAGTACTTTCCACTCTCAAGGATGTGCTTAAATATCCTGTTACCTAGGCCAATGATACACCCTGCACTTAATGGTAAATATTATTTGTGAAGATAAGTTAAAAGCATGAGGCTTAAGGAAATTAAAACATGTCATATTTCGATGGCATATTTCATATGTAATTTTATTTTTAAGAATAACAAAGATAAAGAAAATCTGCTTGCCCAAATGGAAGAGGATATGAAAGATACAATGCAACAGCTATACAAAAGCATAGAAGAAAAAGACCAACATATTAAAAGTCTTCAAGATCTACTGACATCAGAAAGATTTAGCTTGTCTATATTACAACGTACCCTTTCTCTCCGGGACTCAGAAATAACAGAGTTAAGAAATGAAATAGCTTTATCTAAAATGAAAGAACAGCAATGTATTGAAGAACTGAAAATCAGTCATGAAAAGGATATTTGCAGGCAGTTGGAGAACTTGAGGGCTGAGCTGGAGAAGTGCCACAGAAGAGAGATTGCAGAAGCTAAGCAGGTATATGTAGAAGAAACTCTTTTAAAATACAAGAATGAACTTGAACAGTTAAAAAAAGAACTCTGTGCTCTGAATTCTGAAGAACACATTCAGAATTTGAATGGGATAATAATTGATTTAAATAATAGTCTTTGTGAGTCTGAAATTAATAAAGAAAATTTGAGAAGGAAACTTGAAAACCAACAGGAAGACTTCCAGAGAGAAAAATCTGAAATTGAGACTAAATACAAGGATTTAATTGATGGCCTTAAGTCTCAACTTTCTGATGCAGAAGAGCAGGTTAAGGAAGCCCAGCAATATAAACAAGAAAAACAATCCTTGAATGAAGAGATTCAGAACCTGAATTCTTTCATCCAGAAATTAAATGAAATGCGACTTTATGAGGCTGAAAAAAGTATAGATGTAGGGCAAAAGCATGATGAAGACATTGTCTCAAATAAAAAGCTAATGAAATTGAGGGAAAATGAGATTTTACCAGAGGTGTTGCAGTTGCAGAGAGGAGAGCTTGAAGAGATGTGGAATAAACTGCACCAGTTGAAAGGTGAAGGTGAGCTAGTTCATGAAGAACTAGAGTTCCAGTGTGACTTGGGAGTAGACTCCTCAAGGGATCAATTAGAAGAAATTAAAAATTCAGACATCACAGAGAATAATGAAAATAGTGAAGGAGATAAACTGTCTGAAGAACACTTGTCAGAACTGGGGCTTTTCAGTGGTGACAAAGGCATATTGGCTAAATATCTCACCTCCACAGAAGGACTAGAAGAGTCGTATGCATCCAGCACTTCTGAAGGTTATGCCATTGAAGAAGGTAGATGCAGTAGGTATGGGTTAGACAGTAGTGTGCTTCTAGAACCCAGCAGAGATTTTATACCTCCTTCATTAAACTTGGTCCTTGATGAGGAGACATGTCCTAGCCGTTTGGCTCAAGAGACTTTTGAAGAGACTGAGGGGGGAGCAGAGGCCTTTGTTTCGTTTTTGTCAGATAACTCCCTGCAGCAAAACAAAATAAGTGACCACGGTGATGTAAAGGATGCTGAGACGGCTTGTTTAGTAGAGAGATGTGTGAAGCTAACTGAGCAGCTCCATGAGAAGGAGTCAGCCTTGATGAAATCTTATCAGGAGACCCAAGAAGCTGTTGGAAAATGGGAAAAAGTAATGGCTGAGCTCTCTCATATGCATGTGGAACTGGATGAGGAACGTGAAGCACGGATCCGTTGTGAAAAAGAACTTCTTCAAAAAACAGAGAAGGAGAAAGAACTTGAAAACAAAATAATGTTTCTAGTAAAGCAGCAAGGTGTGGATGGAGGCCAGCTTTACTGTGCTGTAGAGCCTTTAACACAAGTGTCAACATCCTCTACCTGGCAAGAAATGGTAAAAGATCTCCAGAAGGAAAGAGAAATGTTGATGGTGCAGCTGCGAACTCAGGAGCAATTAGTGAAAGATGTTCAGGAGCAGAAAACAGCTTCTGATTCTGTAACAAGTGAAGTACAGTGTCTTTTTGGACGTCAGTTAGCTGCTTTGCAAAGTCAAAGGGATCAAATGCAAAGCCAGCTTGATGTTCAGAAGGCCAAAAATCAGACAATAGCAGAGCTGCTTGGTCAGAAAACCATATCTGAAGAAACATTGCTAAAAGAACAGGAGTTGCTCAAAGCTGAAATTGATAATAAAGAACAAAATTTAGCAATCTTATTGAAGGAAAAAACAACCTTAGGAGAAGGATTATCTGATGTGAAGGAGGATCTAATAAAAGCACAAAAAGCACTAGCAGAGAATGCTAGCATCACTGAGGGTCTTGAGAAAAACATACATGAACTTAATGCTGAAGTGAAAAGCCTCCAAGAAATACGTGAGTGTGAAAGACTGGGATATGAGGACAGATTAAACTTCAGCAACCTAGAAATTCATAAACTTAGTGCTGAAATAAAGGCAAAAAGTACTGAATACAGTGAGGAAAAAAGCCAGCTGACCAAAGAAATTGCCCATTTGAAGAAAGCTCATTTGGAGCTTGAGACTCGCTTGCAGGAGTCCCTTCAGTCCGCACAAGCTGTGCAGGAGACACAGTCCAAGATGGTGAAACATTACAAAGAGGAAATGGATAAACTGGAGACTCAACACCTTGCTGAATTAACTAAAGTGAGTTTGATGCATAAGAAGGAGGTAGGAAACCCCTATAGCAGCAGGAGTCTTGGGATTTCAGAACGCTTAAGGTAGTCATTGCAAATGTTTATATGCCTGTTTTCAGATAGAAGAATTAAATGCTGAAATAAAAGATAAAGTGGAAAAACAGCAGAAGTTGGAAGAAGAAAAAAAGGAACAGATTGCTTTAATAAAAAAGGTAAATGCTGTAATTGGGTTTATTCCAGAAAAATAAATTCATTTTGTATTGTTTGTCATTTAAACAGTATAAATGTTTTGGAGATGCAAAAATCTATTAATTGTTTTTTTTCCATGGTGTCGTTGATTTGAGGTCAGGAGGAGGGAAGAATTTTGGGTCAGTAATATATTAGGGGGCTAACTAACCATATTTTGAAGAAAGCTCTTTATCTGAGTATTCTCTGCAGGTACATGAACGAGAGCATGATCGTGAAATCTCTGAACTGATTACTAAACATGAAGAGGAAATGGAGAAGCTCCGTGCTGAACTAAATAAAGAACATCAGCAGCTGTTGGACGAACTTCGGCAGCAAATGGCAGCCACACACAAAGCAGAGATTGAGCAAGCTCAGCTCCAATCACAGGTAAAATAAAGAAACACACTAATTACTGTAGTGGCTAACTGGCTGTTGCAAAGAGAAGGCTCCTTGATTTTTGTGCATGCTATGTATGCTTTTTTTATATAGTGCTGCAATTGAAGAATTAGGAGTGTTCTCTTGGTGGGTGGTAGTAGATATTTTCTACAGGAGTTCTCCAGGATCCTCACTGCAATTATATTTTAACTTTAATTCTGAAGAAAACTGGATGGTTAAATAGGTGAGGTTAAAAAAAAAAAAAAGTTTTGTAATTTTTCATGTCTTGATAAGTTTCATAAGTAAATTTATAAAAAATACTAAACCCCTCTCACTGTTTATTATCCCACTAATGTAATTAGGCAAGCTTTCATGCTAAACATAAGTATGTAAACCTGACTTTTTCCTCTAACTATTTACTGGGTTTTTTAACACTTCCACTAAATGCAAAGTGGAAATGGAAAGAGTAGGTCTTGTGTTAGGTCTAATTACAAGATGTTGGTGTAGTCTTTAGTCTATTTAAGAATTGGAAAGTTTGGCTGGTCCATTTTAGCTGCTGTTTCTAACTGTTGTATATTCCTTGCTTTTTTTTTTAATTGAGGCATGATGAATTTTATTTCCACTTCTCCAATACCACTTCAGAATGTTGCTTTTTAACGAATTATAACCAATAGCAAATATGAGGAATTTTTTTAATAGACAGTGAAGGATTGGGGTGAGCTTGTGTTCTGCTCTGATGACATTGTGAGGAAGTGGACAGATACAAAGTATTTGGTAGGAGATGAAGTTAAGAGGAAGGCAAGGAAAGCCTTTTACTTCGCACTGAAAACTTTATGCAAATCTCATTGTAACAAAAGTTAGCTTATTTTCAGGATTCTGTCCCTGCCATGAAGAAACACTCTCCAAATACAGAAAGGCAAAACTTAGATGTGTTTAAGTTGAAAGCAATGGAAACTGAAACTGCTCATGAAAAAAGTGAACACATTTCATTAGGGGGGAGGGAAAAACCGTTTTTCTTCTCCATTACAGGCACTGCACAGCCTTGAACTGGAAGCTTTACGCCTAAGCTTAAATAATATGCATACCTCTCAGCTTGAGCTTACACAGTCTAACTTGAGAAAAGAAAAGGAGACTGCCCTTGTGGAACTACGGGAGATGCTCAATGATAAGCGTGCTCAAGAGGTAGCAATTCTGCAAAGCCGCCATCAGCTGGAGTGGGAGAAGATTAAAGAACAGTGTCTGAAGGAAAAAGAAGACCTTAAGTCAAAGTATCAGCAAGAACTAGGTATTAAAATTTGGGAATTATGGACCAGAAATTGGAACTCTGTCAGTATTTTTCTTCCTCTGCGTGTTCCTGTCTTGACATAGAGCTGGCCTTTTGAGTGACGGCTGGTGTTGCCTTGAGTAGGGACAGCGGCTAGACTGGCATGTGCAAGAGTGCATGTTTTATATATGAAAATGAAGTTGTCCAGACCTAAATTTAATTTTTCTTCAACTATACAGGTGTTTTGCTGCTACCTCTGTAAAATAGCACTATACTGAACTAGTTGGTTTCAGGAGGCATTAGACAGAGCTCTTGTAAAGAGTTTAATTGGTGCAAAGAGTAGAGCTCTTACCCCTTATGTTTCTTAAGGTTTTTTATTGCCCTAAGTCAGCACTGACTACTGTTGTGTTTCTGACAAGATATGGAAATGCTTCCTGGCCTGCCCTCTCAGTGGTTTCAAAAGGAGGATAAAGGGAGTTGGAAAGGAACTGAAAGGCTCAGTGAGAGAGAACCTGCAGCTAGGTGTCCTTTGAAATGTGCTTGTTATAAGATTGTATTCTGACAACAGCAAGGGGAAAGCTGCACTTGATAGTATTGAAGGCCTGCTGATAGTGTGCTTGACATTGTTTGGGATATTTGCCTTTTCTCAGGTCAGGAGACCATTTCTGACCAGTATGGCAGAGGTTGAGGAATTTCTGGAGAAAGGTGAGGACTGCAGCAATTCACTGAAGAAGTTTAGGAGCCATTCTTTCAGTTGTCCTTCCCTGAGAGCAAGAGAATGTTTTAGGGCTGTGTCTTTTTGGCTCGAGTAGAAACCCATTTGTTATCACCAGTAATACAGTGAACTGATAGCATGATGGGATTTGGGAGCAGGAGGAGGTCTAGATGCAGTTCTTAAGATCAATGCTGTTTACGTGCGTTATGGCGATGTAACTTGATATGAGTGTAACCACTTCTGAGTGGTTGAATGTAGAGGCTGAGAAGGAGAATTTGGAAGCAGATGATGCAGGAGACCTGGAAGGGAGTTGTGGATACTGTTACCTGCGGGGCTAGAGGAAAGACATTTCTTGTCAGGGAGGTGATGATTGGACATGACCCAACTCACCTGAGTGCTGGGAGGCTGTCTTGTAACTTGGATGATGTTTCTTCCTCTACTGGACCATTAGCTGGGTAGCTGGCACCATCTTGGTCTCTGAGTTCTCATTTCCCACAGAAAGACTTGAAATAACGTTGCAAGCTAAGGCAAGGGTACTTTGAAGCTGTGAGAGGGGGACTTTACAGGGTTCTTGCAGACCAAGAAAGGTGCTGGACAAGAAGTTGGAATGAATCTGGGGAGGAGGTGAGAAGGAAGAAGCCGTTGGCGTCAGGGATAACTGAGCAGATAATAGCATCTGTCTCGCAGTCTGTTTCCTAGGCATTCTTAGAAGAAATTTGAAGAGTTTCTTACTTACCGCTGCTGCCACCTGCTACTCTGTTGCTGTGTCTCTGGAGATAAAGATGATTCAAACACTTAATAGTGACATGCAGTGAAATGCTAGCATCTAAAATGACATTGACTGGTACTTTACACTGCTGTGTGCCTACTTATTTAAGCCCTGAGTTTGATGCTGAAAATGGTAATCTCATCCATATTTCTACTTACCATTTAATCATAACCTTTTATGTAAATTTATTAATAAGTATTTTATTTCACAGTTGATCAAAGAAAGAAAATAGAATTGGAAATGGAAGAGACGCATACCCAGGCATTAGAGGTAAAAATTCTGTTCCTCATACAAGAAAAAGTAAAAACTCCTTTCAGTAAACTAGAGCTGGTAGAAGTCCTGTGTCTACTACATATTTATTGTAGAGGACAAATAAATGGGAGAAAAAAAAAATACTAGTTTACTAAATGTGTTTGCTTTAATAATGCATGTCTTGCTCTCTTAGACTCTCAAAAGAGACTGGGAATTGGAGTCTGAGGTGCATTTAAAAAACATGTGTGAAGAGCTGTCTGAAAAACATCAGGCTGAAATGGTGGAACTGCAGAAAACTCTGGAAATGGAATTAGAAAAAGTCAAAGCAGAGCTGGGGCTTCTTTCTCTTGAGAATGAACAGTCTAAAAGTAAGTGCCATGGTCTGGGAAGCAGTTGTCTTTATTGAACAATGGCAAAGCTAACTAAGTGGTTTTGGAACCTGTCTAAAAAGCAAATACAAGATATATCCATGTACTCTTACTTAAAAACTGGATGGATGGCATGAGACTATCTAGAAAACAGGACGTAAATGAAAAATTGATTAAAGCCTAGTTAGCTGTGTTGTGTTTTGACTTCCACGGAATATGAGATGAACTATGTTTTCCTTTGAGTGTATTAAAGGGAGGTGCTGTTTTGCTTCCAGCTGAAAACTGGCTTTGGCAGTTACTGAATTAATCAAAATGCTGATCAATAGCAGTAGAAGCTTCTAACAAAAAAAATTGGGGTTGGATTGTGAATAGTTAAAGCTTAATGAAACAGTAGCTTTTTAAAATACTGTTCTGGAAGTGATGTTTCTGAGACAACTCTAATTGGAGTTTTCATTAACTTGAAAAATGAAATCTGGATGAGTACCTAGCCTGGTACATCTGTTCATGTCTTTTGCTGAGGTGCTGACAGGAGATAGAACTATGAAAAGTTTGTGTAGATTTCTGAGATCTAACGCATTTGTTGAGACAGTGGTTGACTGGCACAACAGTGTCAGATTTGCTGTCAGTGATGGCATGAAAAGGAGCCACGAGATGTGGTGTGCCATGAAGTGAAGAGAGATAACTAGTCAGATTGCCTAGCCTCTGAGGCACTATGCAGGTGGGAGACATGGAAAATAATACTCTCTCCAAATAAATGGAAATGCAGTGTTAAGGGTATTGCATGATGCTGGCTGGCAGGCAGCAAGACCATCTTTTGAGAAGTTAAGAGTAGCCTTTTCGACCTGCCAAGGGCTGGATGCTTTCACAGTGTTTGGCTCACCTTTGGCTGCTGTGAGGACATATTTGTAGCAATGGCTTGTTCTTCCTAGTCTGCACTGACTTCACTGGATTTCCCTGAACCTGTATCATTAAAGTTTATTCTGTGAGAATAATGTGCATCTCTTGCAGCTCACTGTGGCTGAAATGTGGTCACTTGATTGCAGGTTCTGTCTGGGCAGGTCAAGATTTGTTGAACAAATGAAGTAGTAGCAAGTTTACAGGGTTCAGTGAGTGCTAAGTGCAGGGGCAGAGCATACCTGGCATGAGCTTTCGTAGTCCTTTCTGTTCATCTCTTCTACTGCCTGCTGCTGAGTGTGGTTGTAGGAGAAACTCTGTGTTCATAGGCCATGAAGAAATGCTAGATTCCCTGTTCCAAGTATGTGTGCTTCTAGTTCAGGATGCTTGTTCATATGTGCAGAGAGCAGATGCTCATCCCTCCAGCACTACTGTTTGTTATCTCTTGGCTAACAGCGTGGGATGCAGAGAACTAGGAAGCACTGTGTGGAAATGTTTTACTTTTGCTTGCTGTAAGCTAGCATTGTAGTCTAGAGACATGCATTTCTATTTTAGTTGCACCAGAGTTGTACAGGTTATTGAGTAATCAGGATGATGGTATAACAGAACTCATTTTTAATTTTAGTAAAATGTATAGAATTGGAAAAGCAACACCAGGTAGCCATTATAAAAGTACAAGAACAGCTTCAGACTGAACATAACCAACTCCTAGAAGATGTGAAGATGAAGAGTCAAGAAAAAGAACAGAATCTCCAGAAGGAGGTAAGTAAGATTTCTTTACTCATTTAGAGTGGTTGATTACTTTATATATAAACAAAAACTAGACCATATACATATCATTTGGGTGACTTGTTTGTATTTAGGGATTTTATTGAAAAACTAAGATGCATCTCATGAAGCAGGTAAATGCTTTGGGATTTTCTATAGTGGTTCAAAATCTTTTGAATGCAGTTGCCTTTGCCATTTGATGCTGCTTCTTCCTCTGTATTTATATGCTTAATTTTCTGTTTCTTGTGTTTTGTTTTTATCTAACTAATACTTTGTTTTTGCCAGTAATGATAAATATGGCATCAGGAACAAATACCTCTCTTTGAGGAGTGGGTCTAACAGTTAAGTGCCACTCAGTATCTCTGATAGCCTGGATCATGAGCTGGTTGTCACTGTTTCCACCTATTTCTGACAGAATTGTCTGTTGCATATAAAATAAGAAATTAGAACAAAATTGTTTTTAAAAGTTGGTTTTTTTTGTTTTTTAACATGTCTCCCATAGCTGGAGAAACTTCAGGTAATGCATGAAGAACTCAAGACTCAGTCGCAAGAAGAAATCAGGCAGCTTTGGTCTCAGCTTGACAGCACACGAGCAAACCGACAAGACCTAAGTGGTATGCTCAGAACTGATGTGTTCTATTTTTTGCCTCTTCTTCATATAGAAGTATGCATTATTGACATGAAATATTTTTAATTGTGTACCAGAAACACACAGGTAGGTCATAGCAGTGTCAGTGGGTTGTACCTAGTGATCTGTTTTGGAAGTGAGAGGTGAGTCAGTGTCAGATGACTAGTTGGTTCTGCAATGTCAAAAAGCATGGTATGGCTGTGGGGAAAAGCTCACTCCTGTTGTTTTCCTTTCCCTTCCCACTCTGTTCCTGCACACTATAAAAATCTTTAGTGAAAACCAAACATTTCTCATTGCAATGTCAAGTTCAGTATAATGTAGTTAAGAAGTGGAGAAAATGCTGGTCAATGCAATAACATGCTCCTATTTGTATTTGGTATGGAAGCGGGTGTGAATTCAGTTGAGAAAACTGTTAATTGTAGGTAGACAGTAAAGCTCACTGCTTAGTTTATGACTTTGAGTGGTATATTGTGGCCATTTTCTTTTATTTGGAGATAAGAGATCAGTCTGCTTAAAAAAAAAAAGGCAGAAATATTTTAAGACTCTGATCAGGTTATATCTTGAGGTAGAAATGGCTTTTTTTTCCCCCTTTCAGTTTTGAGGTGAGTTAAATAAAATGATTTTTTCATTGACACTCAACATGGGGATTCATCATCTTCTGAAAGACTTTTAATTCTTAAATATAGAAAAGCCCCAGTTAAAGATATTGTTATTTTTAAAATGAAATAAAAATATTCAGGTGCTGCTTCTGAAATCAGAATGAATGGTAATGTTGTTTCCCTGTAAGGCTAAAAATAACCTCCTTTTTCCATAATAATGCTTCTATTTAAAAAAATAAACAAATCCCCTAAACCTAAAAGCAAAAAAAAAAAAAAAAAAAAAGGAAAACATTGTGCACAGCAATTAAACATGAACAGTTTGGGAGTTTTTGTTCTTCAGTTTGGTGGTGGTGTTTGGTTTGGTTTTGTTTTTTTAAATTAGTCCTATGTATATCTGCATTAAAGTTATGAAAAAGTTTTAAAGCCTGAGAGAAAATAATGGCTGGATGAAATCTGATATTGTATGCTTTATATATCTTAAGATTTATGTTTCAAGATTTAGGTGTGTTACACAAAACAGTCAGCTTTACAGTGTAGTGATCGGAGATGACACACATCTTTGGTTGAAGTCAAGTAGAACATGTCTCAGATGTGTGTGCACAAATAGATGTATAATACAGGAAAGAAGACATTTTTGAAAAATAAAAAAGCTAGAGACCATGATGTTAACCTTGTCAATGTGTGTTTTCACCTTGTATTGAGAGTGTAATATTAGGTGGTGTTCTTTACTTCTGCTGGGGTAGTTAAAACAAATGGCAAATGTAATATACTTCAAATACAGTTTCAGATTTTCTGAATAATGTGACTGTAAATAGCTTTTGAAGTATAATAGTGTTTTGTGAGGGTGGGGTTTTTTTGTTGGTTTTTGGTCATAAATACAAAAATTATTCCATCTACTCAGACTTTACCTTGACTTTTTCAGATCTCTGTTTTGATCCTACAAAATTATAGAAGATGGCACTTTATAGTATTTGCTGGAATTCTTGTATTTCCTCTCTGTAGACCTAATCTTTATTAACCTTTCAAATGTCTTTCCATGTTTCTAATCACTCATATTCCCATTCTTTGGACCCTTTCTGTTTCTTCATTTTGCTTGAGATGGTGAGACCAAAATGCAAGCCCATGGTCCAGGTGAGGATATCTCTTTTGGTGTGTGAGATCTTAAAGGTGTTTTGTTGTACTCTGCTTTTCTTCACTTGAGTGATCATTTAACAATGCATTCGGATTGATTTCAGGACTCATGGTGGCAGGTTCAAAACAGCAGCTGGATGATGGGATCGCTGCTCTGACCTAAGAAAGACATGCCAGTTCAAAACTGTTAAACACTTTTCTGGGTTAATTTTGTGCCAGCAGACTTTGCTGGTTAGGCAAAACCTACCTACCTGTGCCACACTGGACTTCCCTTGCCTATCCCATTGGTGGTGTTACTAAGTCCCTGCTTGTCACTTGATTCCTCTAGTCCCCATGCTTGTCAACTGCTCCCTTTGGAAGCCAACTTGAGCCATGTGCTTACTTCTCTTATTCTTTCTGTTTGCATGTTCATTGTGAGAATTTTTCATGCAAAGTATGCATTTTCTGGTTTGCTACACAAAACCACACTGTGACAATCAGCTGTCTTGCTTCCTGGGTGGCATCCTCTGTTTCCATAAATGTTTCTGAAGTTTCTCTTCTTGTATAACATAAGCAGCTGCTTTTCTCAAAGTTCTTTCTTCTTGAAATGCAGTTCCATCTTCAGTTGATTCTGTGGAGATTCAGCTCACTTAAGTCATCTGGGAAGCTGAGCCATCTGGGAAACTTTTTTAATTCCCTCTCATGTTTTTTGTCCTTTTTTTCCTACCTTTTAACTTCCTGATACATTACTGCTTCTTTAATACAGAATGTGAGGAAGAAAGCTCTCAGAGTTCATGAATACACTGCAATGCTGGCCATTGCCCTCACTCCCTGAAAGGAGAGTATCTTGCAGAACCAGACTTGATTGCTGTTTTCTACTGCATTCTATCTTTTTTCTTTTTTTTTCTTTTTTGTTTTGAAGGTTCTTTTTAATTCAGTGAATTTAGCCTCTGTTTGAGCTAATAATGGATAGCCAAACCATCACTAAAGTAATCCTGAATTGATTTTATTTTTTTCTTTCTTGTGATTTTGTTTTTCTGCCTAGTTTGTGCTAAAGCTTTTTGTTTGTTGGGTAGTTTTCCCTAGAGCAAATTAAATGTTCTTGACTAAATTATTGCTTCTGGTTGCTACAACAATCAGATGTGAAGGTTAAGCAGTATTGCAGGACTCTGCATGCTACTAGTCCAGACCTGAAGCACAAGGAAACGAGGAGGGCTACCAGTCTGCTGGTAGTTTTGATTCTTGTCATGAGGATGGTTCTCTCAATGCAGTGTAAATGGAGAACATGGTTTTACTGTCTTCTGAGGAACGAATGTTTTGTCTTTCAGAAGTTCATTTTCTTACGTAGCTTGTGGGATAACATTTTACTGCTAGCTCAACAACTGAAATATTGCTGTTCTTCACAGAATGACTTAGCCTAAAGATAGGTACTTCTGAGTACTTGTGTTGGTTTTGCCTCCATTCTAGAGCTAAAAGAGCAGCTCCTGGCTCGTGCATCACGGGTGGAAGAAATAGAGCGCTTAAAACAAGAATTTGAACAGCAGCATCAGCAAAGAAAAAGTGAGCATGAAACTGAACTGGAACAACTGAGACTTTATTTTGAAAAGAAGTTAAGAGTTGCTGAAGAAAACTACAGAGAAGAATTGACTTTGCTGCATCAGAGACTGCAAGAACTGAAGGAATATTCACTGTCAGAGTTGGAAGTGAGTCAAGATCAAGCAGGGGACATCAGGTGATCTATTCTTTTTCCTTTCATCTCATGTTATGACAGCATGCTTCTTTTTTTTATTTATATATATATAAAAGATGATGTTCGCCTCTAAATATATTGGGACTGAGCATTAGGTGATCTGTAGTTAGAAACCTAGTGATGGAAGTCATGAGTGCATAGTCCTGAGCAGTTGTTATATTTGCTCAGTAGTACTTTTCAGTACTACATGGTAAGTCAGCAAGTTTGTTTAACTTAAGATTGTAACGTGTCACAAACTAAGCTTTAAAATCCTTTTCTCAGTTCTTCTGTTGCAGTTTTTGAAGAGAATGCTGAGAAAGAGAGAAGGGATACACTTGGTCAGCTAAATCAACAGCTGGAACAACATCAGGTAGGATTTTTAATATATCGAAGTTCTACTGTTCATTACATGACCTGTATGAAAATTGATGTCTGATTCCTAGCGCTTCGCAAAGTTCGTTAATTTGAGTCATTTATTAAGGCTTAATTATTTTTGACAAGTATATTGTATATTATCAACTTTAAATAGTTTTCAGACTAGCAGAATAGATGAAACAGTGTTCTGTAATTTTGTGTGCTTTGGGTTATCCCGTGCCTAGCAAGGAGCTTATCAAACCTCTTCCACACAAGTGCAGATTTCATGATGTTTCTCTTTGCTATAGCTTTTGTAATAATTGTGTCTTATTACTGTCTAATCTCTTCAAGTGGAGATGCTAATTTGGTCCCGCTTCCATTAATGCACCTATTTTCATGTACCTTGTAATTTAAGGTCTTGACTTCTTTGCTCAACTTATTTGAAGTTGACTAAGAGTTTCAAAAAGGAATTTTCCTTTTTTTTTGGCTTTAGATTTTTTTTTTTTAAGTTAATGATAAAAAGCAATATTTTTTTAGTGAGGGAATGACAAGCAGACAAGACATATGCAAGACAGCATGAGCTCGATTTCATTAGTAAATCACACAAAAAATGTTTGAGTTACAAATGAGAAATGTATATGTCATGCCTTTTTTTTTCTTGCTGATATTTGTACCTAGCTGAGTGTGAAACTGCATTCATAGATCCTTACTTCTAAGCTCTGTGGTGTGTGTAGAAGGGGGTCTCTTAATTGTTGAGAGTTGATAAGTTTCTTTGCCTGGATGCATGTGGGACTTCCTCCTCCATTATACTTTCAAACAGCTTCTGAAACTCGGATCTGCCTTGTGGCATGGTTCTGGAGCATATCTATCTTGAGGGGATCTGCTGCTCTAGTAGCAAATGAAGTGGCGGGAATGGAGCAAAACCAGTAGGGTTTTTGGAAAACAGATACGTATGCGTCAAGCAGGTGCTTTATACTGCAATTCTTGTAGTGCTCTCATTGAAAGATTCTCGGCATGGTTTCTTCAAAGCTGAAGATGTCTTTCTAACCCACTTTTTATGTAGGAAGAACTTGCCTGCTTGGAGGTACAACTTAAAGAAAAACACAGGCATGAATTAGACTCCTTAAGATCTTCCCTTGCACTTCAATATAAGGAGGACCTAATGAAAATGAAGATGGATCTGTCAGACAAATATATAACAGAAATTGAGGAAATGAAAAGAAAGCATTGTTTAGAACTTGAGCAGCTCCGTGCCCGACTTTCAGAAGAACATATTAAAGGTAAGATGATCTGACAGACTGGGAAGTGAAACAGTAAGTGCTTGTGTGGCTTATATTTTTCTGTAAATAGGCTTATCTGAAGAAGTTTTCAATTTGTTATTAGTTTACTCTGAACTATAGGGAACACTTAACGTATGTTAATCCCTGGCATTGAACACTTTGCTTTTTGACTTCTGTGGGCAAGTTGAGTTGCACTTCCAAAGGTGTGGTGACCTGAAGTCAATTATTCTGTAGTAAAATCTGCTACAACTGTGGAGCAGTTGCTAAAAGGAGTTGATCACGTTTCCGTTCTTGATGCCTAGAAGGGCACTGAGTTCCTGAATTAATATTTATTTGAAAATTTATTAGTGTTGTCTGTCAGTGATGTTAAATGTCTCATGTATTTGCATGAAATAGGCCAGTTCTCAGTCTGTTCAATGGAGTAGACCCACTTCTGTTCTATGTTCCATACCTCTTTCCCCTGCATTCCTTTTGTGGGTTTGAGAGTGCTCTGCTTATTTAACGTAAATATTTCTTTCTCCTCCTGTGTTTTACACTAGTTGGCATACATATTGGGATGAATTTTTTGAACAGAGGAAAGTATCTATGGGTAGCAGAATTTGTAATGGATATCTTTTGCTGTAGCATTCAGGTTAAAGTTCCTCTTAAGGCTAAATTTAATGAGACTTCCTCTGTGATCATGGGTTTCTTAACAGTTGCTGCTTTTCTTGGAATTGTAATTTATATAAATATACTGCCTTGTACTGGTTCAATATGAAATGCATATATTGTTGAGGTGCAGATAAGGGATTGTGGCAGTTCTTGTATCTGCAACCTCTTTCTGGGAGCACAGCATGCTACATAAACATTTGAATTTATAATCCATAACTTAGCTATATAACACACATGGCCATAACTATATTCTACTGTATGTTGGCTAAAAGGATCAGTACAATTTTTTTTAATTTGCAGTTATATTTCTTATCTTCATTTATTTATTTATTTTTAATGCTAGGCAGTATATCAAAACTGCTTAGATTAGAATGTTTAGAGATTTGTCCTATCTGCTTTTTTGGGAAATACCTTATATAAATAGTATGTGCAGAAGAGGAGATAAAACTTCCATAAATCTGCCATTACATTGCCCAAAAGGAAAGTCAGCTCCTGTGGCTATTGCTGATAGGAGGGAAGTCCTGCCACAGGTTTCATGATCTCTCCCCATTATTCTGTGTGTGTTGATACTGATAAATATCAAAGGTGGTGATAAAGAAAGAGGAACAGAGTACAGAATCATCCTGATAAGGGATTCTTGTTGGCCTGTATTTAGTAAGGCTAGTGATAAACTGTACAGCTGACTATGTTCAGCTTTTATTTGTGTGCATTAATAGGACCTGTTAAAATAAAATAAATTCCAGAATGTAATTTTATTGGGTTTTTTTGTGTTTGGGTGGTTTTTTTTGTTGTGTTTTTTTTTTTTTTTTCCTCTCAGAAATCACCAAACTGCGGCTGCAGAGTGCTCAAGACGCAGCACGTCAAGTTGAAATGGAGGTGGCTGAGCGAGTGTCTGTGCTGGAGGAAGAGCACAAAGCTAAGCTCTTTCTCCTCCACTCTGAGAAACAGCATATTGCAGAGCTTTCAGAAGAAATAAAGCACTTAAAGGAAGAGATTACTAGACAGAAAGATTTTTCTGTGCAGAATGAAAAGCATCTGAAAGAGGAAATGGAAGAGGTAATTTGTATTACAGTACTGTATAGAGTTGGGCAAGCTCAGATCTGTTGGGAAGGCCAAGGGAGATAGAATCAGCTCTTATCTTTAAACGTGCCTAGTTTAGTGTTAGTAGCTTCAGCTTTAAATGGACTTGCATGGATACACACGAATACTGGAATACAAGTCAAGTTCAGAGCATTTTAATGTTAAACGCTTAGTTTCTCTGCAGGTGAACTTTTCTTTAAGAGCACAAATAGTGTGGGAAGGCAGGTGCTTTAAGGGTTGATCCAGTCCACCTTTTATATTGATGTGGGTCAAGCATATGTATACCACTCCAATACAGGCACGTACAAAAGTTCCTCATCCTAAACATCTCCCTGCAGTACATCACAGTGTCCTGCTGCGAAAGTAACATGGTGCACTTGCATACTGTGACATGTCATGTGGTAATGGAGAATACAGCAGAAAGTGCTGTGGCAGATAGAAAAAGCCCCTCTGCTGAACAGGTTCCCTCTAAGAAATTTCTGATTTTGATAGGACTGTCTCTTAAAGCAAATAACCAGAAACAATTTTTCAGACCATTTTTTGAGGTAAGAAGAGAGAATTGGGCAACGGATTTCTGCTTTTACTTTGCTTTGGTGTAGCTCTTATACCTTTACTGTCAAAATCTTGGAGTTGAGAGAACAATATCTGGCACCTTCCCTCTTACCTGTTAAATCAGCTCTCCCATCTGAGGATAAACTCAGATTGGATGTTAATTCATTGCTTAATTTGTTCCAATATTTGAATGCTTCTGAGAATTAGATGGGTGAAGCTCTGATTTCTCAAGTCCTCCTTTTCTCCCTTTTTAAAGAGAGATAGGTATGTGTATCCTTTTCCAGACTTAAAAACTGGCAGAGAAGGCCAGAGAAAACAATTGCAGACTGACTGTAGATAACACGGAGACTCAGCTGAAGCTTCCAGTAGTGAAGCTTTCGATACTATTGCTTTACTCTTATTGCACGTGGTTATCTTGTTTGTGGCACTGCTGGCTGGGTAAAAGATAAGCATATACAGAATGTGGTGTTTGAAATGAGCTTGTCTCGCATGCTGATCCTCTGCCTGGAAATACATATTTTGTTTGCCTTCTGGTCTCTCGCTTTCAGAAATGGAGTGAACCGATTTCCTCAGTTGCCCCTCTATTGCCAGTGCCTCCCACAAAAGATTTAATGGATTGTGTGTGAATCAAAATCTGGGGGTTTTGCCTTTCTTTTCTGCCTCTTCATTTAGGTTGTAGCATAAATGAATGCTTAAGTATTTGTTCAAAACAAACCTAAGTGAAAACTGAAATGTATACTTTATACTGATGCTCCCATGTGACTTCTTACTTGCTTTTAATTTTCTTTTAAGAGATGACCCTGTTGTTTCCTTAGCCTACTGTTTATTTGTTTACCTGTTTACCTCTGCTGTATTTTTAGTGTCTTTTTTTGCCTTTTGTCATTGAGCAATCGTTTGGTGCTTTGGCTTCTGTTTTTATGCTACATGCTTTTTATTTTGCTTTTATGCTATGTACGAGAACTGCCCTTGTCATGGATTTGGACACTGCATATAAAATACCACTGGCATGTATAAGGAGAGATTTAAAAGGGATTTTCAATCATGCTCAATATAAATACCTAAGGTGCTCATAGCTTTATAAGTTGAACTCCTGAAATGAAGAAAAGTGGCCTCAAGAGAAAACAACATAGAGTACCATATTAATTCTAGAATTTTGCCTTAATTTTTTTCTTATCTTCCTTACCCCAATTAATTCTTAATAATGTGTTGAATTCAAGTACCTATGAATTGACATTTCAGCCTTAATTTTATTTGGAAAGGTTACTTCACTGCAGGAATTTAATCTGTCCAAGACCTTAAATGCCTGTGAATGTTCACTTCACACACTTCAGTTTGGTTTTGGTATTTTATGCATTTTTTTCTTTAATAACTGTTCACAGGTAAAATATAAAATTGCTGAGGATCACAAGAATAAATTAAGGGAAGCCAGAGAAGAAGTCCAGAAAATAGAGACTATGTACAAAGAAAAAGAGAAGAAATGGAAATGTGAAAGTGAGGACCAGAGAATCCAAGCAGAAGAGAAGTTGTCGTTGTTGCGTATAGAACTGCAAAACAGAGCAGAATATGAGAAGCAGAATTTACAAAAGGAGTTTGAACTTCGGGAAGCTGAAATGAATCAACTTCAAGATCACCAAGCTGCCAAAATTCTAGAATTGGAGAAGCTGGTAAAAGAGCAGCAAAACAACCTGCAGCAGCTAGAGGACAGCCTAGCAAGTGCACAGGCTATGCAGAAATCTCAGGAGCAATATGACACTGACCTGCAGGCAGCCAAAGTGCTCATGGCAAAAGAGATGGAAAAGGCCACACTTTGTCTGCAGGAAGAATGTGCACGGAAACTTATGGAAGCACAAAACAAGTAAGTCCTGAGTATTTGAGCACTTTGACTTACCAGTTCAGTCATTGTTATAGTTGCTTTTTCTTATTTTAAACTTAATGAGTGGTAGTGATATAGGTTTGTCACTTGATGGCACCAACTGACTTATACATGTGAAGCTTGCTCTCCCAAGGATCAGTAATGCTGTCCATTATGGTTTATTTTGCTTCATGTACATGCATTTAGTCTAGCAAATCAAATGAAGTGCAGTCAAGTTCTGCCTGTTACAGTTAAGAATACAACACCCAGCTGAAAATTGTATACTAGCCTTGGAGGAGGGGAAGTGTTACAGGACATGTAAGTGGAAAAATTCTCTAAATTTATTCAAAAGTTTTCAAACAATTCAAATTAATTTGAGCAAGTTTTTTCTGGTGAATGAAACTTGTGTTAACCACTGAATGCTGAGGTTGATGGGCCACATATAGTATTCTTCAGTTCTTGTTAGACATGAAAGTTGTAACTGTTCAATTTTTCCTACCCCCATTGTTTTTAAGTGTATTAAAGGAAATACTCAAACAACTACATATCTGTATTTGCATGCACTGTTTCAAATTTATCCCCTCTTTCCTCCCCAAACATAGGCTCACAGAACAAGACTGGGGAAATAATTGCAGTAAGAAAACACTGAAAGCAGGAACTTAGCCTTTAAATAACTAATAACTTTTTAATTATTGGTGTCTCTAGCAAAAAATACTATAGTTAATGATTACAGTAAATTGCAGCACTTTAGATACTAAATCTTCTGCATCAAGCTTTAAGCAGACCTTGGAGAGCTGAGATGAGTTTGGAGGACCCCCAAGTATTCCACATGTACTTCCACAGTGGTTTTATGTCTCAATCTTAACCAGATGGTTTTAGATATGTTTCTTATGACAGTTTGTTTACTTGCAGACAACGCTTTGAAATGTAGACAATGTATATACTATGTCTAGATGCTCTCATATGGCAGTATTTTCTGAAACAGAGAGACAGTGAACGATGTTTGTATGTTGCTCTGTATTAGTGAGTAATTTAATAGGGGTGCCAGTCTACCTAGTAATAACCAGATACTACCAAGTGACATTGCATAAACCTTTAATTTTGTGGCTATGAAACCATCGTTGTGGCTTGCTTTGAATTAGTTCTGTATTTGAAACATAAAGTAAAATTTGTAGAGGCTGAGTAAGGCCTACTTATTTTTCTTTGATTTTTATTTATTAGTTAAATTACTTTAAAAAATGCCTTTTTCACAATGTTCTCTTAACTTTCTTGGAAATAATATAGGTTTATGGAGGAGCACAAAGCTATGACTCAGAAATTCACAACTGAGCAAGAGATTATTCTTCAAGAGCTGAAAAAGAAACATGTCAATGAGCTGGAACTCCAAAGTCAGCAGTTACAGGAGAAGCATAAGCAGCAAATTTTGTCTCTTACAGCTGAGTTTCAGACAAAGCATCATGCTGAAATGGAGACACTTAAATCTACACTAGAAAGTAAACAGCAGATTCAGCTTGAAGCTTGTGTTGCTGAACTACAGACAAAGCATCAGGCACAAATTGATGAGCTGGAGGCTAAACACTTATCAAATCTGGATTCCTTGGAGTCGTCCTACCTATCTGAAATTCAGAATATAAGAGATGAACACAGTCAGGTTCTTGAGAAGCTACAGCTGCAGCACACAGAACAGCTCCGTGAAAAGGATAAAATGGATCAAGCGTGCTTGGCTCAGGAGATAGAGATGTTGAAATTAAAGCATGCTGAAGAACTTCAGCTTTCCCAAAATAATTTGAAAACAGAGCTAGCTACTGTTCATATGGAAAAACTTAAAGCCATGGCTGTTGAAGCAGAAGAAGCTCATAAGGTGAGTCAGAAAGAAAACTTGGCATAGAAGGTGAACTTTCATGGTACACTGTGTGGGATCACCTTTTCATTTGTTCTTCGGGTGTATTTCTACAACCTCTTTTGTGCCAGCTCTAATACTTGCGTATGGCCATATTGTGAGCTGAAATAGGAAACTGAAGGTGAAAATTAAGTCCATCTGTCGTTTCCCCCCCCCGCCCCGGGAATGCTCAGACTAATGAGTTTTCTATCTCAGTGTATGGAAAAGTTACAAATGAGGTAAATATTTTTTAACACAATTCAGATTGGAGGGTCTCCATTTTGCAGCTCGGAGCTTCTTTTCCTGGTAGGGTTACCATGTAATTCTTCAGAAGTGATTAGAACAAAGTAAACGTTATTCTGTAGGTTAAGCTGCATCTGTAGGAATCTAAAGTTCCTCCCCAGTGGCACAGTCTCAAGGGGAAGAATAGAAGAAAGGTATCTCTAAAGGGCCCAGATGGGATTTTGGGAGCAGGTCATGGGTGAGTGGGTCTTGTCTTAGGACCTGTAACAGAAGGCCATAGCTTTACTCTTGATAGGGCAGAGGTTTGAGCTCTTTTTAGAGTTCAGATGGGTAAAAAATGATCCCAAGAGTTTTCCAAGTCAAAGAGGTAAGAAGGCTCAGCTCACTGCTAAAACTCCAGAGCCTTCCAGAGAGAGATGTACTGTTTTTCAGACTTGTCCGTCTCCATGCCCACTTCCCAAATTTATGATTATACGTTGTTTCTGTGCCCACAAAGGCTAAGAGGAAGGTCTTGCAGGGGGAAAGGTGGGTATTTTTCTTCTATCCTATCTTTGCTAACTAATCTTAAATCTGCATTTTAATTGTTCTTGAGTGGAAAGAACTTCAAAAAGAAAAAGTTGAAGATTGTACTGATGGGGAGTGCTGTCATGGGTAGAGGAATAAGTAGGGGGTTTACAAAACTTTTACTGGATTGGAGAAATACACCCATTTCAATGATATCAAGAGTGTGTATATGTATGTGTGCTCATCATTCTTGAGGCAATATGGTTCCTGTTTACTTAAAAAGCTTTGATACAGCAGGACATGTGCTTTACAAATGAGTTGCAAAAATATTTGTGCTTACTTTCAATTAATGCTTACACAGGATGACTTAAACACAGCTCTTCAAAATCAAAGGAGGCTGCTGGAAGAAGAAAAACGTCTGGCCCTGGATATATTACGTGAGGAAGTATTGCATATGGAGGAAAAACATAGAAAAGCACTCCAAGAATTTCAGGATCTTCATGAGGCAGAAATTAAGAAACATAAAGAAGAATTCTCCAGGGAGCTGGAAAAAGAATTGGGGAAACTAAAAGCACAGCATGAACATGAGCAAGAGGTCAAAATGTTGCTAATACCTAAACCCCAAATAATCCATACTTTTATGATAAAGTAAATTCAGTTTTATTAACCTCAGAAGTAAGGCTATATATCTAGATGCTTTTTGCATTTTTTTAAATAGTGCTAGTAGATAAGAGACAAAGTTAACACTTTTAAGACTTACTTTATCTAAAAGGACTTAAGAGAATTCATATATGTGTATTAGCCTGAATTTTTAAAATTTAAATCCATGCTTGCAGCGCTGTCTTTACTGGGGGAGTGAGGGGGGATGGGACTGCTTTCTTTTGAGTTCCTGCTGAATTTAATTCAAAATTTTAAAACTGCTGTTTTGATAGAAAACTAATAGGTAATAAGTTAGGTCATTAACCATTTATGGAAAGTAACTGCTCACTTCAGGCTTTAAGTGAACAACGTTTGCTAACATTGATTTCTTCTTTTCTTAGAGAAATTATAGTAGGTAATACTTTTCCAAATATCTTTTCTCAGTGAGGTTTGGAAATCTTCCTAGTTGCCCTTAAAGCTTTACCATTTCTTCATGTTGGGAATGTTTATGTGTAAGCTTGATGATGTTTACTTCCATACCGAAGGCTAAAAATTTGATGATCTACACTAAGTTCTCTTTAAACATTGAAAATGAATAAGATCTTCTATTTATTCAGTCTTTTATACGATCTGACTTATGTTGGTGCAAGCAGCCACAAGTTATCAAGACTTTTCACTTTTCTATATTGGATATTACATTTATATATTAGGAGAAGTCACAAACAAAATGAGTTTATCCAGCTATAACCCAACAACATATGTTACTTTAATATATAACTTTTGCTTTTTCACTTACTAATCTTAAAAATGGATAGTGTGTCAAATAACTCCCTAATCACTGGTGTACCTTGCTATTACCTGGTGCACCTCACAAAAACCATTTAGGTTTAAGGAGATCCCCTTTTGGACTGTCAGGCCTTAGAGTGGGTAGTGATTTCCAGCTGACTGGAGTACATTGCAAACTCTCTTTGCTTTTAGAAGAATAGCTTGCCTAGGAAGATAGTTTTGTTAGTTTTCTGGGAAGTTCTTGTGATTATTAAATTTTTAAGCCCTTCATTCTAGAAACAGGATTTCTCTCTATTTTGATGACTACAATGACTCTTCTTGGAGACAGTAATAGAAAAAAACCTAAACAAATAAACAAAAAAACCACCAAGCGTTTCTCTGGTATTTTTGATGGACTTCTTTGCAATATCTCATAGGATAATTGCATTAAATATGGCTGCATAATGTTTAATCTCATTTGAACAAGAGAAGTTACGTCTTAACAAAATAGGTTTTCCCTGTGTTTCTCTCCCCCTTTTTCTTCCTTAGTTCTTTCAATTTCTCTTAGGGAAGTGTCTGTTGGAAAGAACAAGTAGGGAGTACTTTATTAGTCTGAACTGGTGCTCTCATGAATACAGGAGATACTTGCTACCTAATGTCTTGCTGCTTCTTACCTATTTTTATCAACTTGCTTTTTTCTATAGTCAGCATGATGATAGATAGCAGATCTGTGTGACTTTGAGGATTGGGGAGAACTATTGTGAAAATACTCTTTAAGAATTTGGTTGAGCTTGATGGTTTTGTTTTGGTTTTATTTCTTCCTTAATTATAACACTATGGCTAAAGTATTTTTTATTACTTCTCTGCAGATGTATGCTTCTGCATCAGCCTCTGAAGTAGAAACTGTGCGAACAGCTCTTCTGGCTGAATTTGAGGAGGTAAAATTGAAGCAGCAGCTTCAGTTCCAGGAAGAGATTGAGCTGCTGAAGTGTCAGTCGGAGGTACTGCTTGAACAACAGATTGCACAGCTGAAGGTATGGTCTGATTAAAATCAACTTCAGCATACACACTGGTAGCGTGGTTTGCTGAAAAAGAACAATTGGTATACATTTTTCTTCTTCAGCCGTATGACTCCAAAATGACAATCTGAGTTAGGTGTCTTCCTTGCTTCACAACGTTGGAGCTAGAAAAGCAGTATCAGAAATAATGTGTTGTTCTGTAAGCAGTTATGGTATTTACTACAGCATTGTCTTAAAATCCTGAATTGGATGTGAAGTAGTGTCCTTCAAATAAAACAAACAAAAAAATCAGTGGAAAGTATTTGCTCTAAGCAACATTCCTTGCATATGTTTATGTTCAGTTTGTCATTTGAAACTTTTTCTTGGTATCTGCAGAGACTATGCCCTTATCATCCCTTATCTACTGTGCTTGTGTATATGTGGCAAAAACACATCCAGTGTTACCTAAGCTTTTACCAAGAGTGTGATGACAGTGAGCACTTTGTGCGTGAGATTTTTTTTTTAGTTGTTCTTAATTTCTGCTTTCTTGGGTTCATCATTTGAGTTCCAAACTTGCATCTTGATAAGCATCTTGAAGATGCTTATCCCTGAAAATTATCTTTGGTTGCCCTTGTGTATGATGTAGTAATTGCCTGTCATCTTCTGAGCCTTGTGCAAAATCCATTCATTGGTTAGGTGACAATTGCATGTCGAGCTATTAAATGAATGGAGAAGACACATGCTGTGTCAGAAGAGAGAAGGATACACACCAACACGCTGAGAATAGTGCTTACATTCATCTCAGTGTTATCACTGTACTGAGCATGTGTTGAGCACAAAGATTAGATGAAATACCTTCCCCTTGTTTGCTTCTCCTTGGGAGATTTCACCAGATCCTTACTGTTCCTGTCAGCGCTCCAACCTCAGGTGGGACTCTTCCTAACCATTCCACAATCCTCTAGAACTGGATGCTGCACACGTGCAGAAAATTTCTCCTGTTTCCTGCCTCTGGCCCTCTGTGGAGTCCTGGTCATTCTTTGACTGCTCTGTCTGGTGCAGCTGTCTCTTGAAACAGAGGACACAAGCGTATCCTGAAAAGCTGCTGGGGGTATATTTGGCATTGCTGTCCTCAGCTGAACCTCAGCCTTCAGTCCACAGAAGCTGGGACTGGACTGACCGTTATGCATATAACCCAGAAGTGATTCCTGCTTTTCTCTCTCTTGTGCTGCCAAGGTGCTTTAGTTAGCATTTGGGACACCAGAAACCTCTCTTTTTGTTGAAATTTTGCCAGGGGTAATTCTACTGCTAGTACAGCTGTGTCTTTTGGGATTTTTTTTTTCCTCATTAACTTGATGATCCATGTTTTGTCCCAGAAGAGACTGGCTGGATCTCTTTGCAATGTTAGGCTGAGCTGTGTCATGGTCCGATACAGGTTTTTACAATGAGCCTTCCCCTGCCTATTTCCCCCCTTACCCCATGCTCATTCATGGGGTTGCCTTCGTGCCAGCCAGTTTCCTTCCTTTCTTCCCCCCTGTCTCCCGTAGCAGATTTTAGGTATTCGGAGTTCCTTTCTACGGTCTGACATACTCTTTTAGTGGATGCACTGCTTCTGAGGAGAATAGGCAGGCTGTTTCAGAGACTTTATCCACAAGTTTACTGTACTGGTCAAGTAAAGTCCTTATACTGCTTTGTGTCTGTTCATTTGTATCTTGTTAACTGCTAAGCGCTCTGCTGTTTGAGTCTACTCAGTGCAAGGACTGGCTGAGTCTTCCACAAAGGATCCAGGACAGCTCAGGTGACTACTGATGTGCTGCTCTGAAGTCTTATTTCATGCCTTGGGGAAAAAACTTGTTTTCTTGACTTACCAATAAAATAAGAGGCAGCTATCACCTTGGAGTGTATTGGTGTTCATAGATCAAATTGTAGGAGTTTGTTTTTATACTGTGATCAGGAAAGCTCATTTCCTAATTCTGGTGTTGCAGAAACAATTACTAATCAGGGTTCCTTTTAGCCTCTTTGGGAAAGGATCCAAGGATTTTGTTTTACCTCCCTTACTTGCTGATGCAGGAGTGGGGGATGTCTAATAATCCCTTCCTTTAGAGTGCTTTAGAACACTCTGAGGTAACTGAGATTCAATTTAGTAGCTTCTAGATCATTTAGCCATGTAAATCTACCTTGTAGATTTTCGGTTTGTTCTGGTAAATCACTCCTCCTATGTGGAACTCAGTACTATGCATGTTGTACTACTTGCAGTTGCTGAAAGTGGCTTCTGTCCATCTCTGTCCCGACTTGCCCATCTGGTTTTTGTTCCTCATCACTATCTCAGCAGTCTGAAATGACCCAGGTCTCAGTGAGCACATTCAGATAGTTCATTTACCTGCCTAACTATCTTTAAATCATAATTTTGGCAGGATTTTGTTGATTGGGCATCTTAACTGTGTAAGTTACTGCTAGTTAATCTGAGAGGTAAGGTGTGCAGATTTAAAGAAAAAAAAAAAAAGGGCAGGGGCAGGAGGGTTTTGGTTGTGGGTTTTTTGGGGGTTGGGTTCCCCCGCCCCCCTCCTTGATAAAACAAAGTATATGTGACTTACGCAGGATGAATTTGAAGCTGAAAAAAAGGCATCACTACATGACAAGGAGCAGATGTTGATTCAGGAGAGGGAGAAGGCACAGGCTGCTCACCAAAAGGAGCAGGAGATGTTATCAGCCCAGCTGCAGGAAAAAGCAGCAATAATTATCCAGGTGCGTGGAAAATATTTTAAACCTAGATTTTTAAATGTACTTTTGTGGTTGTATTTTAGCACAGTCCTCTCACCTTTCTTAAGATGTATGTAGAGGGACTGTGTATAATTCTTGTGATTGGTAGTTTTCAAGGTGTATTGTATGATGGTCTCTGTCTTAGCTGGAGTCCTGCAGCAGTAACATGGAAATTGAAACTGGTTATCAGCTTGAAAACTGGTCCTCAACCATTTCTCAGGGAGATTAACACTGCTTTATAAGTGAAGGTTGGGTGTTTGCCTTTTTGTTAACTGTGTATTGATGCAATCTGTATCTATCACATTTTTTTGTCAAGAAAATAGTGCTCTAGTAGCTTTTGTTAGACCAACTGACCTATAGCTTGGAGGAAGTAAGACAGGCAAATGGTAAGTTTGAATCTGGAAGTGACAAAGATAATATTTGTTTGCCAAACAAAACAAAATTCTATGCTTTCTCTAAAGCAAATATCTAAATTGAATCTAGGTTACCCAGAAAGCTTTAGAGAGAGAGGAACAGCTTGAGTTTTCAAAATAGAAGATAAAATGAAATAAAACATTCATGTCTTCTCTCACAATTCAGGAAGTTCTGACCAAAATGTAAATTTGGCTTATTAGACTGTTCTGTTAGGCCTTTATGTTTAGTGGGAAAACTGGGAGTAATACTAAGAATTTCCCCCACTGGAAGAAATGCATTATTGGTTCCTGTTCTTCATACAGGATTTGATGAGGGGTGAGAAGGTTAGCATGGGAGTAGAATGCTTTTCTTTCCTTGCAGTTTCCTCTGAAATAGACTGATTTGTTGGCTTACTTATGAGACAAAGTTTCTAACAAAATAGTAGTGATTTGTTTGGCAGCAAAATCCAGGGGTCAGGGGTAGGTATATACATACATATATGTATTTTTATATATATGTATATGTTTGTGTTTTAATGGGATGGAGGTGTCATCTGAACATATAAATATGAGAGACAACATTTTTCTAGAAACTTGTTTTCAGGCAGAGCTTATAAAGCAAAGAACAAAGTTAGCTGGCACTGATACTGGATCAGGTTGCTGTTCAGGTTGGTGTGCTACAGTGTCAAAATTTATGCTTTGTGTCTTTGAGGCATAACAATGAAAGCAAACTAAAGTATGATGCAAAGTTTTTACAAGCTTTTTGCATTGCTTGTATGTACTGAGTCTGAATGCAAGTGAGGCAACTCCCTGAAGCAAAATCAACATCAGAAAAGGAGAACTAAAAAAAATAGCCATTCATTTTTAGCCTTTCTGCTGTCCTTCATTTCTAGTACTTGTAAAAGCAAATTTGCATAACAGCAGACAATGATTGGGTGAAGTTTGTCTTGTTTAGGCAACAAGATCGACTTTGTTGCATTTTTACTGTATTTTCCACAGCTGGAAAAGAAAGTGGAGTCTTTAAACCGTGAAACAGAGGAGACCAACTCTGAACTGGAGACACTCCTTCAGCGGCGGGACAGAGAAAACCAAGAAGGAGGGAATTTGGTAGCCATGTTGAGATCTGATATTGAGCAGTCCAAGGATGAAAGGTTTGTGCATCTTGGGTTACTTAATGCTTATTGGCTGTTTTTTTTTGTTTGCTTGTTGTCTCACTTTTCATAAAGAAATCAATAACTAGGCAAAATTAAGCCAGCTCAAATTAATAGCGTAGGTTGATGATATATTGCTTTTATTTGCAAGGTTTTTTGAGGTTTGTTTGTTGTTTGTTTGTTTTCAATTACCAACCTATCTTGATATGGAGAGCAAGATTTTTTTTTCTTCCTTTTTTTCTTGTGGCCTGATGGAGTCTTTGGTGTTTTGGGGTTTCCACTCTCTATAATCTTGGAAGAAGCTAGGAAATGGAGAAAACATCTTGGTTGCAGAAACTTTTCAGTGCAATGTAGATTGGTTTGATATGTCATTGGACTGTGTGGGTTAGAGAGAAGCTGTCATGCTGAATAAGCTTCTAGAAGAATTCCCTCTCTCACCTTTAAGAAACTGGCTTACTGTTTTTCTCAAAACTAAAATGTTTTCCTAAGTAAAACTTTTGTTGTCTACTCTGCCAGAACACCCCTAGTTATTTTGATGTCACAGATATTATAGTAGTAGATATGTTCTCCCTACCGGTGCTTCCACAGATGTGGAAGCCTGAGGTGCTTGTGACTGCAGTATGAGCTCTCCATCTACCTGTGGAGAAGACAAAGGGTTTTTGCTGAGCCTGCTCTGTGATCAAATGGCCTTGTTTTTTTGTGAGTCATCTGAATCATCTTCATTGATAACTGTCAAACTATGGCAAGATATCAATCCATTGTAGACTGTCAGTTTTTCAGTAGGTTCAAAGTGTCCTTTAAATCAAGTGCTTGCAATTTTTGAAGTGTTTGATACGCTGTTCTAGGAAAAAACTGCAGGAATCTTATCAGCATGTTTTGAAATTGCTTATGGAGTTGGTGAAGGCCACAATAGCTGTTGAGGACCTTATCTGTAGCAAGATTGGTCTTTGCCTTGATGACAGTCTGGCTTCTGGAGATTCTAGAGAAAGTCACAGTATTGTGGACGAAATGGGATTCATGCAGTGTTTCAAAGCCAAAGAAAAGCATCACCTAGAAAAAGGTGAGTATAAACCTGCATAACTGGATGTAGTCAATTCACATTCTTGAAAAAGGCCTTTTCATTTCCTTTCATATGGATGAGGTTCAGAGAGGGGCTATCTCTTCTTGCAGTGTTTTCTGCATCTCTTTCGAAGTTGCTACACACTTAAGATAGTGCAGCTACTAGAATGTTGCTGGAAAAGGCTGAATGGGTTATAGGGCAAGAAAGATGAACTTGGTGAATGCAAAGTTTCAGGCCCTGATGTGTAGCATGGTATTTTGAAACATTGTGAAAGACTGTCTTGATTTTTCAGCACTGAGTTATTGATGTGTACAAGTTTGCACCTTGTAATACATCTTCAGGATGAACCAATGTCAGTGTCTGATGTCAGTTGTTATCTGAGTGGCCAGTTCTGCGTCATTTTTTCCGTGTTTTTAAATAGCTTGCTTGTTTTCAGTGGATGAGCTGCTTGATGAAACTCTCGCAGAACACAACCAGCTGTCTCCAGTGACTGACGAGGGGTCTGAGTTGAGCCAATACTTATGTGAAAGTGCTTTTGCAAAGCCAGAATTGGCATGTGAAAATGAAGAAATGATACTGAAAATTTGTCATCGTTTGCACACTGCAGTGGAGAGACTTCTGGAACTGGTTACAGAATCAACTAAACAAGTAAAACTTTGTGTAGATATATAATTATACTGAAAATGTGAAATCTGTTTTAAGGCTTGTGTGTTTAGTACCCTGTAGGATTGGCTATTAAAAAGAATCAGATTTTGTCTGAATACATGACAAGTTACCAGTATAGGGAGGCATGTTCATCCCCTGCTGCTTACAGTGAAGGTTTTGCCCTTATTTGATCATTTCTTATAAATGAGACTTGAACAACTTTTTTTCTTTTTCCTAGCAGATCCTGTAGGACAGCTTGCCTTAAGTAGATTTAAACTAGGATTTTAGATACATTTGGTAACTTCAGGAGACCAAAAGTTAAGTGTTATTGAGGGAGTTTCATGGCACTTCACATCAATGGTTCTTCAACATTGATAAGCAGGTTCAGGAAAACTCAGTCCCATGTTAAAATGTTTTGGGAATATGTAGATAGCAGCAAGGAAACATCCTTGTAATTACATACTGTTTAATTGTGATAAAAGGAGCTGGACTCAATATTATAAAAGAATTTGAGTATGTCCATACTGAGTTTTGCAGTGTCTAGACATCCAGGTTTGGGAAGAGAAGCTGTAAATATGAGGTAGATGCCTGAGTACTGTATACATTTAGAGGATTGAATTTAGTGCTACAGTAATTAGTTTGTTGAGTAAGGAAGCCCCTAATTTAAGAGAAATGTGAAGGGAAGGTATATTTCTGAAATTCTTCTTCTCATCAGGTGTTTTGTGCAACCCAGAGATAAGTGTCTGTGTGAAATGTATATTCATCATCTTAAAAAAACCCCTCCTAGAATGAGGTGCTTAAATTTGTATTTTTGGGTACTGATGCTCATTCCACTAGCTTGTGGCTAATTTGTGGCTAAAGCACTTGCCCAAGCCATGGCAGTTCTAGATTCTAGGTCACCTTCATCAGCTGCATTCAAGCATACTTTGCTTAGGTCTGTGAAATGTTCTATCCACCAGGATAAGGTAAACTAAATGGGAATGGGGCTGCTCTATTCCTTTCCTTTGAACTTGAGACATTGCACGTAGGAATGCAAGATACATAGTGTCAGAGAACTGGTGCCATACCTTGGAAATCTGATCATGTATTGACTTCACTGTCTATTAGACATGCCTGAATCTCTTGAAGAATTTAAGTGTAAGGATGCTTTGAATTTCAAGTGGCTCAGGAAGTGTCAAGCTGAGCAGTTTAACCAACAGGGAGGTATCTCTCTTTATGCACAGTAAAGAAACTTACGTGCCTAAAGAAGATTTGTGGCAAAAATACAGGTACGTGAGTACAGGGAGTCACTAAAGTGTCCAGGGGTTTTGGGCAAAGTCAACCTAGTACTAAAATGAAACTTCAAATCCTGGGCCTTAATGCATAAATGCTATAAAATATTAAGAAGGCTTTTGTTTAAATGTCTGTAGTATTATTATTATATCACATGTGCTTCTAAGATCTGATGCTAGGGGAAATTGTTTACTTTTAGCTGGAGAAAATGCATGAAAACCATGCGCAATTTGAAGAAGAATTCAGCCGTCGAAATCAGGAAACTGCCCAGGTGGTTAGTCAGCACCAGGAACTAATGGAATGCCTCAGTGAGGAAAGTGAGGCCAAGAATCAGCTGGCACTAGAACTTCATAAAGCAGAGGGTAAGAAAATGAAACAAATATAGAGATTTTGGTGTCATTTACTCATAGCTCATTCCTCCAAATATTTATGATATGCTTTTTGTGTCTTTTGTTGTTGATTTGCCTGTTTGTAATCCATTTTCTGCATTTCAGATTGCTGAATTACTTGAAGCATGAGTCTTCTCTTGCAAATCTACTACTTAATTCTCTTCATGTGTTTCCCTGGGGCAAGCATGATAGTGCTTAGTCCTATGCTTATACCATTGACTGCATGTGAAAAATACCGTAATTTTTAAAACAGCAGTTTGCATTCCTGCATGTCTAAACATGGGAGCTTGGACTATTGGAAAGAAGATATACTCCCAGTGTAAATCAGTCCACCTGTCTGACCTTGGAAGGCTTCAGCATGAACCAGAGCAATGTTTGATGGTGGTAGTGCAGGCATAAAGAGATTCTGTAAGAAGAGACAAAAAGGCTGAGGCTGTTGATCTCAATGCTATCACAGACTGCATATCGTCAGTTTGATTCCCCCTTGTGAAGATTACGACTTGAGGTCTTTGCCTTTATGTAGGAGAATCTTTGAGGGTTTCCATGTCCTTCAAGCTGAGCTTCTCTCCCTAATCATGGCATCTGCTTTCCATTCCTCTTCTCAGTCATACCCCTTTAGGCTTATTTAGTCTTTCCAAAATTCTGTTTCTTTCCTTTCTGTGAATCATTCCTGGATTTCTTGGGCTCTGAATTTGATCTTACTTTCTGGAGATTCTGTTTCTTCGAACCTCATCCCCCAGCAGAAGTTGTGTCAGGCTGTCCTATGTTGTGAGGTGATCCCAGGCCATCAAGGCTTAGTGATCCCCATGTACATTCTACGTGCTTGGGGACACTTTGTGACATGGCAGCCTCATAAAACCTGTTAGAATACATTAACTAGTACATTTTATTCCTTAAGATACTTCACAAAGCCTAGCTACAGTATAAATTTAAGTCATCTAGCACTTCTTTCTTTCTATATCACCTTCCATTGTTTGCAAAAAGTTGTTTACTCATGTTTTCAGGATGCTTTTTTCCAATAGATGAGTTTGTCTATTGTTTTATTCGCATTCTAACTTGGGATTTTAGGCATTATCGAAGGCTATGTTGCAGAAAAAGCTGCATTGGAAGAGGCCTTGAATCTGAAAGAGGAATCTGAACGTCGCCTTGTTGTGGAGCTGGAGAATATGCGTGAACGCTTCCAGGAGCTAACCCAGGAGCAAGCAATTCTTGGTGAGGAGTGGGTATGACACTGTTAGTGGAAAACAAAATTGTGTCCTGTCAGGGCACACTGCAGTGTGTTTCTATACTGTATCAGTCTTTGGTTTGATGACCTAGTGAGCAGCTCAGTCTGGTACAGAGGTTACCAGGGTCTTCCTGTAAAAGCAGAAAATAAAATAAAGCAGCTGGTTCTTTGCTTCTAAGACAGTAATACTGTTAGTGAAGAGTACTACTGCAGTCTTATGTTTAGTTAGAAATGGAAAGTGTCTGAAAAAGAGGCATGTATTAAGTACAGGTAGTTAGTTGCAACAGATAATAGGCACCTAGTTAGTAACTGAAATGCTGGTTATTTGACACTGCAGTCAAAGAGAAGAGTTTGAGCTTCAAGGCTTTTGACAGCCTCCAGGACTAAGGAGGTAGCTTAATAATGACGGAAGAAATAAAATACTCCTGGAAGGTTATTTGAATTATGAAAAAATTGTGGTGGTGATGTGTACTTAGTTTCATACATAAGCTTTTCCCCTGCTCCCCAGCCTTGTCCTATCAAGACACACACACATGACCAATAAAGGTGACTGTGGAAAGGTTTTAATGGTCAAGCTCAAAGCCTATTTAGGTTTTTAAAGGAAAGTATATGGGTTGAAAAAGCTGGATGAGGTAGTGTTGTTGGAGTGGATAAAGTGAGGCAAGTATCTTAAATTTTTGTATAAAGGGTGACTCACTGCAAGCCACAGACAGCGACTGAAATACCAAATCAAACTCAGATAAGTAGGTGCAAATAAGCAATCTACATAACTCCCTCCCCCACTCCATCACTTCCTCAGCCTCACAGAGTGTGTGATATGATGTAAGCTAACTGAAGGGAGCTTGTGTAGGGAAGTGGAGTAGGATGGGGGGAACTCTCTAACATACTGGATGGAGTCTGGTAACACTCAATGAGTGGAAGTTGATGCTGTGATAACTCACACTGCAAATGAAGGAACGCACATTTTGGCAGTGACAGCAGTGATTTAATAAAGACCCTGAAGAATCTACATGTAATATAGCTGGCTTACATGTAAGATATTTTTTTGGTTCACAGAAGAAAATTCAGAGATGTTATGTGACTTGCACTATGCAGGATCTCAAGACTAGGTTATACTGGTTCTTAATGATGAATCTGTGAATCATTTAAATAGAATTATGTAGTTTAGACTTCTTGAATTTGCAGCCTTAATGTCATTCTAGCACTCCTATAAGTGAATTTCTCTGTATCATCTTCCAGTAGAAATTTTATCATTTGGGATCACTGCCTTTCTACTTCTGCTAATGCCAACATTATGCTACCCTCAGCTATGTCACCACAATGCTACCTTCAGCTATGTTGCATAGATCTTTACTGCCTGAGCAGACTGCATAACAGATAGTTGTACATAGTGCATACTTAGGTCAGAAATAAAGACAGCAAGAAACTGTTTTCTAGTGAATTTCTCCATTGTCAGTAGTAGAGGAATGTAAGACTCTAGGTTTCAGGGTATGGACCCAAATTCTATAGGAGGGGTGTGTTTGACTGGACACAGTCTATACATTGCAATTAGCTGTCCACTTCTCAGGAGCCTCTGTTATAGACTTCTGACTGACTTTCAGCCCTACTGTATCATTCCTCTGCAACTTTTGTTTGCTTCTCGCTTCTCCCCCACCTCACCTTCTCCTCTTCTCTTCACCTTGCTGCTCTTCACCTCTCTTCTGACTCTTGACTCTACCATTATCCTGCTCTTGCTCACCACCCTTCCATGTTCTTCCTTTTGACTCTGCACTCAACCTTTCATATATAGTGCAATCAAAATCTCATGTTGTACATGAAGTTATAGAATGGTTTGGGTTGGAAGGAAGCTTTAAAGGTCATCTAGTCCAACCCTCCTGCAATGAGCAGGACATCTTCAACTAGAATAGAATATTTTCAGTTGGAAGGGACCTACAACAAGGGACCTAGTCCAACAACTAGCCTGACAACTTTTGGTCAGCCCTGAAGCGAAAGCATGTTTTAAGAGGCATTTGGACAATGCCCTTAATACACTGACAGTCTTGGGGCATCAACCACCTCTCTAGGTAAAGGGTTCCAGGGTCTGACCACCTTCTTGGTAAAGAAATACTTCCTACTGTCTAGTCTAAACCTCCCCTGGCACAGCTTTGAACCATTCCCATGCGTCCTCTCACCAGATACCAGGCAGAATAAACCAGCATCTCCCTCTCCACATCCTCTCCTCAGGAAGATGTAGAGAGCAATGATGTCGCCCCTAGCCTCCTTTTCTCCAAAATAGACAAACCCAGAGTCCTTAGCTGCTCCTCGTAGGACATTCCTTCCAGCCCTTTCACCAGCAAGTAGATCAGGTTGCTCAGAGCCCCATCCAACCTGACCTTGAATGTTTCCAGAGATGGGGCATCTACCACCTCTCTGGGCAACCTGCTGCGGTGTTTCACTATGCTCATCGTGAAACATTTCTTCCTTATATCTAGCCTGAATCTACTCTCTTTAGTTTAAAACCATTAAGCCTTGTCCTAATGCTACCGGCCTTATTAAAAAGTACAGTACTTATGTTAGTGTTAAAAGTTGTGTCCTTCTCTGACCTCTCATATGGCATCTTAATAATATCTTACTATTACCTTAAGAGAAAATTGAATAGTGGTCTTGTGCAGATTGCCCTGGCTTACAGAGCTTATGTCTGTTTGCCCCGGTAGGCAGAGGAGGTGGTGGGAGAAGACCTCTCTTCCTCAGGGGAAAGACAGCAGAACATAAACAGATTCAGGGGCTGTAACTGGAACTATATGCATGTTGTGCTTGCTTTACAACAGTGATTATGGCATTGAGTAATATGTCCCACAGGAAACACAAAATCATTCCATGATATTGTTGAACACAAGTACATCTGTATGTCATGGAAATGTATGACAGAGTCTGTAAGTCTGTGCCAGTGGGTCCTGCTGGACTGAATCCTGCTTTGAATCCACTGGCAGGAACTAAAAGGGGGGCCTGAGGCATTAATTATTCCATCTCTGTATGGGGAAAATTGCAAAAAGAGAATATTGATTGTCTTAGAAAATGTGTAAGTGACTAGCCAAAAATGTTGCAACAAACTTGCATGGTTATAATGTAAAACCATTTCTATAGTAGCTCTAGTCCAATTATAGACATGGATCAACGTACGTCATCAGGAGCTTTGTGTCATAATAAAGATGAAATGCATTTCTGCCGAATAAAAGGTAGGCACCATCTCTGTATTACATATGAATTTTTGGTGATTTAGAAGATGGAATGGATCACAATGTCCTATTCTTGTCTTGTACATGTCTGCGTGTTTTGATTTCTAGGAACACCTATTGCTAATGTAGCACAAAAAGAAGGTTCAGGTTTGTAATGATGTGTGGGTTTTTTCTGGTTTGTGTTGCTGTGACACTGAGTGAATGAATTGATAGGTTTGACTTTATTTTAACTAAGAGGAATAGTACTTCATGAATAGGCCCAACAAATTACTGGGATTATGAATATCTTGGCAAAAAATAGTTATGACTTCTGTGATGCATCAGAAAACAACTAAAACTAAGAATATTCAGTTCACTGATCAATATTTAAAGGAAAAAATGTTTTGCTGCTGTTAGGCTTAAAGTGCATTGTGACATTATCTTCATGTTTGCCAGCTTTATTTTTCTTTTGAGGGGATGGAGTGGGTTGTAAGCTTGCTATGAGCTTCTAATGATACACAGTAGGCTATCAGAATGATTAAATTAACTTAAAGGGGGGAAAAACAAAAAATATTTGAGGTGATGTAAAATGGTGAGCTAAAAAAACATACAGCAAGAACTGAATGAAGTCTAAGGGAGACTGGAGAAATGTAATTGAATGGATAGGTAGATCAGAAAAAAGAAGGGGAGAGCAGAATGGTAAGGAAGGCTAGTAATGGGAGCAAAGATGAAACCAAAAACAAGCAAGAAGGATCTGTAGAGTTTTCCACTGACTTTGGAAGTCTAATGCTGAAGTAAAATTTGTAGGTGCCAAATTGAAAAAGGCCCCCCCCAAACGAAACTGTGTATACTTAACTCCTGAGTAGCAAACATTTAGATCTGATAAATTCATAGCTGCCATGATTATGTCTTGTGGTGTACTCAAAATATAATTCTCTTACCACGTTCTTAAATAGATTTTATTTATATGCATATATATATATATTCGTAGATGTGTTCTCTTGCATATTCGCTGTCTCTTGTTTCTGGACTTTTTCTTTTCCCCCAAAGGCAAACCAAGTCCCTCAGGTGAATAAAAATGAATTATCTAGGTAAATTCCCATTAGAGTTAAAAAGCTGCACTGGGTGGTCTTGCCCATTACTGTATCTTTATTCCTTCTGTCCATTCAGATGTCCCTCAAGCACTCTCTTTATTTAACATATTTTTGGTGACCACCTCGCTGTCCTTAAATTTGCTGCTGCTCGCAGCAAATGTATAACTTAGCTGGTTAGAGTGGAATTGGGGATTGACATTCTCCTGGTAGCTGCAGTCCAGCTCTTACCAGTAGCTCATTAGAACATGAAGAGTTGCATTTGCTGCAAGTGCTGAGCCCTAAAATTTGCCCCCTTTCTCCCACCCCAGCCATCTGTAGTACTCTTCCTCTGGTTTGGCATTGTTTGTAATATGTGGAACATACACTAAACAAAAATCACATTGTTTGGAGTTCACTGACGTGGCTTATTCCTTGAAAAGGAATTCCTTCTCCCTTTTTTGATGTGGGGTACTAATGTGAGTAGAATGGCCTCGCTAATACAATGCACTTAGAATGGAGCTTGGTGTTTGCTAATGATGATCTTGGGAGAGGGGAGGAGTGTGCTGGGGCATTACCAAAGTGGAATTGCATGATTTGAATTAGCATTAATAAAATAGCAGGTTTGTCCCTACAAAGAAACAAATTGTGATCTGATGATCTATTCATGTTGCTTGAAATTGTATTTATAGACCTGGAGAACATGTGCTTAAAAAAAAAAAAAAAAAAAAAATTAAAAATGGCTCAAACAGCTTACACTTACTGAGATTGCCAAAATTTGATACCTGCTTTCTTTGAAACATTTTTAATTCCATGTAAAATCTGTTAGCCTAATGATTTTTTTCCATTAACTTGCATTTCTGTCTGAGGAGGTGACCGTGACTGTTTATTTCTGTTTTATCTAATCAGTATTTTGTTCCTCAGAAAGCAATAGTATTTCTTTTGAACCTAAAAAGAAGCCCTCAACTCATTAACGATTATGTTTCTTAGGATATAGAAGGAAAAATTCCTGTGCTTGTTTTCACAAAAGCATTAGTTCTTTTCTCAAGGGGTCAGTCTGCATATGTGCCCTTCCTGTGGGTGCACATATATCTGTACTCTATACCTTGCCCTCCTCTGTGCACCATGTATAAGCAAAATACAGTAGAGTGGTATTTTATTCACGTCTCCTGCCTGGCAAAACACAGCACTTGGTAAAAGATATTCCCTGTTGTGCAGCTATGGCTGGGATTCAGTCTCCAAATGGAATTCAGACTGTCGTCGCTTTTTTCTGGACTGTGTGTTTCAGCCTTGGTGTGGTTCAACTTGCTGTGTTGCATCTCCTTGATAGCATGAGGCTATTACAGCTCCAAGTGAGTTGTGAGAGAAATTGCTTTGGGGGAGACTCTTTGTTTACCTGCATGCATTCTGCCGGAGCCTGAGTTACATCCACAACTCGATGAATGTTTGATTAGGAAGCTTGAAGCTTACTTAGTTCATGTGATTATTTAGCACTGTGCTAGAAAAAGCAGGGAGCGTGGCACAGGCGACTGCACAGTTGTGTTATGTGGGCATCTGAGATACTGCTCTTGGTAGTTGTGAGTTTGCAAAATTAGTGCTTGGAGTAAAATGTAGTTGGAATGTAGTTGTGGATTATCACTCAAAGTCAGAAAGTACGTACCAGGACTAGACCTTTTTGAAATATGTGGTCTGTGTATCTCCAGCAGTTCCTCAAAGTCCTTTTTTAATCCTGTGAGTTGTATTTATCAGCCAATAGCAAACTTAAAATGGCAGGAGAAGCCCAGTGCCAGCATACCCCTGTGTAAGGGAGGGTAGGGCTCTTAACATGTTGTCTAGAGTGACTGCAAAGCAAAAGGTTGTGGATTTTTTTTTTTCCCTTCAGCTGGTGCGTGTCATGCTCTCACATTGGCAATGTACATGTATGCTACGCATCTCAAAGAATTCAAGTGACTGATAAGCAATTTTGTGTCCATTTCAGTTGGTTTCAAAAGCTACCATAGGTGCTTAGCAAATCTGACAAATGGTTAAAGAATCTGGTACAGTTCCATATCTGCTCAGTTTTCTTTTGCTCAATTAACCTCTTAGTTTTATATTGAATATTTTAATATTGTCTTAATGCAGAGAAAGTGCAGTTGCTACAGTAAGAGACTAGGGTGACTAAATCATGGCATCATAGGGTTGCTGTGGACCTCGAGCTCATTTAGTCCATATTTTTGACCCAAAACAGAATCTTCTCTACTTGTTTCTTTTTGTCCAGCCTCTTTAATTTCCAGAGACAGACTTCACAGTCCTGGCACACTCTGTTCCATTATCCTCACCACAGTGACATTTTCCCCAATGTTTAATGTAAATGCTATTGCATCATTCTAAGCTTGTGATGCTTATCCTCTTAATCATGAACATAAAAATGTTCATGTTCTTGGCCTGTTTTGGATAGTGAAGCACTAGAAAAGATGTAAGGAGGCTGTGGTATCACTTCAGTTTTTGAAGTTTTGTAGCAGCAACTTAAAAAGATGTTAGGTCAGAAATCATTTGGGTTGAGTTGATCATGCTTGGAAAAGGGAATTGTCCCATTCTGGGAACTGAGCTGGATGACCAGTTAAGGTCCTTGTTAGAATCATAGACTTACCTTTATTCTATGACTGAAAACATTTAAGTTGAATAATGGAACATTTGAAAAGTGAAATAATGAGCTTTTGTAGGACCTTGCTTTAAATACTAAAGAGCTGGACTTCTGTTTTCGTGTTCAGCTATATTCACGTTATATTCACAGATAGCTTTTAGCTATATTCGCATTAAAATAGTTTTGCTCCAGGTGCCTTCACAGTAGAGTCTCACTTTGGGTCTCCTAAACAGTGTATTCCATGCGTCCAACTGACTGAAAATGCAGTTTGTAGGTATAAATTAGCTCTTGATAACTTAAATAATCTTGAGCAATGTATGTTTTCATAGTTGTTGTTTTCCTTTTGCAGTCTATATAGGGCAAATACGTCCCATCTTTTTCCCAGGTGTTTCTTCCCTTTGTAACCTCAGAACTGGACTGATTTTCTGTAAGCGTGATTTTTTTTTTCTGGGTTTTAATCCCCATTCAGGTTCAGAGAAGAATATTGACTTCGCTTTCTCATAGCAGCTAGCTTCAGGGTAGGCCTGGGCACCGGTTACCCCTAAAAAGATGGTCTGGGTGCTAACTCAACAGGGTAGATGTCAGTAGCAGTATCTGGCACGGCATGAGGCAGAGGAGTAATTGAGAGGCTGACCTGAGACTGGTTGTTGGAGCTCTAAGGAGGATCTTGGCACGACAGTTTGGAGGAATTGAGGATTCAGTATTGGATGGCTTGATTGGGAAGAGATTTGAAGTGAGGTGGGAAGTTGGGATGGAAGGGGTGGCAAGAATTTTAGGATAGAATAATGAAGGATGGGAATAATGAAGGATGGGTATGAGAGACTAGGTGGCTGAAAGTGGGGTGTGGGTCTTAAACTTAGGCATGGAGCACATCTGGAGTGGAGTGAATTTGGAGGATTGAGGATCTGGTGTGGTTTGGAAAGAGTCTCTGGGGCAGGAGGAGTGTGGAACCAGGGTTGAGAGGGCAAGGACCTAGGGAGGGAATTTGAAGGACTCCTGGTCAGGTGAGATGGGGCTTTCTGGAACTGTGAGGTCTCCAGGGGTGATGAAGGTGAAAGCTTTCTATGTGCTCAGAATATCTCCAACCAGGATTCACTTTGGGATTGAGAACAGATGCCCATGTCCTCCTTACTATGTTGTACAGTAGTCTTAACAGAGATGGCTTTCAGAGACACAGTGGGCAGCCAAGTATCACACTTCGTTTTGTGTCGCTTACAGACCATCTCAGGAGATTTTTTTTCCTTGGTTTTGATGCTGTCCAAAGTACCTGAATTTAATCTCATCTTAAACTCAATTTGATTTTTGTACCCTGCACTGACAACTTTGTTGTTATTTTTGTGTTCCTGTCCAGGTCTACTGAAGGAAGTAGAATTTTTAGCAAAGGAGAAATTAGAGCTTCAGTGTCAGGCAGAAAAGGACCATTCCAATTTACGCTCTCAAATGAAAGTTTTGGAGGTGGAACTGGAAGAACAGCTGCATAGTAATCAAGACCTGGCTACACAGTTATTGGAGGTTGCTGAATTAAAACAGCAAATTCAAGTTCTTGAAAAACAGCTTAAAAACCAGCGGCAATTCATGGATGTAAGTAAGCTTGGTACCATATTTCCATGGCTTTAGACGTGATAAATATTCATCCTAGTGATTGAGACTTGGAAGATGGTTCCTAAAATGGGATACTTTCCATTTTGTTTGAAATTAAGGCTTTGGTATTCTAGTCTTATAAAAGACTCGACTCTTTGGGTTTAGTTTTGTTTTGTTTTGTTTTTTTTTAAGGTAGTTTTTTAATTACCTTTCGGTAGTATTACAGGATTTTTTTTTTTTCTTTTTATTAATTGCTAATTTGTAGTTTGTATATACATTGGAGCCAGAAAGGTTGGGGTTTTTTGTCGTTCCTTGTAATTTTAGCTATGCTTTTAGGACTACTAAAAGAGGTTAATTATTTTTAAGTGAGCATAGTTTCTTCACCACAAAAACAATCACCACATTTTTCTTGTACTCAATATTTTAATTAAATGAAAAGTTTCTTTAAAAAGATTTTCATTATGTCTGGTTGGGTTTACAGGAACAAGCTATAGAAAGGGAACACGAACGTGATGATTTTCAGCAGGAAATTCAGAAACTGGAAGAACAGTTAAAACTTTCAGCAAAATCGCAGACGTCAGGAGAGCCCAGAGAGTATAGGGTGAGTAAAATCACACTTAGTTGCCAAAAGAGTTTGTTTACTACAATTAAAATACCAAAATCTGTATTGTCTTGGGGGACTGGCTCTTGAGAGACTTTTTTTTTTTTAGCTCTGTTGTCATCCAGCAAGTGGATTTTTCTCCAACTGACTGGACTACATTTAGGCACTGAGAGGGTACTTGCATTATTTCTTACGGAGATGGAAAGAAATGTTGGATGTGCATTACAGTAAAGTTTCACAGCCTATGAGCATAGATTAAATTAGCTGAGGAGGACAACAATACAGACACTCTGCTCTACAGAGCACAGCTGAGTGACTGCTTCTGTGTTCTAAACATGTTTAGGTTTTTTAGCTATACCAGTTGTAGTAAGAGATGCTCTTTGCATGCCTTGTCCTATTTATATTTATAAATCAGTCCTTTTTTTCACATGTCATTTGTTTGATGCTTGGTTTCAAAGATTAACTTTTGCTTTTTGTTTTTGTTTTTTTCACGTAAATGAACATTATACAGAACTATGAATTGATTCTACAGGTATGGAAAACAGCATGAACATCTCTAACTTTTCTTTCCTTTTTCTTCTTTCTATTAATTAGATCTGCTTTGGCATTTTTTCCTGTTCTTGATATATCAAGGCTCCTTCAGCTTGACTTGGAGATAAGGATACATGTTTTAGGGTGGCAGAATTCTTGCAGGGAGTGAGGAACCGCTTTCAATTTTATTTCCTGTACATAAGTTTCATTCTCCTGGCTTATTGCTCAGATATATCACAGGCAGTTACTTACTGTAAAAGAGCTTTTTGGCATGAAAGGAGAACTTGAGGTTTGGAGTATGAAACAAAGATAATGGAATTACGATGATATACTGTGCCTTAGCCCTCAGCTTTTGTTTGTGGCCCTGCTCTTAACAAAACTTCAATGTGTATACTACTAAAATGAATAGAAGGAAATAAAATTATGTATAGCTTATGAAATTGTGTACCTTGTTGTTAGAGAAGCAAATCTTGTAGGAACAACTGAATCTTTGATAGAGTGAATTTTCCATGCTGGAGGGCACCTGATAAGAATTCATTAGGCTTCTTAAGAAGTAGCATGATTACATATCATTCTGCATCAGTCTCAGCTTCTCATTTGCATGAGTGCCATTGTCTGGCATTAAGATTTTCTGAGTACATCACTCACGTAGCCTATGTGTTACACTGTGGCAAAGATCAGATGATCTTATAGAACTTTTCCAACCTAAACGGTTCTATGATTCTGTGATTCTATGACTTGTTGAAGATCTGTTTGTACCCAGAAGGTATACCTCTGTGGCAGTCTTGGGCATACAGACTCATAAAGGATGTACATCAGGTTATTAAAAATACACAAACTATTAAGACCACAGCTTGCTTTCTATCCAAGGAGTTAGGTGGATGACAGTTTGTTGCTAGTGTGCTTGTGACTTACTAAAGAGGAATATCTGAAAAAATTAAGACTAGCTGCTGTAACTTTGCAATCTCTCTCAGAAAGGATTAAAACTTAACTGGAGAAAGGCCCACAAGGAAGGTAACTAAGCAAGTGACATTTGTGGGTAGGGTGAGGTATGCATGCAATCTGTGCCAAAATAAAATGTCAGGGTTTAGACAGTTCTTGTACAGTTATTCAATGCAGTTGTAACCTTGGTAATTGCATAACTCGCTCTGAAACAAATCAGTTCAAGTGAACTTCTAATTTCTGCATGTAGGAGTTATAACAAGTTCATAGTTGTTCTCTAGGCTCAAGGTATATGTGAGTCAGATTATTTTGTGAAAAGAGTGCTGGTTGGTACTGGGAGCTACCATCTGAGATGTGTGTGTGAAGGTGGTGAAGGTTGTGCTTTCTTAGCTACAGGATTGCAGCACTAGCTTTCTAGCAGTGTGGTGTTAAAAAACATGCTTTTCATGTGTAGTGTGTCATAGTTTCTGAGATTCTGATGCCAGAATTTTATAGCGTTAGAAAATATTAGACTTCTACGAGATTTTTCTATACCAAAAAGCTTTACTGTAAGGCCTGCATTATGCTTAACAGTTCATTAATTGCTGATGAGAAGGGAATAAGATATATACATAATTAAGGAAATGTATATGTGCCTGTAAGCAGTAGAAAATGTAATGTTAATCACTTTTGGTATCCTAACTAGTCTGTGATGCTCTCCATGCTTATTAATTTGACTAAATTAATTCTATCCTTCTGTATTTTGCTAGAGGGTGTTTTTTCTGGTTTAGTAATATCTGTACAATACTTTGAAGATGTAAAGTTCTACATTAATACAAAGAATTTTTATTTTATAATATTGAAGTGGAATTTGCATAAATTCAGACACTTACTGATGAACAAAGCATTAATTTTATAAAATCTCATCTTCCTTGCTCATTGGTGTTGACCAAATTGTTTCTCCTTTAGAAGGTTTCCCATTGCTTTCCTATCTGAGCTTGCTTTCAATGTGCTTAATGACTTTATCACTGCCACTGTAGTGTGTCTGTCACACTTGGTTCTCTCCTGCCTCTGTTACCCACCAAAGCTCCTAGCCTTGCCTTCATGTTAATTACTGGGATGAATAAGTCACTGTTTTCCTGCAGCTCTGTGCATGATTGGATCTCAGTGAGCTCAAATGCAAAATTGTTATCCTATTCACATTTAATCGATTTTTGGAAAAAAGAGTACCTGTTCCTTTGTTGACTGCTGTGGATCTGTCTGATTCGCAGGCATTGAGTATGTTACGCTGCATATTTATCTTTCAGTTCTTGGTATCTTCCTTTAAACTTGAATTCCCTGAAGAAGTGAAACAGGGTTCTGAGGTTACAGAAATACATCTAATGCTATTAGTAATAATTCATGTAATCTTGTTTTTTTTAATCTTAAACAAACAAAAAACCCGAACAAAAAACCTCACACAGCACAAGGCCCCTTTTGCTGACCACTGGGCCTTGAGAGTATGCCTTCATCCAGTACTTCGTGAGAATACTGCCAATGTTGAGAGAGTAATCAAATGTCTATTTAAGAGCTGCTGCATTTGGAAAACATGATTTCGTAAAGTTACTTTTTCATCCTTTCTGTCCACATCTAGTTTTACTTTCATCTCAGATTTTAGCACTAGCTTAGTCCATAGTAAAACTCCACCTGCTTTGCCATGAAATTACTCTTGCTTCCAATTGGAGGTTTGTTAGATTGCCTGAATATCTGTATAATGTGATTTCTGTATAGGTAGAATCTTTGCAAGCAGAAATAAAAGAGAAGATGGATAATTACAATAAGCTGTTATTAGAAAAGGAGCAAAAACACCAAGAAATTGCAGCTCGTGATAAAGAGATAGAAAAACTGGTGGCACAGATACAAGAACTGAAGCACAGCAGTACTGAAGCCTCAAAGACTGTACACTACTTGGAACAACAACTGCAAAAAATGAAGAAAGTGGAAACCGAATTAAAACAAGTAATTTTTAAATATTTACTTAAATGGGAGTGGCATTATGCAGACAGTGTCTTCATGGGGGATCTCAACAACTGTGTTAAGTGGTATTTGAGACTATCCCTGGCACCTAGTGGTGAGTTTAACTGTTGTATTAATGGCAGGTGTCACAGCCACAGCTTTAAACAAACTCTGGTTTTATGAACTATAAGCCTACTTACTACAGAGACTGCTTTTTGACAGTTGTCATGTTTGCATGGATCAGAGTTGCTCTTTTGCTTCTCTGGAAATTCCTGAGAAGGTAATGTTACTGAATATTAAACATCATGGATCTTGAATAAGTAACTATGTTTAAAATCATATTATCTTAGTTGGTAGCTCTTCTTGCTATGTGTCTTTGGAGCCAGATCTGTTTGCCATACTCCGAAATTCTTTAGTGCTTTGGTACTACTGCAGATTTAATCACACCTTAGAGTTAAGAATTACATTCCATTTAGCAAAAGTATTTGTCTTTTACCAAACATCTGAGTAATGTTTTCTACCTTCTTAAACTAAATGTTTTGGTTTCCTCCCACCAGTTTTCCTTGTTTAAGTATCGTTGGTGTGTCTGTCAGGTTTGAAGATTTGAGATTGGCATGATCTAAACTAAATTTATTAGTTTAATTGCTAATTCTGTAAATACTTGCTTCCATTATTTTTGATTCTAAAAATAGTGAACAAATTTTTTTGTTTGTTTTGGCTTCAGTTAACATGATATAGACTAGCCAGTTGTAGTTTATTAGTTACTATTATTCCCATCTGTGTGGCACTTGTGAGATTGCATTTGGAGAACTGCTTGGTTTTAGACTCCCATGTACAAGAAAGACATTGGTGTACTGGAGCAAGTCTAGCAAAAGACCATCAAGATGGTCAGGGAGCTGGAGCAAATGATTTTTGAGGGGAAGCTGAGAGAACAGGGTTTGTTTAGCGTGGTGGAGATCTTACTGTTGCCTACAACCACATAATACAAGGTTATAGAGGAGATGGAGTCAGACTTGGAGGTGCACAGTGAAAGGATGAGAAGATACAAGCATGAACTGCAGCAAGGGAAATCCCAATTAAATGTTAGGGGGAAATGGTCATACTAGGGGCAGCCAAATGTTGAAAAAGGGGCTCAGAGTGGCTGTGGTGTCTCTGTGACTTGGAGATGGTCAGAATTCAGCTGGCCAAGGGCCAAGGCCCTGAGCAGAGCCAAGCTGGTTCTGCTTTGGGTCAGAGGTTGGACCAGATTGCTCTAGAGACCCTTCCCAGCTTAAGCTATTCTGTGATTTTATCCAAACATACAAAAGCTGTGCCCATTAGCTTTCTGTCTGGCTTGCCTTGGAGTGGATGGAGACTGTGATAGTGCTGTTGACAAGTTGCTCTTGTCTCCGAAATCTCAGCTTTCTGTTAAACAGGCTTTCTTTATCCATGCGAATTCAAAATATTCTTTTAGCTGTCTGAATGTCCCAGTAAATTAGTCTTTCTTTAAAATCCTAAATAAGCCAAATTCAGACTCTTGTTTTTGTTTTTTCTCTTTTTCCAAGAAACTAATTCGTTGGCTTTAGACAAGGTTATGCTACTCAGTTTGCCAACTGTAGGCATTGTAATAGCTTGCCTTGAAGCAATATTGTGCAGTAAATAAGTGCCAATGGAGCTCTAAGAATGGTTGCGTGTCATGATTTTTTTCTGTAAAAATATACTTGATGTGAATGGCAATTAGAGGTTTTTATTGTCCCCCAAATACCAACATATAAAAAATGTAAGTATTACAGATAATGGAGGCTAGTGCTAATGAGAAATAGGTCTGGAAAGAGTAATTTTGAATATGGAATGGTGTCTTTTTGTGAAGAACACTGACTAAACTCACAGATCCATTTATCCTGCCATTATGTGCATGAAGCAGGTCTTCATTTTTTCTTGGTCCAATTCCTTCCAGTTGTTCAGCTGGTTGATATGTAACATTGATGCTTGTGGTTAGGGTTGTGCTGGAGGATTGCTCATCCTTTTGCTTGAGGTCTTGGAGACAGGGCTCATTTAGGGAGTCTGCTATCCTATGGATTTTGGTATTGGTGAAAGAAGATACCACATTAGACTGTATCTGCGTGGGCATCCAGAAGAAGGTTTTTATGGTGAAAGTACATTACATAAAGCTCTGATTTTTGGCTGGATTGCCACTTGTTTTTGCTGGGTCACTGTAGCAACCTCAGAACACAGCAACTGGAGAACACTAGGAGAAACTTAACTCTTGTGTGCAGAGCCGTGCTGACACCATGAGCTACGGCACACTTGCAACTCTGCTGTCCAGTAAATGCAGGAACATTTGAGGTAAGGCAGCCCAGTTCTGCAGGAATCTGGATGTGCACATTGTTACTGGACGGGTTTTGTCAGTGACCAAGATGGTGTGGGTAATGTCTTATTTTCAGCTGATATAAACAAAAAAAAGGCTCTATTGTTGTTTGGGTTTTGTTGTTATGTGTGTCTTTTCATGTATAGCAGCAGGATGATTGAGGGGCTGGTTAATATCATAGGTTTCATGTGAGGGCAAGAAAAGTTTTCATTTATCCCTTCAGGACAAACAAAAATATTTGTGATAGGTGCTTTCTTACCCAAAAAAGTGCAGGTGATGCTTTCATAATTATTACATTTGGTTTTTATCCTGCCAGTGATACTAGGTGTGAATGACACAGCTTTGTACCCTAACTGGCTGTCTCCCCTATAATTTTCTCTTGTGTGCTGTGTGTGCCTGCAGTGTCCCCAGAGCTGGCCAGAAAGCCAGCAGGGACTGGCTGGGGGCTAGTGGGTGGAAATCAGATGGCCTATTTAGTATAGGATGTGAAGGTTTGGACAACTGTTTTAAATACCTGTTCTTGGGCATGCTGTTTTGATGCTGCGATACAGCGTTAACTTTGTAATTGATGCTTCTTTCATTTCAAGAACAGAAGATGCTGTCTATGTGCTCTGGGTCTTAGTTCCCCTTGATTAGAGAAAAGATGGTCAAATTTTACTTAATTTTTTGTCAAATCGTATGATGAGTCTAAAATAACCCTTCTGTTAGAGGTATATGTGTTGAGCTATGGGCAGAGTAAGAGTTGAACAGCAGAGGCAGTTACTGCCTTAGGTTTCTTGTCCAGCTTTCCTTTGTTGTATTAAGTACAGGTATGTATGCTTGCTGTTTGGACGAATTCCCAAGTGAAGCTTTCTTCCTTGGACTGACCCAACTGCTGAGAAGGACTGTGAGAGAAGGAGGATCAAAGTAGAAGTTTTTAAAATAAATAATTGAAACTATGGTAGCTTGACAGACCACAGATCTGACAAACTTAGTGCTGGTGCTTCGCATTCTGACTTAACATGAGGTATTTGTAGTAGATTTTTGATCTACTCAAAACTCTCCAGCTCTTAAATTTAGCTTGGCAAATATATGGTATCATAATAAATTTGGAAATGGCTACAAGAACAAGATGTTTAGGTTCTTAAACATACAAAACACTGTGTAATTGAGAAAGTGTAACGTATCACCGAATCCTAAATTTTTGGAAGTTGTTAAACTTGGGTTAGAAAAAATAAAGGGGTAAAAACTTAAGTGAGCTAAAAACATTCAGTTGTTTTGAATTCCTATTTCTTCATAGGCCATTGGGATTATGTATGTTTCTTCTTGCACTGGGGTTTGTCAGGGATGATGAAGTATTTTGGCAGGATTGTTCTGGTTAGATGGGTGTGTATATTGACAACAATAAATTCTAACATATTAAAAAATTATATATTGCAGGATAAGGAAGCATTACAACAACAACAGTACAATAACCTGATTCAGATCTCTGCCCTACAGTCTAAATTGGATGAAGCGAGGCACAGAGTACCAGCAGACGGCAGTTCTGCCCCAGTGCTGAAGGAGCAGTTACAGGCAGAGCAGGAAGCACTTCAGATGAAAGAGAGAGAGGTAAGAGTTTTGGTAGGGTCCTGTAGACTTCCGATTCCCTCACATAATTGCAGAAACATTTTGTTCAAACTTGTAACTGGGAATTGAAGCCATTCAAAAATGCAGTGACTGATGTTGTAGTAAATGTGCCCTTTTACCCAGTATTCTCTATGCTTTGGTCTTAACTAACCTTTTTCTTGCTTTGTTCTGTTTTGTCATTCCCCTATCTGTCAGTCTCCCCTCCCACTGGAAACTGTCTTGTGATGATTCACATCAGCTTTCAGACTAATTAATCAATATATCTTGAAAACTGATTTTTCCTTTCCTTCCAAAGTTGAAGTGGAGCGGAAGGTAGATATATTTTTGTTTGACTTTGAGAGTGAGTGATAATTCCTCTAAGAACAGAAAGGGCAACTATGCATAATAGCGTCATCTGACCTCTATTTTGTGAGCCAGGGAAAGTTAGTGATGAGTTCTTGTGACAAGCTAAGCTGAAATGCAGTGTAATTGGTCACATTATTTAGAACTTTTATTGGATTTACATGCACAGATACACCCCGCCCCCCCGTATGTTTATGTAATATTACATAGCTATTGTAGTATCTGTAATATACAAACATACAGTCCGGTTTAGGATGTGCAAAGAAGACAAACATGGGTGATCCTCCAGTTAATTGTACACCATTGTTTCAAGAGGAGTAAGATAATAAAGACTAATTTCTTACAGATGGAAGTTCCAAGTCTCTTAAGAAGTCTGACCTCAGGAGCCACTAAGCCTTTTTCATTGTCAAAGCCCCTATACCTTGCTACTCATCAAGGGAAGAGATGATCAAAGCTGTGGGTGGCAAGATTGCAGTGTTTCCAAATAGCTCTTTGCTCTCAAGCTTTCAAACAGCTACAAGCAGAGAAATGTGTAGTTATTGACTCTTTTACAGGTTGAAGGAGTCAATGCTCAGAACTTTTTTGATTGCTGTGTTACGAAATTAGCACTGCAGTGCTAATTTCTATTTTCTAGGAGGAGGGGAATGGTGATTATATTAACTGCTTGTGATTACATTAGACATCAAATGCTAACATGTCTCCTGTTGTTATGTTAAATTACATCAGTGGTCAAGCCTTGATCAGAACAGATGAACATATCTTTTGTGAGCAGTTAGATTTTTATTTTTTTAAAAGAAAATGGAAAACCACCTTTGCAGTACTTTGGTTTTGCAGCTGAGGAGCTGGAACATTAGCTTCTTACTCTCTTTTTATGTCTCAAGTATTTTATTAATGCAAATTGATTAGAGGGAGTTTAAATCATAGAGTTTGCTGAAGTTACTTGCTCTCAGTAAATAAGGTGTTGAATGAAGCTTTATCTTTTCTGCTTAAATAAGAGGACTTAATTGAAACAACTATGCATTTTCTTCTATTTTTAGATTGCAAGCTTGTTAGACCAACTAGGACAATATAAAGATAATTTGATCAGTAAAAACGAGGAGATACTGCAGCTGAACTTGCAGTTAGAGATGCAAAAAAACCTTAGCACTTCCAGCATCAGCCAACTTCAGTTAGAGAATGCACACTTGAAGGTAGGTTTCCTTAGCTTTAGTGTGCATCAGCTAAAACTTCTGACACCTCCTTTCTTGAGTGTTGTGGTCTTCAGACATTTTAAACGGATAATTTGTTTGTTTCTCTTGTCAAGGGAATATTGCATTACTGTTACAAGGCTAATGCTGGTTATCGTAGAACAAAAACCCTGTGAAACTCTAGGTTCGAGCTTATGGCATTATCTTCTACAGTAATTTGATTTAAATAAAAAGCTTAGCTTTTTTCTAGCCCTGATACATTATGAACTACAGTGTTGTCATTTAGTAAACTCTATACAGTTTTGTGTGCATTCCTGACCTCTACAGCCATAGCAAATGTTACAAGTTAGAAAACTGCTTGGTTGTCAGTCTGGCAATTAGAGTGTTCATCTCTTACCTTGAATGTTCAGAAATGTTGTGGCAATCTAATCCAGTGGTACAAATCTAAACTAAGTAGCTGTAGTTGTGTTCTTGAGTTCTTTAGCATTGTAGTAAGGAGGAGAATGTTCAAATAAAGCCCTTGGTTCCGTTCTGCCATTATACTGGGAGAGAAAGTAAATTCCTTTTAATGAGACTGATGTTTTTTCTGATCAGGAAAATCTAACACAACTTCAGGTGAAGCAAAATCAGGACCTGGGTATTAATGATTCCTCAGCTTTGTCCTTCCCACAAGCACTACTTAAAGAAAAGAATCAAGAAATTGATCACTTGAATGAGCAGATGAAGAGGCTCCAGCATGAGCTAGAGAATACTTTGGAGAATAAAGTAAGAGTACTTACTGTATGGTCATTGCTTTATTTTGAGGGAAGCAAGGTATATAGAATCTTATTGTAGATGAAATCTATTTGATAATTCTCTTAAGAAAGTAGAGAGTATTCTGAGTAGCTACCAGCTGAAGTGTGCAATTCTTCCTGCTCTGATTCAGTAAAAAAATGTAATTTAAACTCTATGTGCAATAATAATTCTGCCTACATACAGTAATATTCAGACCTTATCCTTTTGATCAGGTTGTGGAAGACCAAAAATCTGAAATTGAAGAACTCAGATCACTTGTCGAGCATCTTCGTGGTGACCAGGAAAGGCTGCGTAAGGACAAAGATGAAGAGGTAGAGCAACTCCATGGAGTAATTGAGAAGCTTCAAAAAGAGCTGGCACAGTTTGGACCAGTATGTCATGAAGTTAGTGACAACCAAGATGATTTTTATCAACTTGCATTGGGAAAGCCAGTGGAAAACCTTCAGAATGAGTTGAGGAAAGGACTGATAGATTGTCAGGATGGTATTGATCCAAACAGAAGAAACGCACTGCTACTCTCCAAAGTGAGAGAACTTCAGGAAGAACTAGAGCTTCTCTCAACTGCTAGAGAAGCTCTGCAGCAGCAACTGGAAGAGAAGGAAATGCAGTTCAAAATGGAAGTGGAAATTTTGGAGAAAAAATGCCAAAAACTACGAGAGTCATCAGAGCAGCACATTGCAGAGCTAACCTCTCTGAGAATACAGTACGATGAACTTCAGGAAAAGTACAGCCTTTTCCAAACACATTTTTCTCAGAGAGAGGTTGAAGCAAGGATGACTACTTCTCGCATTCCAGAACTTGAAGATAGTGTGAGAGAAAAGGAAACAAATATTCTAGAGAAAGATATGCAAATGAAGGCAATGGCAGATCAAAAAGAAGCTGACACAACTGAGTTGCAGTACTTAACAAAAAAGGCAGCAGAGCTTCAAACTGAATTGGAAAAGAGAGATGCAAGTCAGGCTCAAGATGTTTATAGTCTTCAGTTAGAAGTTTCTAGACTTCATTTCCAGATGCAAGCACTGAATGAGAAAGAAGTAGCTTATCAGAGAGAAATCAATGAACTGCAAAGTAGCACGGCAAAACTGAAAGATCAAATCAAGGCATATGTGAAAGAGCTTGAAGCCTTAAAATTGGAAAGAGATGAACTTGTTTCATGCTTGGAGTCGTGCAAGCCAAAGGAGCAACATGATCATGAAGAGACTAACGTTCTCCAGCCATTCTGCTGGAGAGAAAGAAAAGGTGAAGCCCTTGAAAAAGGAACAGAGGAATTGGAAAAACTGGAAGCAAATGGTGATCAGTCATTTGCAGTACTGGCTTCCCCTCCTGATAAACTGGTATGTTGTTTGTTTTTTAATAGTGTTGTTTTTTTTTTAAACAATCCAATTTTATGTGTCATATAAAGCCCTACAGTTTATCCTTTTTAGTGCTGTAAGAATGGGTGAAGATGAATACTGTGGCATAAAAATGGCTGTGGTGAGTCAGTTGAAGGGTCTGTCTATCTTTGTGTAGTTTCTCCAGCAGTGGCTAGAGGTAGATGCCTGGAAGGTCTAAGAACAGGGCAAAGACATGTGGAAACCTAATCCAGTCAGTTTTTCTGAGCTGGATATAGTTTTGGGCATGGATCCTAAGGTATATATTGGGTGTAGGTGGCAAGGTTGTTGGCAGTGGGGGGAGCTGCAGGGGGGCCTCTATGAGAAAAGGCTGGGGCTGCTTCATGCTGGGCACAGCTGGTTCCACCGCAGGGCACCACTGAGCCTGTCAGCCATGTGCATGGCACTGCTGCAAAAACATATTTAAGAAAGGGCAAAATGCTGCACAGCCAGTGAAAAGTGAGGGGAAAAAAAGTGTGAGAAACAGCCCATGGAAGAGACCATGCTAGAGGAGATATTCACACTGCAAGGGAGGAGGTAGAGCAGTTTGGAATGAAGGAACAAAATGAGTCTGGGGAGAAAAGGTAGGGGTGGGGTGGGGAGCTGTTTCAGTGTTTGTCTTTGTTTCTTGCCATCCAACTCTATTTTAATGGCAATAAATTTTCCCCAAGTCAAGTCTGTTTTGCCTGTGAGAGTAATTTGTAGGCGATATCCCTGTCTTAATCTCTACCCATGAGCTCTTTCCATCTTATTTTCTCCCCCTGATCTGTTGAGGAGGGAGAGTGAGAGAGCGGCTGGGTGGGCATCTGGCAGCCAGCCAAGGTTAACCCACCCCGAGCTACTAGGACTATGTTTGCCATGGATTGTGGTTTAACCCCAGCCAGCAACTAAGCACCACGCAGCCACTCGCTCACCTTCTGGAGAGAATTGGAAGGAAAAAGGTGGAACTTGTGGGTTGAGATAAGAACAGTTTAATAGAAAAGAAAGGAAGAAAATAATAATGATAATAATAGTAATAAAATCACAATAATAATAATAGGATTGGAATATACTAAACAAGTAATGCACAATGTAATTGCTCACTAGTCACCAACTGATGCCCAGTTAGCTCCTGAGCAACGATTCCCCCCAGGCCAACTCACCCAGTTTATATACTGGGCATGACATCACATGGTATGGAATACCCCTTTGGCCAGTTTGGGTCAGCTGTCCTGGCTGTGTCTCGTCCCAACTTCTTGTGCCTTCCAGCCTGCTTGCCGGCTGGGCATGAGAAGCTGAAAAATCCTTGACTTAGTCTAAACACTGCTTAGCAACAACTGAAAACATCAGTGTGTTATCAACATTCTTCGCATACTGCATCCAAGACATAGCACTATACCAGCTACTAGAAAGAAAATTAACTCTATCCCAGCCAAAACCAGGACACCATGCTTTATGGCTGTCCTGGAGAACTACTTGAAAATTCTTTGTCATGTATCATATTTTTTAGAAATCTTTATTTGCTGTGACTCCCTCTTGTATTTACTCTGAATCTTTTCTAGAACCATTTGCTCCAGATAACCTAATGTGAACTTTTGGAAAGCAGTAAGACCCAGATGACCTGTTTTTCAGAGAGCTGTAGTTGTCTGTCATATGCCAACTTACTGTCTTTTAAGGCTGGCTTACAGAGGTGATAAGTGTTAGTAAGAGGGCTTATATGAAAAAAGTTTCTGAGTGCATAGGAAAGGAAAAAGGTTAGGTGTCAGACTCGTGTGGATTTTGGGGGTCCTGACTGGCATATGATATGGGTATAAAACCCAAGGTGGTTGACGTAAACTGTACTACTTGCCCCATTGTAGTGGGAAGGGAAGATGGCTTTTCAGCACCAAGTAGAAATTATGGTTTGTAGGTAGAATTATTGGATTTCCAAGTTAGGCAAAATAACTGTGCTTTAATGTTGGTATCGCTAATGGTAAAAACCTACTTGCAGCATTACTGTGATGTTACAGAATGTTTCATATTACTTTGCCATTTTACTTCATAGCCCAGCAATTAAAATAGGATGCAGTTCTTTGTTTTAAAACCTACTCAGTAATAACAGTGGGTTTTCATTAGGCTTTTGTCTGGTATCTTTAAGCTACACTGAAGTATTTAGGATGTATCTTATTTAAATTGTACTTGAATGCCATCTTTCCTTACTTAAAGAAATGATAGGATAATTACTATGTAAAATGACTTATGTTTATTTTTTAAGCAGAAATGAAGAGTGTAGCTATGCAAAACATGTGATCATTACTGGTGTTTGTAGCTTTATTTGCTTAGAAGTTCTAGTTTGGATCAGTGCCTTTTGCCTAGGTAATACTGTACATTCAGGGTCTGTCTCAGAAGTCCCGCAGAAAAAGGGATCAGGTGGGAATAGCGTTGAATGATCTATGCAGAACGATGTCCACCAGACCATTGAATGTGTGTATACAAGGCCACATCAGGGCTTAGCCACCTGACTTCCAGTGTAGTGGTCTACAGGACCATGTTGCTTATACAGATAGTGATTGTTAGATCCCTGTTTAAAGAACATAAATAACTGCCATAACCAAATACACTATGTACCAGATTCACTGGCTGTGCTTTTTATCTGTCTCTATAGGTCTCTTTCAAGTTGTAATAGCCACTTAGTAGTAGCAGTAATTCATGGAGATCAGTTACCAGCTTTCTGGTGGAAATCACATGCAGCAACACTGTCTTTCTCTTGTCCAGAGTAAGAGTACAGCTGCTTGATCTCTGCTTAGTAATGATTATTTGTTACAAGCTTACATTACCAGAATATGCTGTGTGAATTCCAGCCAACTCCCTTATTTATGCCATTTGTCATGTAAAATACATACACAGTGTCAGGTGCATGCACAACTTTTAAATCATAGTTACTGTAGATAAAATTTCAGAATGTGTGGAAAATACACAATCTATGTATGGCTCACGTAAAAAATATTTCTCCTTTGAACACAATGCAGGGAGAGTTGAAGGCTATGAACACTTCACAGAATGAAAAGTATTTAATTGTAAAGATGGCATCTCATAAAGAAGAACTTAATTCTGAATTAGGTTCAGCAAAAAAGGAGTTAGGATTCAGTGAAGAGAGAACTGGTAAAATTTTGAAGGATTTAAAGGTATGCTGGAATTCTGGGGGCAGTTAAATGATTTAAAAATAATTCTTCAAGTAGAAACTTAGATTCTGTGATGTTCAAGTTCATGTATATATGTCAGTATATGTATTTCCATGTTTAAGTGCTAAAGTTTTAAAGTAGGTTGAGGAGGGATGATCATCAAAGTTGGAGAATATATTGAGTCAAAGTAAGTAAACTACTGTGTCTTCAGGCATTCATTACGATAGACCTTTTCCTGTGAATCTAGCTCATCCCAGTATAAGGAAAAGTACAGTATTTGGTTTAGAGTATCAACTAACTGAGCAAGATAAGTGACCATGAGCCTGAGAGCTGGAAAGGGGGGAAAAATAACAATATTTGGGTACTTTTGTTCCAGTATGGATTAGCTAAATGCCACTATACAGAACATCTTCAGAGGAAAAGGAATGACTGCTGCTTCGAGTACCAAGACAGAAAACCCACGTGACATTAAGCAGTTCTTTACCTAACCCTGAATAGTGAATGAGAGTTGGTTCAAATTGTTAACATTGAAGAGCCGTTGTGTAATAGTGAACATAAACAAATGCAGCATTAATAGAGCAGCAAAGAACCCCCCTACAGTTATTCTTGGGTATAAAAGTGGAAACTGAAAATTGGGAAATGTATTAAAATGAAAGCTGGAGGAGCAGCTAAAAAGGTAAAGTACTTGCAGCTAGCACTAGGCTTAAAACAGGCTAGGACTCATCAGCTAAGATGGATGATCAACACAAAAGGATTAAGATGATGGTCTAAAATGAGAGAGAGGACAATTATTCACTGTATCTTACAATGTAAGAGGTATGGAGAATGAAATTAAATTTTCATGGTGGCAGGTTTAAAATAAATTAAAAGAAATATCCTTTCAAACAGTGCATCATTTAGGCTCTTAGCCACAGAATCTAAGAGGACAAAAGGGTAATTTTATCTTAAAATGACTTAGATGAAGTGATTGAAGGAAAAACCACCCAAGAACTGTCAAACAGAAAGATGTTGACTGTGTATGCGGCCTGGGATGTGTAGACCTTGGATTGCAGGGAGCTGGGCAGGTATGCTTTGCAAAAGCTCTGCTGTCTGGCAAGGTTCCTTTGCAGAAAGATTGTTCTAGTCCTGTTAAACGTTCCTCGGGATGATGGTTGTAAAAAGGGCAGCAAGGAGGGAAAACAGACCCCTCTTAAAGCAGTGGGTGGGCCAGCTTGGGAGCGGGCTTTGAGAGGATTCAGTGCCCGGGGCACTGGAGATGGAAAACGTAGAGGGAGCAAGACAGCCAGACCTTCTGTGTAAGTCATGGAGGCATTAGAAGAGAAGCTGCAGCTTGGCATGCTCAGTATATGTTCTGGAGTCTTCCTCCCGCCACAGAAGAGGCACAACCTTTGCCATGAGCACACCTGTGCCTACTTTTTCCCTTAGGTGTTTCTATATTAATGGCATCAGTAAGCCCTGGAATTACAGTGAGTGGGGCAGAAGCCTTAGGGTTCCTTAATCACTTGGTGATGGCACACTGGATCCCTGAGGTTATAAGGATGACAGTAAAGGTATTTTCATGATGCAGTTCCGAGGTGTTCCATTTGGATGTCAGCCTCCAGGTGGAGTGAGTAACAGGTTTAGAGGGTGAAAGACAGAAAAAAGGTTTGACTTCTTGACTTCTGGAGCAAGCAGAAGTTAGCACTTGTTAGCACTTGGGACTTGTTGAAGCAGTGGCTCTGCAACAGCAGCCTTCCTGTGGTGTCTGTGACACACATCCTTGTTGAAAAGAGCGTTAAGGTGATAGAAAAGGAACAATAGCTTCAAGAGGCCTTGGGAAGGGAAGAAAGCTCTTTATATCCAAACACTGACTAAATGAGAGCCCTTGTAGCAAGGTAGGCAGGGATGTATCTGCATACTCGGTGGCACAGTATTGACATTATTCAGATGTCTCTGCAGTTTGAAGGTGGAAGTCTAGCCTTGGCCTCGTCAGTGACCATGCCCTCACACTATGGGAAAGATGCTGGAAAGGTTCTGTGGCCATTTGGATACTCAAGCCCTCAGGCTGGATGGACACCTGTTGTGTCTATGTTAGCTGTGTTTCCCTGTTGGCCTCTGTCAGAGGTGGTGTTTGGGTAGAAAGACTTCAGTCTGACCTAGTGTATCTGGTTTTACAGAGTCAGAGTTTGAGAAATGATCTGCAGTGTTGCTAATCAGCAGAGACCTAAGTCTGTTGTTTGGTGCTAGAACAAATAAAAAATAAAAATGGGTAGAGTACCCCTGTGGGAACAGGACACTAAAAGGTACAAGTATGGTCTTACCAAAATTTAGGATAAAGCACGTTGGTATGTACGGCTGCTGTGTGTCTCACATGATGGGACATGTGAATCCATGTTGCTCTTCCCTCCAGTGACTAGAAGTAGATTGTCGACAGTTTCTCCTGCATTGAAATGGCAGGCAAAGGAACCATCTGTAGACTTCTTAATAATTTTTTTCCTGGTGTCCTGGGTCAGGAATTAAGCTTTAAGATAGTTCAGGAGATTTGTCCAGTTAGGTAAAGCAACAGGTTTTGATTTGTATTTATTTGAAAGTAGGAAGATTATCTACACAGCTACAAGGATTACCCTTTTTCCTGATCCATACAAAAGTCAGCTCTGCATAAATACATTTGCTTATTGCACAGATAATTATTTTTTTTTCCCTCCTGTTGATGATATGTGTGGTGGGTTGACCCTGGCTGGATGCCAGGTGCCCACCAAAGCTGTTCTATCACTTGCCCTCCTCAGCTGGACAGGGGAGAGAAAATATAACAAAGAGCTTGTGGGTCGGGATAAGGACAGGAGAGATCACTCGCCAATTACCATCACAGGGAAAATGGACTCAGGTTGGGGAAAATTAACTCAATTTATTACAAATCAACCAGAGTAGGGTAATGAGAAATAAAACCAAATCTCAGAACACCTTCCCTCCACCCCTCCCTTCTTCCCAGGCACAACTTCACTCCTGGATTCTAGAGAATCCAACCCCCCCCCAGCAGCACAGGGGGACGGGGATGGGGTTTACGGTCAGTTCATCACACGTTATCTCTGCCACTTCATCCTCCCTGGGGGGAGGGCTCATCACACTCCTCCCCAGCTCCAGCGTGGGGTCCCTCCCATGGGAGACAGTCCTCCACAAACTTCTCCAACGTGGGTCCTTCCCACGGGCTGCAGTTCTTCACAAACTGCTCCAGTGTGGGTCCTTTCCACAGCGTGCAGTCCTTCAGGAGCACACTGCTCCAGCATGGGTCCACAGCCAGGGTCACAAGTCCTGCCAGAAAACCTGCTCCGTGGGCTCCTCTCTCCACAGATCTGCAGGTCCTGCCAGGAGCCTGCTCCAGCACGGGGTTCCCACAGGGTCACAGCCTCCTTCGGGAACCTACCTGCTCCGGCATGGGGTCCTCCACAGGCTGCAGGTGGATATCTGCTCCACCGTGGACCTCCGTGGACCGCAGGGGGACAGCCTGCCTTCTTCACCATGGTCTTCACCACGGGCTGCAGGGGAATCTCTGCTCTGGCGCCTGGAGCATCTCCTCCCCCTCCTTCTTCACTGACCTTGGTGTCTGCAGGGTTGTTTCTCTTACATGTTCTCACTCCTCTCTCCAGCTGCCGTTTCTGTCTGTCCCAACTGTTTTTTCCTTCTTAAAAATGTTATCACAGAGGCGTTACCACTATCGCTGATTGGCTCGTCCTTGGCTGGTGGCGGGTCCGTCTTAGAGCCGGCTGGTATTGGCTCTCTCTCGGACACGGAGGAAGCTTCCAGCAGCTTCTTACAGAAGCCACCCCTGTAACCCCCCCGGCTACCAAAACCTTGCCACACAAAGCCAATACAGTATGCTTGTTAAAAGCCTGGTTAGCTGGCATATAAAATACGCTAAAATGTCAGATCATTTTTACATAAAACCTGGGAATAACAGTAGATAAGACTACTAAATCTGGGAAGATCTTTTTAAATGCATGTTTTTCAGTTTGTAAAATAATATTTAAATTCCATTAAATAATTAATATGTGTTATTTAATTGTAGGAAAAAGGTGAAGTTATGTTTGACTTGACAACTCACAATATAAATCCAAAAACTCAGATTAAGCAATCACAAGAAAATATTTTGACTCAGGAATTGGACATGATCAACAACTCTGAAGAGGAGCAAGATTTGAAAAAGCATTGCCAGCAAATGTTGGAAATTCATCAAACTCCTGATTCTCCAAAACACACTTTGAAAGACTTCCAGGATTTCATTGCAGGTATGGCTTCATGGGGCTCACCTGAGATTGTGAGAAAGCAAGATACAAGCATGGAACTTCAACCAGTGCTTCAGCTGACTCCCTTTTCGGAAGTTGAAAGCACAGATTTTGAACTGATGCACACCAGGTCATCCATTCAAGAAGATAATTCTGTATTGCTGGGATATTCTAACCTGTATGAAAATGACAGTGAGGAAGCAGCAGTGGGAGTAGATAGAAAATCCCCAGCTTTTTCTGAAAGCACCTACTCTATTGATGATGACCAAGATATGGAAAAGATTTTGGTAAGTGATATTTCATGTCTGATTTCATTCTAATTAAACAAGACTGCTCAGCTGTGTCCCCCTCGGATCATTGTTGGGCCATTGGCTCCAAGTAGTAGAAACTTACACACGGAGAGGGGTAGGTCCAGTAACATTTTGGACACACAATTGTTAGTTCATCTCTCACTGTTGTATGGCGGAGCAAATTATGGTCCGTATTAAAACACTGTTTACCACTGCTTGTCACAATTGAAAACAGTCTTCCAAAATCTAAAACTGAGCGATAAGCTGCTTACAGCAGGCTTTGCGTCCTGCATGTCTATACGCTGCTAATGTGGTGTCATTGCTTTTGTGCTCTCAGAAGATTTGTTGAGAGGACTCTTCAAATCCTGGTACTTTTGCAGTGGTGCTACATGGAAGTAACTGATGAATTTGTGATAATACTTTATGTGCAAGTAATTGAGCTAAAACCTGTAAAACTTTTTTGCTACCATGGTACTCAGTTTACTGTAACAGTTCTCCACTTACGAATATCTGTTATTGAGCATTAGAAGAGACTGTTTCCAAATTAGAGAAGAGAGGTTTTTCTTTTTAATGGAAATATTTTGTATATTTGTATCTGTATCATTTCACAGGAAGATAAAGTCTGTACTTCAGAAAATTAATCGTTGGTTGTATATTTTTGTGCCTTGAATGACCGTTAATTATAAATGCATATCTGTTTCTTAAGACTATTGAAAGGGAGAAAAAATGAGATAGAATGGGTTCCAAAGAGCACCAATGTGGCATTCATTGTGGTATTTGCCATCTCTAACACCATGATCAAGTAGGCATTTGCTAAAATCTGCACTAGTAACAAAAGTTGTTATAAATGCAGAATAGTCTACAGCTGGATTCAGAAAACTAAACTAATGTGAAAAATTATTTCCAAGCAGATAAGAGAAGCTGATAATCTGACTTTAACCCCTTCTGATTTACAAGATGATGTAAGATCAAGAGCATCTGCCATAGATGTGATGAGCGATGGATATGGCAGCAGTGAGTTTAACTTTGTACATTCCTTTCACCTTTTGTTAACTTCAGTATAAAAATGTTATAATGTTTCCACTTTCTCCCATTTGCTTTTAATGTAGATCTTTTATTTGAAAGCTATGCCTTTCTCAGCTGGTTCTTTGTTTAGTAAGACTTGTATATTTGTGCTAGTGGAAGTCTGCTTTTACCTTTTCATCTTTATATACTGAAAAAAAGGCATGGGATTTTAGTGAGTCCCAACTTAACTACAAGACTTTCTCCCATGCTAAAGGCAATGTACAACCTTTTTACTTGTTTAAGTTAGTTGAGATCTCAACCAGCTAACTTCAGCTGACCCTGCATTCATACTAGCAGAAGAAATCATGGTTATTTTGCAAGCAGTTATGCTGGTTTGAAGTTCTTTTCATCTTTGTAACACTTGTGGGGGTGGGGGGCTATCTCTTTCTTCAGATACCAGCTCAAATTTGGCAGCAAAACTAAAGCAGGAGCTACAGACATCAGACCACCTAGATGCTAGTTTCATGGCTTATCTGCGGTATCGTGGACTATTTCCAGATATTATGGAATCAAAGAGAGAAAAGGAAATACTTTCACCACAGCTGAAGGTAATATATGATTAATATAAACTTACCAGCAAATTAAAACTGAAACAGCAAAAATGAACTACTGATATAAAATAGTTAGCTGCTCCCTTTACACTGTAAACTGTTCTGCAATGGTTTGAACTTCAAGTTGATTATGGTTCTTGAGTAATTTTTGCATCTTTCCTGTGACAAATTTACTGACATTTGTCTCGCTTGTACTTGCTAGAATTGAAAAAATTTTGCTAGGACAGCACTGATGATGTTCCGGAATGTGGTGGTACAAGGACTGATTGATCTGATGTATGGGTTTGTCTTGGAGGCTTTACAGAAAGCTGTTTCATAAATAAGCGTAGCTAGCTGACATTGTGCTCTCCTGCCTATTCTTATCATTGTGATATGATGGAGACCTGTGTAAACACCACTGCAAGGTGTGGAGGGATCTTTCAGGGTCAGTTCAAGGAGCATTAAGAATATACAGTAGACTGAGCAGCGATTGCTTCTTCTAGTCAGTAAGGCAAGTTTAAGAAAGTATATGCCTGGGACTCTGGTTTGGTGCTGCAGCTGAGTAAGCTCTCAGGCATTCCAGGAATTCCAGCAGGTGTAAGGGAGAAATTCAGTGCTCCAAATCATCTCATCTATGAGGCTGGTGAGAAGTACATGGGTAAGTGCAGTAGGCTACAGGGAGTTCGAATACTAGAAGAAACTTGAGTAATAAGAAACTGGAAGAAATATACTTCCTAGAAGGTGAACGCTGCCTCCTAAAATGTTTAGCAGATTCTTCCAGCTTGCTCAGCAAAATGAAGGAACATCTGTGCAATGAAGGAAGGCTATGCAAGGGGATGGTAAGCCTGAATTCAAACTCAAGCTGACACAAGTAACTCATGAGATGGAGACTGGACCTTCATCTCTCCTCAAGGCAGAAAGAAGAACCTTCCCCCATTCTCTGAAGTGCACCTTCATAACAGACATGATGCTCTGGGGTTGGACAATGAAGAGCATGTTGAGTAAACTGACATGATCCAAGAAAAGAAACCATGCAAAGTTGAAGCAACCAATTGCATTAGAACCAATGCCACCAGAAAAGCATGTGAAATATTAGCAATTGGAGATTCCTTAGTAAGAGGCACTGAAGCACCCATTTTTCATCCAGACAATTTCTTTAGAGAAGTTTGCTGCTGTCATGGTTTAACCCCAGCGAGCAGCTAAACACCACACAGCTGCTCACTCACTGCCCTTCCTCCTGCAGTGGGATGGGGGAGGAAATCAGGAAAAGAAGTAAAACTTGTGGGTTGAGATAAGAATGGTTTAATAGAACAGAAAAGAAGAAACTAATAATGATAATAATAGCACTAATAAAATGACAACAGTAATAATAAAAGGACTGGAATATACAAATGATGCACAGTGCAGTTGCTCACCACCTGCTGATCGATGCCCAGTTAGTCCCCGAGCAGTGATCCCCCCCGCCCCTACCCCCCCAGTTTATATACTGGGCATGACATCACATGGCATGGAATACCCCTTTGGCTACTTTGGGTCAGCTGCCCTGGCTGTGTCCTCTCCCAGCTTCTTGTGTCTCTCCAGCCTGCTTGCTGGCTGGGCATGAGAAGCTGAAAAATCCTTGACTTTAGTCTAAACACTACTTAGCAACAACTGAAAACATCAGTGTGTTATCAACATTCTTCTCATACCTAACTCACAACCAGCACTGTACCAGCTACTAGGAAGACAATTAACTATCCCAGCTGAAACCAGGACAGCTGCCTACCAGGTGCTTGTATTCGTGACATCACTGAAAGGCTGCCAAGCCTGGTGAACCCTACAGATTATTGTCTGCTCCATGTAAAGTCTAACAATACTGTAACAAGGCAATTTGGAACCATCAAAAGAGACTATATATCCCTCTGATGAATGTTAAAAGGATTGGGATCACAGGTGGTATTCTCCTCTATCCTCCCAGTCAGAGGAAGGGGTCCAGGAGGGAGGACATGAACAGGTGAATGCCTGGCTGTGTAGCTGATGCTGTACTAAAGGTTTTGGTTTCTGTGATCATGGATGTACATTTGAGAAGCTGCATCTGTTGGGAGCTGATGGAATTCACCTGACCAAGTGGGACAAGAGTGTCTTTACCAATAAGCTGGCCAAACCTATAAGGAGAGCTTTAAATTAGACTTGGCGGAAGAAGAGGATGGAGTTTTGAGCAACAGAGAAGAGCCAGGGGCTGCTGATGTATTAGGAACCAACAGGGAAGCACCTATGAAATGCCTCAAAGAAACTGGGCCTTGTTCCTCCAAAAAGGTGACACAGTTGACAACCCAAGTGAAGTGCCTCTATACCAATGTACATATAGCATGGGTAACAAACAGGAGGAGTTGGGAGTCACAGTGCAGCTGGAAAGCTACAGTCTAATTGCTATCACTGAAACTTAGTGGGACAAATCACACAATTGCAGTGATGCAATTGACAGTTATAAACTGTTCAGAAGAGACAGGTAAGGAAGGAGAAACAGCTGTTTCTCTCTCTCTAAAAAAAAAAATTATAAAGGATTAATAGTACAGAGCAGTCTTTGAAAAACAGTAGAGTCAGGATGCAACCTTTCAGTTGTTTAAGGGATTTGTGGATGGGACTCCCTGGGAAACTGCCCTCAGGGATGAAGGAGCAGAACAGAGCTGGCAGCTATCTAAGGACATCTTTCCTAGGGTGCCAGAGCTTTTGGTTCCCATGTGTAAGAAATCAGGCAAGGAAGGCAGGAAACAAGCATGGCTGGGTAAGGACCCCCTGATCGAACTGAATTGTAAGAAGGAAATGCGCAGGCAGTGGAACCAGGGATATGTAACCTGGGAAGAATATAGGGACACTGCCTGGATGTGTAGGAATGGGATCTGGAAAGCTAAGGCACAATTGGAGGGGAATTTGGCAAGGAATATATGCAAGTTTGTAGATGACACCAAGCTGAGTGGTGCAGTTGATTCACCTGAGGGAAGGGATGCCATCCAGAGGCACCTGGACAGGCTGGAGGAATGGGCCCATGTGAACCTCATGAGGTTCAACAAGGCCAAGTGCAAGGTTGTCGTGGTTTCAGCCCAGCCGGTAACAAAGGACCACGCGGCCGCTCGCTCACTCCTCCCGCCCCCCTCCGGTGGGATGGGGGGGAAGACGGAGGAGAGAAAAAAAACAAACCTGGAACCTCGAGGGTTGAGATAAAGGCAGTTTACTGGAACAACACAAAGAAATTGCAACAACAACAACGGTACTAATGAAAAAGTATACAAAAAGTGATGCACAGTGCAACTGCTCACCACCCGGGACCCGACGGTCTGCCACTTCCCCCACCGAAAAGAAAAGCCCACCCCCCGGCCCGCTCCCCCTTTATATACTGAGCATGATGTCACATGGTATGGAATAGCTCCTTGGCCAGTTCAGGTCAGCTGCCCCGGCTATGCCCCCCACCTCCCAGGTTCCTGTAAAAATTAACTCTATCCCAGCTGAACCCAGGACAAAGGTCTTGCACCTGGGTCAGGGCAAGCCAGATATCAACACAGGCTGGGCGATGGAGGCATTGAGAGCAGCCCTGCCAGGAAGGACTTGGGTGTACTGGTGGATGAAAAGCTGGACATGAACCAGCAATGTGCACTTGTAGCCTAGAAGGCCAACTGTATCCTGGGCTGCATCCAAAGCAGAGTGGCCAGCAGGTCAAGGGAGCAGGTTCAGCCCCTCTACTCTGCTCTGGTGAGACCCCACCTGCAGTACTGCATCCAGCTCTGGGGTCCTCAGCACAGGAAAGACATGGACCTGCTGGAGTGGGCCCAGAGGAGGCCACAAAAACAGTCAAAGGGATGGAACACCTCTCCTATGGAGAGAGGCTGAGGAAGTTGGGGTTGTTCAGCCTGGAGAAGAGAAGGCTCCAGGGAGACCTTATTGTGGCCTTTCAGTATATAAAAGAGGGTTATAAAAAAGATGGAGAGGGGCTTTTTACCAGGGCCTGCAGTGCCAAGAGAAGGAGCAACAGTTTTAAACTGAAGGAGGGTAGATTTAGATTGGACATAAGTAAGACATTCTTTACGATGAGGGTGGTGAGACACTGGAACAGGTTGCCCAGAGAAGCTGTGGATGCCCCATCCCTGGAAGTGTTCAGAATTAGGTTGGATGAGGCTTTGAGCAACCTGATGTAATGAAAGATGTCCCCATGCCTGTGGCAGGGGGGTTTGAGATGATCTTTAAAGGTCCCTTCCAACCCAAACTATTCTGTGATTCTGTATCTAAAAAAATTAATAATTCTCAAAAGCATAGTTTCATAGGCTTCATGGAAGAGGTGAATTTCATTTTATCTTAAGACAGAGGATTTTTTAATTTAGTTTCTTTTGTGGCTCATCAGTCTAGATTTTACTGGCTGCAAGATCTGAGTGCATGTTCCAGTACTGAATGTTTAGTTTGAACATTTTACTGTGCTTCTGTTGTTAATATTTACTAAAGGTTTTCATCGTGTGTCATTGGTTATGAAGTTACCGCTATTTTGTTTCCAGTGACAGAAAAGCAACTCAAGTTGGTTCAAAAGTTAAGTCACTCAAAAAAGTTCAAAGAAAGAATACCAAGAGTTAAAGAAAAGTACTCCATATTGTTGTTGTCGAAGTGAGTAGCAATGAGAAACAGCTCTGCATCGAGGCTGGGATATTTTTTTGATGAGATGTATGTAGAAAAGGACTTAAATCTAGTGACCTTCCTTGAAAAGAAACCAGGAAACATCTGTGCATGATGTAATAGTTTGTGAACAGGGAATTTATTTAAAAGAGATTATTTTGCCTGACAATGTCAGAGGAAACAATTTCCACTGTGTAAGTTATTAAGACTGATTATTTTGGGAGATGTTATTTGTACATAATCTGCTAAATTAAGCCAAGGTTGTCTAAACACGTAATTCAGTTTTCTGGCATCACTGGGGTTTAGTAACATGGCTTCAGACTTGATGGAATTTAATTTATTGCCAGAAAAGTTAGCTAAATAGTTTAGAAACAGCAAAGGTAAAATACAGTCCTTTGGCTTAATTGTATATTAGTATATTGATGTACACAGCAATAAGATGTGCTGGCTGAGGCTGCCATTTGTACTTAACCTTGTGAATGCAGTAATTAAGAATACAGTGGCTGCTGTATTCTTAAATATTGACCTCAGTTGTTAGGAGATAAAAATTCTTAGGTAACTCTTGGCTCACTCTATGTGTGTGTATGTGTATATGTGTATTCTTAGTTTATTAAGCTTACCAAGTAGCAGGGCAGACCTGCATGCCTTTATCTGTATCACAGCCTTGGACAGCTGCTGCCTTCTTTTTATTGTCTAGTGCTGTTCTATCCTACTCTCACACTGTCAGGATGCTGATGTCTCTTTCCTAATATTATGCCTTTTTTTTTTTTTTTTTTTTTTCCTTTTCAGACTGTGCTGAAGATGGTGTATGAGGAGAGCCGCAAAATACTGGCTTTGTCAGAATGTCCCTTTAGTTTTAGGGAGCTGAAAAATGTTCATCAGACCAGAGCAGCAATGGAGGGATGGCAGAAGGAGGGCTTAGCCTTGCTGGATGCTATACAGTCGCTGAAAGATTACCTAAGCAAGGTGGCAGATAGAGGAGATAAGGTATGACAATAAAAATACCCTTTAAAGCAAGGTAACCTGTTTTTTAGATATATAGAAATGTATATTGTTATGTAGCTAGTGTGTGTGTATGTGTATATATATGTATGAGGAGCAAGGGACTCTTTCCTTTCTGAGATTTGAACGGGCCTCTTTAAACACCTTTGGTCTGCTTAAATTAAAAGATAGGTATACTCTTACACAGTAGTGATATGAAAGACAGTGGGTTAGAGATTGAGAGAAATGCCATTTTAAAAAAATAAATATTATTTTTAACAGGAATTTTCAGGTATTGCTGCTGACTGGAGAGGAGAACTTCTGCAAGCAGTACAGAGTGTGTTTGAGAAGGAGAGAAATGTGTTGCAAATTGACTTGAAGTCTCACTTCTCCAATCCTGGGTCTGGTGATGAAGGTTCGTTAGTGGAAAAACTGGAGTATATCATGAAACAACAAGTAAGAAATCATCTTAAAGTGTTATGCTTATAAATCACTTCTTTTATTCCCTCATATTTTTTAAGGTTTTTCCAGTTTTATTACTTCCATTGTTAAATCTTATCTTGTGTGTTAATCCAGATTGTGTGGGATCAGTAGGTTTTTATAGTCTGTGTTTTGGTACCATTTTTTTCAAACTTTGTATGTTGTGTTACAAAACCTATTGGTTATTTTAGCTGGCATACAGAAGGATTGTGATAGCATAAAGGAAATGTCTGATGAAAAGGGAAGGAGGGGAAGAATTCTATCTAGAGCTTCACAGACCTCTCTTGCAAAGGGTATACATTGAGCTAACTCTGAATCTGGGATTTTTTGCTGATAATATTTAGTTTTTACGTTCCGAGCAGATGGTTTGTAGTAACTATTATGTATAAACTATTATTAATACCTATTATTCTATTTGGAAGCTAGTGATGTGGGGTTTTTCTTTGTTACTTAATGTTACTTAATGTTAATATGAAGCATGAACTTAGTCACTTGAAGTGCCTCTGTGTAAAACTTGTACTGCAAGGGTTTCTCTAGGGTTTATTTTTGTAGAAAATATGGGAATAGCCTTGTAGATTTAATAGGACTTTGTTCATTTTCAGGAGGAACAGAGGCAGATGGTTGTAGAGCACCTTTTCTCCTCAGACCGGAATAGCTTGCTCTCTGAAATACAGGACCTCCGAGCTCAGCTACGCATGACACATCTTCAGAACCAGGAGAAGCTACAGCAGTTACAGGAAACCCTTACCAATGCAGAAGATCATGGGAGCAAACAAGAACACCACCTTCGGAGGAAAGGTAGTAATCGCCAAGTTCTTGCTATCTGGTCTTCTATGTCAGCTCTTTCCTTTTTTGCCTAGAAGATAAAAGGCAAAAAAAGATTGTTTTGCAAAGAAGCAGATGCTGTACAATTATTCAGTTTTACTAATGCACTCAGGTTCCCTACAATTTTAGCAGAGGAAGGAATTCTAGGAATTCTTCCTTCTAATAGTAGTAGTTAAGAAAAATCTGTGAAAATCAAAGAGAAGTTTTAAAATAACCCAAAGCAATAGAACTGAAGGGTGACTCTGTTAAGTAGTGTGTATGTGTAGAAAACCTATCAAGGATAGTAAGATACCCTTGTTGGTTTTCAGGAAATTCTTTACATATATATATGTATATTTGCTAGGAAATGGATGGATTTGCTTAATGAAGTTTAGAATCCATTAGTAACAGGTTACAATATATTACAGTAGCTCTCAGTCTCACTTGGCTTTCTTGTTCTTCTCACTTTGCCTGATCCACTAGCAGCAGATCTGTAGCGTGTATGTGCATCTTTCTGCTGATTCAACTAATGTTTGAAAAGAAATGAATTCTCCAGACAAGAACACTTTAATACAGCTGATTTTTTTCCCCGTATTTGAACTAGTGTAAGTGATAACATAATGTCAAGTTCTCTGCAATACAAATAACTGTTAACATTTTCTTATCCTAGTTGAATTACTAGAATATAAGCTTCAGCAGGAAAAATCTATTGTGAGTGACTTACACAGCACCCTGTCTGAGGAGCAAAAGAGAGCCTCTGAAACATGTGATCTCTTGAATCAAGAAAAAGCTGCCCTGAAATCAGAGCTTTATGAAAGTAAGGAAGAGAATGAAAGGCTGCAGAAATCCCTAGAAGAGCTTCGGAGGGAAATAAGCCAGTTACGGTGAGAAGTAGATTTTTTTTTTTTTATTTATTAACAGGCCTGAAAGAGCTTTATACTCATTGGATCCACAAATGGCTTAGCACTTGGAAACACAAGGAAGAAAACTAACCTCTCTCACTTCTCATTGATATGTTAATTTTTCTTTACTAACTGCTTAAATCTATTTATTCTTCAATTCAGATTTGCATATTTACCTTTTCTGTAGCCTTGACTGAGAAGGTTGTGGAAACAAGTGCATATTGTATGGGTGTATTAAAAGTGAACAGACTAGATCCCTGTATCTCTGATGTACCCCATTCCTGCAGCTTTTGTCGTAGTCTTTTGGTTGGTACTTCTGTTTGCCTGTCATCTTGTGTGTGTTTTTTTTTCTTCCACCCCTTCTCCCTCCCACTTATTCCTAGTGTATGCCAATGTTTTTCTTTCCTCTCACAGGACAACAGTTATGCTCTGCCAGGATAGATAACTTCTCCCTATCTCTTAATTGTTACTGAATAGAGCAGTTCTAGCTTTGCTTGCAGGGAGGTAAATATTTTCAGATGCTAAATAGCTGTGACTTGAAAACTGACTCTCTTTAGAAGGAGCAGAGGCCACCTTAAAGAAACAAGTCAACAAGACTAATTTACAAAAAGTAACCCAAAATGTCTTGCTTGCATTGCTGGTGAAGGATGTTCTGTTCTGAACATAGATAGAAGTGTTGTTTTGAACATTGCAGTTTTGAATTGGAAAAAAAAGAAAAAGATTTGACAGCTGCACATGAAGACTTGCAGAGTGAACGTCTGAAGGAAACAGAGCTACGAGGTTTGTTTGAGGAACAACAGCTTCGGCATAAGAAAGCAGAAGGTGAAAAGACAAAGGCCTTGGAGGTAATGCCCTACATCTCAATGCTTCAGTTCACCTCCCTTGGTGCATGAAGTTAGCTTACAGGTTATTTTTGCAGTCCTTTTCATGTCCCATGTTTTTTTGTTTAATAACTGTTTAAAAAAACCCCAAACTTCTACTGAATGTGCAATGGCATTTACTTTGTTTTCATAGAATTAAAGCTTTCAGTTGCCCTCCTTAATTACACATACAGAAATAAGCAAAAACGCTTTCACATTTCACATTTTCACTAGTTTTGTACTGCCCTTTGCTGTGTAGGGAGAGCCAGATTCTACAATGATGTAACTGCACCCTTTATTTCAGAGCAAATGCGCTATGAGGATGTGATGTGTATGATCAACTGAGATTATAAAGAAAACCACCCAGTGATACATATGCTTGGCAGAGAGTAACTGGAGCCTTTCCAACGTAACATGTATTTTTGGAGGTTAACCAAAGTCTTTTTTTCCCCTTTATTCTAAATTGGACAGAAAATAAATGAACAGCTTTCTCTGATACTGTGATAGCAATGACTCAGTTCTTGTAAAAGGCCTACAGTGACTGGAAAAGGAAGAAGATTTAACATAAACCTTTTTTTTAAACTTAGAAACCAAAACCAAAATCTATCTGCCAACTCCAAACCAATCCTAGTTAAATGCCCTAAGTGAGGAAACACAATTCGGACTCTATTTCCTTGTAGTCTGGTCTCTCACATCACCTTTCTGGTAGGTGTTCAGGTTTGTGGGTGGGTTTTGTTTGTTGGGATTTTTGTTACTACTGGCATGGTAGGACATGGTGCCAACATCCTCCATCTTTTAAAAAAGCCAGTTGTGCAGGGAAGGCAGGGACCATCTTAGCCAAGGCAAAGAGAAAAGCGCAGGTGTAGTTGTGCGACAGATTATACCATTCACAGTTCACACTGCTGCAGTCTTGCATTCCCAAATTGTCCCTTGAAGACCTACTATAGAAAGCTGATGCCACTTAGCATCTGACCTGGCTTTCTAGGAGATCAGAGGAGAGGTGGTGCTGGCTGCGGGGGGTAGGGCAGACTCCCCTGCTAGGAGGACAGCGGCTCTGGCTGCTAGCTCTGACTGTCTGCAAGCTCCTTGGGACTGCCTTTTCAGTTGCTCCCTGTCCTTCTGAAGAAAGGCTGACTCCCAAAATGGATTTAGGGATGGATTATTTGTATCAGTCTGTGCTGTGTGCTTTGAAGAGAGGGACTGTAAAATCCAGAGGTTTTGCATCTACTCATACTGCTTAGATTTTTGGTTCTTTTTAAATCAACATGGGTTATTTCTGCTTCAGATGTCACTTATTAAGGTGATTGAGTGATGTAAAGAATAGTGATTTCCTAATGAGGGTCTTACTAATTGAAGAAAAAATAATGTACCGGAAGATATTTTAACATTATGATCTTTGGTTTTGTTACTTGGCGTCATGTTGCTAACAAGCATGCTTCTGGCACTTTTAATTAGAAAATTAAACTTGTACTTTTAAATTAAACTTTTTAATACCTGAACTACTCTAGTTCAGTCTTGAGTTTCTTCCTGGATAAAACAGGAGGTTGAAAATTGCCAAATGCCAGCCTGCCCCACAGATGTTTGTGCTGGATTATTAATATGTGTTTCCCCCCTTTTGAACAGGAGCTGCAGGCTGCCTTAGAGTTGCAGTCAGTGCAGAATAGCCAGCTGGCTGTATCCTTAGAGCATGAGCAAATGGTAAATGATAATCTCCGCAAGGAGCTTCAGATTGAGCACTCCCGCTGTGAAGCATTGCTGTCCCAGGAACAGACCAAACTGTCAGAGCTACAGAGAAATTTGGATGCTGAGAAAAATCGTTCGCTGGAGCTCCTGAACTCCTTGAATCACGAACGTGTTTTGACAGAACAGTTGAGCATGAGAGTGAAAGAAGGTGCTTGTCAGCACAGGGAGTCGCTGCTGGAACAAGCCTTTGTTCGAGAGCTCCAAGCCCAGCTGGAAGAGGAGAGGTCCCGAACTATAGAGCTAGCTGCTATTATTGAGAAAACACACCAGGCGACCATTCATTCCAAAAGGCAGCTAGAGGCCAAAGTACAGATGTGCTGCAAAGAAACCCAGAAGGAGAGAGAGGTTAGTGACAAATTGCGAGCTACGCTGGAATCTCTTCAGGGTCAAAAGCAAGAGGTACTCCGTTCCTTAGAGGCCCAGAAGGAAAGAGAGGCGAAGCTGAAAGCTGACTGGGAACAACTGCAGTCACTCTTCAAGACCATGAAAGAGCAAGATAAAAATAAGAAAGAGGAGAGAGAGAGAGAGCGAAAACAACAGCAACAAACAGAGCTAGAGAAACAGAAGGACTGGCAGAGAGATCAAGAGAGACTGGTGAGAATCCCTCTGCAAGTCTTGCCTTACATTGAAATAGCCACAAACTGGGATTTAACCCTGTGGATGGTGTTCTTTCATTGAAGTGTTTCCTTTTCTTAAACAAAGCATTCTGAAAAATGCATTAGATGAGCTCTTTTCCTGCATTTACCAAACACAGCTGTTTTCAGGGGTTTGTGCTTGGGTTTACTGTTGACAGAAGTTGATCCTTACATTTTTGCCTATGGTAGGAATTGCTGGTTGTTAACAGATGGAGAAGAATATGGTTTAACACAGAACGGAACCGAACTAGGTGTCATGTTATTGTCCTTATTTTGAGCTAGACTCCTGATTATGGTTTGCAGCAGTATCAATTTCACCCTTCTTGCTTCTCAGCTACTTCACTTTCATTAGAGGAGGAGGGAGGCTTTGCAAACTCTCTGGAGATTTGTCAGTCACTATGTCTGGAGATGGATGGAGAAAATGCCCACTCCAGGGTCATTAAATGGCTTCCTGGTGGCCCTGGAAGTCAGTATTATAAGCCTTCCCTTATAAGTGGTCTGTGAGTTAAGGAACACCAAGATGGGTATGCTAGTTAGGTGTGATGCTTTTATTTGCAGTCTGTGTGTATAAAAAAAAAAAAAAAACAAAAGCAAAAAACACTTATATGTGAGTATGTATATATATGTATGTGTGTGTATATGTATAAAATGCAATTAACTACTACTTATTCTGTTCAAATAGCAAAACTTGGAACGGCAACACCAGAGGGATGAACAAAGAATTAAAGAGCTGCAGGAAATACTGACAATATTAGAAGAAAGAGAAAGAAATCTCCCATCTCCAAATCATCAGCAAGTACTGTTGTGTACCTTAAACAAAGATCGAAATGCCAAACAGGCCATGACAAAAGAAAGTGAAAAACTGCATTTGCAACAGCAGCAACAACAGCTAGAGAAGATAAGACAGCAGTTGCTTTTTGTAGCTTTGCACCTGAATGAGTTCATATATAAAACCATAGATAAGTGAGTAGTTGTTTATAAAATAGTAGTTTTCTTTCTTTCAGTCCTGCTTCTGAACTTGTGTGGGTCATGGCTGAAAGCCCTGTGCTGAAGGGAGCGAGCGGTATATCTGTTTACAAGACTTAACCTTATGTGAAACCGTGATTACGTGGTGGCAGCAGACTCTGGTTGCAGCCATTCTCATTAGAATCTTGTGTGCCTGTGTTTGAACTAGATCTGTGAAGTGATCCTGCTTAAAAAGAACGACTCCAAAAAACCCACGAGGAAGAGTTGTTTGGTTGTTTGGCAACTGCAGCAGTCTGATTAGAGAGCAATCAAAAAAACAGGTTAATCAACACATCTGCAGGTTTAGAATGGGAAACTCCATTGAACATGGCAGGGAAAAGCTAGGGGACAGGAATGAGTGGCCAAGTAACAGTAATTTCTTACTTCTTTGGCAGCAGAGTAAAATACTAGTGATGTTTTGCTGCAGCCTGAATTAGCATCATAGAATTTCAGACTGGTATAAAATTCAGACTTCTGAATAAATCCTATGTGGTACTATTTAGAAATTCTACTCTTAAAATTTAACAAATCTTGCTAATTTCTGTGTGTATTTATAGTATTTTGTGTGATGAATAGTGCATAAGTACAGCCTCAAAAGGTCATCCAGTGGGGAGAAGGAATCAAATGTTCGTTAACATTACTACAAATCAACCTAATACTGAAAAAGTATTTCTGTTTAACAGAACAGCTAATGATTGGTCTGCATCAAATGATGAAGCTGTAGCGTCTTTACTGCAGACATTAAAGGAACTAAAATCAGATTTATTGTCTCCTCCTGCATCTCAGGTAAGGAAAACAGCATATATCTGTTGGTTATCAGTAAGGTGTTTTGTATTCCTTGGGTTTCAGTACACATACAAATTGATTGATTAATTGAAGGCCCCCCCCACCCCCTGTCCGTGTTTGGTAAACATGCTGAGGAAAATTGTGTTTTGCCTTGGGGATGGAAAAAAGATGTACTCTTGTACTCACGCTGTCATTACGTTAACATATTTTAGTATCAGACTCTTGCTTTTTTGTTGTATTGCAGTCTGCTTCTGACAGCATTCTTTTTCCTAGATATGTAATATGTCCAAGGATATCAAACCCTGGGATGTGTTGCTGCTGCTTCTGTATGCATCCAGAGACAGTTGGTTTTCAGCAAATTGTCAAGTAATTTTCAAAAAGTGCAACAGTGGTTTGTCATCTCAGGAGGGGTATTTTGACTGATGGCTGCAGTATTGCAAATATTTTATACAAGCCTAGGGATTATCAAAGACTGAGCTCAGGTCTATTGATACAAAAAATATCATAAAAACATAGCTTTTAGATTCCATCTTATTCACCAGATAACTTTGCTCTATCATTTATGTCTTTCTCCCATAATAAAGAAAGATCTTCAACCATATTTCAGCTAAAATTTGGGAATTTAGGGCTAACTAACAGTCTTGGCTCTTGTTTGATTCAGCCTCTCTCTATTCCCTCACCTGCTTGATAGCAAATCCCCAGAAAACACACCTTTGAGAGAGAGTTCAGATTGTCTGGTACACAAAGAGGCTTTTGTAATTTCTGTTGTTCTCACGTGCTCTGTAATACAAGTCTGATGCATAACAAGCTGGCATGGCATAGTGCAAGCTCTTCCTGTGTCTAACTGCGTACAAAACACAGTAAATGTTCTCCTTCTATCGCCTGTGCAGCCACTTGGGTGGTTGCCAAATGGATCACCTCCAGCCCTGAGGAGGGGGATGTAACCTCTTCCCAAGTACGTGTTCATCGAGTTATTTTGATTAAGGCTTCCTCTCACAAAGCTTTAGAGCCCTCTGCTGTGGACAAAATGCTCGGAGAGACTGGTGGGGGGGAACCAGACAACCTTATGGCTCTATTTAATTCTGACTTGTCAGAACTCCCTCCAGAGCGGAACTGTTTTTCTGGCTCAGCTCCCTCCAAGTTATTACTGTACTGGAAAAGAAAAAATAGTTTGGGTTGTTTGTTTTCCCTCTGATGCCATTAGGTCTTCTGCGTTAGAAACTCTGTTGCAAATACTTTTCACAACTTCTAGGTTTTCCAGGGCCTCATCACCATCAATTAGCAGGCCCCTTAACATTAAGCCAGTGAATGCCATGCAGAATAGCAGTCCATTCTCTTGTTGGACGAGACTTTGCAATTGCTTGCTCCAGGGACTATGACCACACTAAAATGAAGGGACTCAAGTTTTCTGACTTAAGTTTGGCTTAAAAAAAAGAGTTTAGTGAAGCACTCTAAAGACATACGCCTTTCTATAGCTTAGAGGGCAAAAACTCTTACCTTGATGTCCTTTTTTCTGTGGGCACAAATGGTCTCTCCTCTCTGCCCCCTTTTCAGGCTTTGATTTTTTTTTTTTCCCAGACTCACCTCCCATTTCAGTCTCCTCCCTGAATTTCTCCTTCCTCTAAGGTACTGACCACTTGCTCTGGAGACCAAAGGAATTTACTGCTGTTACCCCCTTGAGTTGTGATAACTTGGGGACTACTAGACAGGGAAACTGGCAAAATGCCAAAATGAAAAATCTGTGCCAAAATAAATATGGAGTCCACTGGTCAATCAAATGCCAACTGGTGCAGTAGTAATCAAGTGGGTAGATGGATCATGTAGAACTCATCAGATATTGCAAGTATCTGTTACTGCCTTCAAATTGAGCTTTTGTAGGTCTGTAAAATGCCTGGGATGGTGGGACCGTAGTCCTTATTGGGATGCTTGCTGAGGAGGCCAATATAAAGCAGCTTCCCTCCATTTCAGTATGGTACAGATGGGTTTTGTTTCCCTTGTTTGAACTATTTTTAATAATACTTACCTGAAGTGTGTTTTGTATCTGAATTCCTTATCTCTGCCCTTGTTCTCAAAATGCTCTTCTGACCCACCTTGGTGTGTGATAATGGCCCAACTGCCCTGCCAGTGAAAGCTGTGTGTAGGGAAACACGTGCTTTAGTTTAAAAAAGTTTCAGTGTAAAATCCTGAAATTGCATAGAACATCTGTGAATTAGATAATAAGTACAGGACAAGAGTTTAACTTGGACAGAAATAAATATCTAATTTCAAAACAGTACTGAAGGTAGTAAAAGGTTCTCGCAGCATGCTGAGAAGTGGAGAGCCTTTGCTTTCTGAAATCTTAAAGAAGCTGCAAAGTCAAAAGGGAGGGCAGTGGATTATGTGCCCTGAAGGTATGGATAGCATTGGAATCCCCGTTTGTCGCTGTCTATATTGCAGGCAGTAAAAAGACTTAGATGGCTGTGGTTTATTGAAGTTTATTAAATAAGATTTTTTTACTGAACGAGTTGTGCTCTTCACAGAAGACAAACATAAATGGCATGTGTTAGTGTATTAAGGTATTGATAAGAAATAACTTCTGAAAAAGTTCAAACTTCTAATAAGGTTGTACTAAAACAAGTTGCTAGGAGAAATTGGGGTCGGTTGTGCGTACTGGCTTGTCTAATGTGTAGATTTTATTTCAAGGGATAAAACATTAACCGCCTCAAAAAAAAAATCTTTTATTTCTCTTGTGATCTGCTGCATCACACACTGATGTAACTGTTGACCATTAAAATGATAGTTGATACGAAGAGGATTATGAAGGCAGAACTTCTGCAAAGAATTGGACCTGGAGTTGTGGTCTCGTTCCTACAAGAGATGACTTACTACAAAACTGAATTTCTCAGAATTGAATGTGATTTTTTTTGGAATTTACTTCTGTAGATGCTTCACAACATGTTTTTGTGCATGCATGTACACACACATCTTTCTTCACGGTTTCTGTGCTGCCTGTGGAAGAAAACCAGATGATTTGTTTCCATTTCCAAGTGTTTGGAGACTCTGTTATCAAAGGAAATGGGATTCCTGTAAAGCTGATCAGACAGATCTATAGAGAAGGGGTAGCTTGATTAACAATTAATTTGATACTTCTTAAGAAGGGCTGCTTGTGTGTTTCAGTTTCCCATCCTACCGTTTAACACCCGAATGCTGATGCTGATTTTCAGGCTTGTTATTTTTATGTTTCAGTTTGTCCATAAAGTTAGGTAATTACTCAGTTTGAGATGTTTGGCTGTGGAAGTAATGTGCAAAAACCTTCGTGGCTCACTTCCTTTGGGTTTCTTTTTTTTAGATCAGATCTATGGATGATACTGGCTCTGTTCAAGAACTGGAAAGAGATGCTTGGCAGCAAGAGAGAAACATTTTGCAGAACGCACTGAAACAGGCTGAATCCAAACTGGCTAAAGTGACTGGTGAAATTGAAAACAAACCAGTGGTAGAAACTTCCAGTCCTAAGGTAAAATGATCACAATGGCCAGCAAATGGGCTGTCTGGAGCTTGGTGCGTGAGCAATACCATAGTCATTAGCATGTCATCTAAACCTTTGGCACTTGGTTTGCTTTCACTATCTTGCCTGCTGTACAGACTTGCTGTGTGAGAACTGTTACCAGCTCAAGATCATAAAACTTCTGGAGAGTTCAGTCCTTGGTAGTATTGTTCTTGGGCATTGCCTAAGGGATTAATGTCACATGTAGAAGCGGTAATTTAGTAATTCTATTTTTTCTAATCAATATGATAAAACTTGCTGTTGCAGAGGAGCCAGGAAGTGTACAGCTCAGATTTCTGGGGATATAAGTATCCGTCAGATTATGGCATTTAACTTACACTTAGCGCTGTAATCTTTTTCAGTTGCTATTTTAAAAGGTGATCTTATAGATTAACAGTTTTATAAACTGCATATTAAATTAGGAACACTTTTCCTATATGTCCCTTATCAGAAAAGTTCCTCTGTAACTTTCTTGGTGTTACAACAGGAACTTAACTTACACCTAAAGTAACCTAGCTCTTTGGAATCCCTTTCTACTCTTAAATGAGAGCGAGATTCAGATTTCATGTCTAACCATGAAAATATCAAACATCCATTATTTTTAATTTTTTTTCCCCCTAATCTTAAATACTTTTTATTCCTCTGACACATTTGATTGTAATAAAGTCTGATGGGCACTTATACCAACATGCATATTTATTTAAAGCAGATCTTATTTTCTTGGTTAAAGAGTTAAACTGTTTTAGAGTTTTGGGTATGACAATTTTGCTTTGAAACATTCAGGAGATTTAAAGAAGTCTGACACTCCAAACTCGGGTGCTTTTTAGCTATGTGCAGAATTGTTCCAGCTGCCCTTGTGTCTGCAGTATGGATGTTTGACATGAGGACAGCTTGTTTATAGCTGGTTTGTTTTTGTTTGTTTGTTTGTTTTGGGGTTTTTTTGCACATCAACCAGTAACCATGCCAAAATTTTCCAGACTAGCCAAGTCCTTCATAGACATACAGAAATTCATTAGACTTGGTACAAGCCTCCATGTATGGTGTCCAAACTGCTAGAGTGTAATACCACTACTTTGCACCAAAACTGGCCAAGTCACAGTCTTATACTAATACTTGCTCAAAATTTCATTTTAGAGATAAATGTGCACCGTTTCCATACTTCATAATTATTAACTAACTTTCTACAATTGTGTAAAGCAAAATAGGTTTTAAATACCCATGCACAACCAAGTTGTTGGAGATACTGCTGGACAAAGTTACCAACTGTTGTGGGTTTTCTGTAGCTAAATCTTACCCCCTTGGATTTTTTTCTTTTTTTTTTTTTTCCCTTTCTCCAGTTGCAGAGATTATATAGGAAGTACCTTAGAGCAGAGAGCTTTAGAAAGGCTCTAGTTTATCAGAAGAAATACCTCTTGCTGCTTCTCGGTGGATTTCAGGACTGTGAGCAAGCAACTCTCTCTCTAATAGCACGTATGGGAATCTACCCCTCACCTGCAGACCTGCAGCTTTCTGGATCACGTTCCCGTCCTTTTACCAAGTTCAGATGTGCAGTCAGGGCAATCATCGCAGTATCAAGGTAAAGCCAAAACCCTCATCGTCTCTTATATATGGTGTTTTCTTGGAAATGTTAAAAATTGATAGTTCCTAAGGTTTATGCTACATTAATATTGAGCAAAAGCTATCTCCAAAACTAGTTCAAACATGATTTGTTAGCTATAACTTTGGCTAAACTGCTGTTTCAGAGTCAGTGCTAAGTTGGATGCGTACTAAACTAAAGCTTTATAGAAAGCTGCTTCTGTCCTGGGAGATACCCAGCTGCAATGTATTTGAGAATGAGCGCACAACAATGACAAACTGATGTCCTTTCAGGTCTGACCGTTAGCTGTTTGGACTCACTGGATAGTCTCTCTTGTATCAGAATGTGATCATGTCATCAGTGATGGGTTTTCCTCTCTTGAATCCTGTAGCCTGTGTTTCATTGGGTATGATTCTATCATACTCTGTCACTTACTATCAAATGGATTTTGCTAGCTGTACTTGGGACAATATGCCATCTCATAATGGCTTTTGAGTCCATGTAATGAAAAGAATAGTTTTAAATGTAATAGGTGGTTACTTCTGGGCAATTTCCTTGTCTAGTAAAAATGATTACTAGCAAGTTTAAGACTTTCAGGAGGTGGCACAGGATGTCTTTAGGCTGTTGACTTTGATGTGGATGCTATAATGATAGTGATATCAAAAGATGTAGGAACAGTGACCTCCAGACTACTCTAAGGCAGGAAGAGCTGCTACAGAACTCTCTGGAGATTAGGGACAGAGTGGAGGAGCGGTGACAAAACGAGCAAGCTTCTCCAACAGTTAGAGGATTGTTGCAGAGTAAAATGGGATAAGCCTTCGTTCTAAAGACTAAAATTGAAGAATTCTTCTTCCATTCCTGCAAGGATTGTTACTTACATTGTTTAATATGTTTCATGCCAACAAAGAGTTTAATATTAAAATTCAGTTTATTTTTGTGTATTTTTAATGATTGTACAAACTTATTTTGTTACTAAGGTTAAAGTTTTTGGTGAAAAAGTGGAACAAAGTTAACAGGAAGAACGGACAGGGTGAAACCTTTTCTCACAGTATAGGAGGAAATACAAGTAAGTGTGTTAGACAAGTACATTGTTTTAATCACGATTTCTCTTTAGTGATGTGTTTCATTTAAAAACAAAAACAAAAAAATAGCCACAGAAGTGGCAAAATCTGTTTATCTGTTAACACAAATGTGTTTATTCATTTCCTGAACACAATGATTATGAGTTTAGAAGGACATTGTAAGAAATGACAATTGAAAACTTTTCAGAATTTGTAATTTACAACAATGGTGAGCTCCTCTTCTTCTCCCGTTATTGCAACTGCTCAAGCTGCAAAACCGAGTCCTGTGTTCATAAAACTCATCAGAGAATTGTGTGGTACAGTTTGAAGCTACCTGTAATGGAAATTAATGCCCTGATTTATTAATAAGGCAAGGACAAATACTGCTGCAATAGTATTAAAACAGGTACATGCGGTATTAAAATAAGTCTTAGAAGTGGTGTACTTGTTTGTGTTACCGGAGGTGAAAAAGGGGGTTTAAGTGGTTCCAGAGGTTCAGAGGAGACTTAATCTGATGGCAGATATCCCATAACTATTTCCTCTGGAGTTTAAGTGCTATCAAAGATGACAAACTGGAGTGGATGGACAGGTGGAGGTGGTCTGATGCAGTTCAGTAAGGACTGTGTTCCTTTGAGTTACTTACGGATTTGGTTGTAAGAATTCGGACAAACATCTTAATGCAGTACCCAATATTGTGGAACTGTCCCATTTTATGTAATATTCCATTACTTGTGGCTTTTTAACACTGAACAAAATTCAGATGAAATAGTGCATTTTTCATTACCTGGTACTACGTAATTTTCACTGTTCTAAGTTCCTGGAAATACTTATTTAAAAAAACAAAACAAAACACAAAAAAACAAAAACACAAACCAAAAACTTCCTACATAAAACCATTGTGGTGTGGTTCATGTGAAACTTGAATCCTGAAATGCATGCTGAACTCTCTACTTTGGTACAAAATAGCATCTTGGCATCCTCATAAAAAAATATTTTGTTTCTTTTTTATTTAAAGGACTTATCTACAGGGGTTTTTCTTTTTTAATGAAAACAAACCGACACCCCCTCCCCCCAAGCCTTCACCAAACCAACCCCCAAAAATGTCTACCTTTCTCTGCTGTCTCTAAAGTTGGAGAGTGTAAGTCAACACTAATATATAGTTAGAGCAAACAACAAGTATTAAAATTTCTTGAAAAAATATTTTGCTCATATCAGAGCCTCCCATGTGGATATAGCAACAGCTACTGAAAAAGCGAGTCTGGAGAAAGAAAATGGTGCACATTCTGCATTTGCAGGAAGCAGTTGTTCGACATTAAAATGTCAAACTTCTGTTAAATCTGGTTAAAACAAACAAAAAAAGCCAAACCAAAAAGCTGTGGAAAGTGTATTTTAGCTGCATTTAAAACCAAACACAATCGTATTGTGCTGTAATTTGTGGGGGTTTTATTGGTTATGTTTATGATAGCCTGTTTTGAATGGTTCCCAGTGCATATTTTTTAACTGTTTCATATTTAACACAGCCTCTGGTGCTAGAACAGAAATTCTGAAAGAGCAGCAGCCCCCAGCTGTTCACGTCGGCTCTCCCCCCACCCGGGACACCGGGCTGTGCCACAGAACCAGCTCTGCAAGAATTGTGAGCCACTCCCCCAGATCCTCTTACTGCTTGCACAACAGGTCAGTCTGCAGCCTCTGCCTGTGTTTGATCACCCCAATAGACAGTCTTTCATAAAAATGTAACCACTTATTGGAGGGACGTACTTGAACAAGAAGAGGAATTTGTTTTCTTAGATCTGGTAAATGTTTCTTTCTTTCAGGATGCTACAGGAGAAGAAAACTTCTCATTTGCTTTAAGCATGTCTGATGTTCTTGAACCAAGAGCATTCCTAGTGGTGTTTCCCAATTTAATTCGGGCAGGCTACAGGATTTACAATGGCTATGTCTGTTATCCTTTGAGGGGTAATTCTTGTTGCCTTTTTTGTCCAAGTTGGAGATTAATTTCTGAGCATCCTGCAGAAGCGGCTCCCCTACCATATGACAGCACTGCATTAGTATTAGCTGCCTTCAGACTCTGCATGCACACGGAATGGCAGGTGGAGAGCTCACAGGGTGTGTGGTGGTGCAGTTTTTCATGAATTGCGGCCGGTTCTGCACGCAAATACAACGCCAGCTACTTGTCACTGGGTTGGATATCACAGGTGACATTCTGCACAGTGCTGCTAAGACAATGCCTGAGCCGCAAGCTCTGCGCTTGAGTTGGAGGAGGGTGGCCCTCAGTCATTACTGGCCTTCCCGCTCCCAGGACTCTCCCTGGGACCCGGAGTAAGCTTGGGCACTGCGTAGCCCGTTACTGGGTGTAGCATCTCTTCTCCCAAGCCACTCCTTGTATGTGGCTTCCTCCTTAAAGTCAGGATTTGCAGGAGTTGATGTGGAAGGTAGCTGTTCTCAGTCCCACCAGCTTGGGACGTTTTTTTGTTTCTTAACCTCCTTGCTACATTTAGAAGCTTCAACCAGCAGGCAAGAATTTTCTTCATAAAGAAAAAAAGAGTAGCAAGGAAGTAGCTGTGGTGATCTTGAGGTACACAAAGACAGCAGATGCTCCAAACTGTTTTAGGTTTTTTAACATTGCTGATTGATTTGGGGGACAGGAAGGACACGTAGTGTTCTGGTTTGCATAGAACTTAGCAAAACATTTTGGAGAGTTAGAGACCCGCAAGCATTTCTCAAAAGACTTAATTCTACTCCACCCTGTTCCTCTGTCATGGCATGTATCTGGGTCTGACAGCCAGAAAGAGCAGGTGGCAGCTTACCTATCAAGAAAAGTCATCTGTTTTGTATGGAACAAGGATATGAATAATAGTACGCCCTGACTGATCACTCAGTGTGACTGGGTTAGTGGTAGCTCAAGTCAAACGTGGATCTGAGTGAGGTTAAACGATGCCTGTTGCTGCTTTTCTTTCCTGGCAAAGCTATGCAGAAGGAAGGGGCGGATAGGAACTACCTTCCTCTAATGAAAAGGTGCAGGGGAAAGGAATAAATCCTAACTCTAAATAGGAGTGTGTTTGCACAGTGTCCCCTCCAATTTGTATTTCTGCTAATATTTGAAATTTGTTGTTAATGTTCAGAAAGGAAACACAGTGTGTGTAGCATCTAAAGGGTCCCCTTTTCCTACCTTGTCCTTCGAGATAGCATTTTACCTGCTGAACCAGAGAGTACGCACCTGGATGCAGCATGCTCCTCTTAAGTCCTTTTCCACAGAACTGGGTCTTTTCTCACTTGACCATTTGGACTTGCCTCTGGCTGCAGCTTTCCTACCTGAGGGACTGTGTGTTACGTATCAGTAGAGAGAGATTCATAGATACTCTAGTTTTTATCAAAATGTCCATTCTTTTGACTCCCCTGTATACAAAGCTGCCCGGTCTATATTGTTTTATATGTAACTTTTTCGGTGGTGATGGGTTTTACTGTTGTTCTAGTTTGCTTTGCGCTGAATTACTGCCTATATGAATGTAACTTTATTATATTCATTTGAGAGTATAGCATGAGAAGAAAATAATTTGTTTTCCTTTTTAAGATTGCATCCATCCACAAGTGCAGCTTCAGAAAAGTCACTTGTGCCTACTCAGGATCCTGAGCAATCGCTAACAGAATACATCCATCACTTAGAAGTTATTCAGCAAAGACTAGGGGGTGCACAACCAGGTAAGAACCACCTCATTAGCCCTCACAGCTTCTAGCAGTCTGGGCTGCTTTTTACAAGGTTCTTCCTATGTATTGCCTGTAACACTTAAAGCATGTAAAGAGCATCATTTTAATGAATAGTTATAATTGGGGCGGGGGGGATTAAGTAAGTTTCTGAAATGAAACTTTTTTGTGATTCATATCTAAAACTAGTTCAAGTGTGGCATTTCTCAAACTAAGGTCTTAGTGAAATTCTTCAGAGATAAGACTGAGCAATTTCATGTGATTTTGCCCCACCCGCCCTTCCTGTTATCAAGTCTAAATAAGCAAGTGTTGTAGTTTAAATGAAGTTGTGTATAGAGTTAATTTGCTTGAAAGTCAGAGAACCATTAAAATAACTGAACAGGGCTTTTCCTGCAGCACAAACCATAATACTTCCCTTATTCTTTGCTTTCTTATATTCCATTGCAGATTTAAAAAAAAAAAATTGGAGGCTGGTAAAAACAGCCATCTAGTTCTCAGATTGATTGAAGAGCACACAAAGAATTGTAGTGGCACTTATCTTTGCTATTTAAAACACTTCTACCTAATTTCTAGACTGAATTTACTTTAATCTTCTAGTTAGTCGCTTGTGTTATATCTATCACAGAAATTCCTTGTCCCAAGGAAGAACTTATAAATTGTCATCATGTCATCCTCAAATAATCTCCTGTCAAGATATGATTAGATGTGTTTTTCCAATGTTTTGTTATTTTGAGACTCATGTCTCAGCCTTCTCCGGTGTATTAGTATCTCTGGATTGTGAAAACAGAGCTGGACCCTCCAGCTGCACTGTCATTTGTGCCAGACCAAATACAAAGATAACTTGTTCCTTGTTTATACATGTAACCATTGTGTTGCAGGGGCAGCCTCCTTCTGCCTGCCTTCCCCACTGCAGGGCAGCAACATAAATTAAACTGCAATGTAATATTTACAATATCCACGCACACACACACAGGGCCTGCGCAGACAGCCTGTGCCATGGCTATGCCAGGGGAAGTCCTGCTCCAGCACACCGATCCCAGCAGGTGACTGGGGGAGGGCACCTGTGGTAGCTCACATCACTGATAAGGATGGGATCATCATCACCACGGTCCACATTGGGGTGTAACAAAGAGCTTTGTCCCAGGCCCAGGGAGAAGCACAAAGCTCCAGCGCTGCCTCCTCTTCAGAGGTTCTTGAGGAGCCAGCTGACAGCTATTCTTCCAGGGCCTTTGGAGCATCTTGCCCAAAGCTTGCTTCATCCATCCAGGTTTATGTTGCTAGTTTCCTGGTCTGAGCTAATACGGGCCACCAGGTCAGATAATGCCATGGACGTTTTCATCAAACCTTTATCCCTTTCATCTGCTATGGCTGGTTCCCTCCTCGTGTGACTTCTGGCTGCTCATCCACACAACCAGTTTATTTTGTCATGCTACTTTTGGGTGACTATGGTGCTTGATGTCTAAGCAAGCACTGACTACTTCCTTCCACCCACCTCCACCCTTGGCTCTCCACAATTTCAGCCAAAAGCTGGGAAGATGACTGGGTAGATATTTGGCTGTGGCGCTGTGGGGGGGCCATGTGCATTCCTTCATACATTGCACATACACATCTTACATATTTCTTTCACTAAGCATAACCATTGTCAACTGCTGTTTCCCAGGCAGACTTGTCTACTGTAACTCTCTTTCAGCCTTTGCCCAAAGATGTGTGCCTTTATATTGGTTGTGCCGAGATGAGAAAAATATTTTACCATATCGGGAAAATCTCTGCCAGTCACCAGTACTCTTACTGCTGGCCACTCCTCTGGTCTGTATCGTCAGCAGATCATCTCTGTGGTGATTTTTAGGGGAGAAAGGGTGGGGATTGGATCACTGATCACAGTATTGAATAGTGACTCTTGGCCCTGCAGTCATTGCAGATGCTCATTCAAATTGCATCAACCATGCTGGCTCCTCAGCAGTATCAGATTTGAACATTTAATCTACACTGTAGAGGTGCTGCATTGCTCTCATTCAGTTTGCCCACAATTTATAAAAGGCATTATTAATTGTGACTGCTGACTTTTTACAGCTTTTGGAAGAATAATGATTCTTAAGTTAACTTCTGAGGCAAATCTTTTATGATTACATGTTGTATTCATAACACATTTTTAGTGTTAACATTGAAAAATTAAACTTGAAAATTATGTGTTTCTCCAGAAAGAGAAGAATCTTGGCTTTGTCAACATTCACAGGAGCCTGGTATAGCTGGACAACAGCTCTGGGGAAAGTCTAAAACATTGCCTGTTTTTTCTGGTGCTCTGAGCTCATCTAATTTAAAAAAAATGCTAGCTTTGCTTACAAATCCTAGTCTTGCTTATATCACTAAAGTCAACAACTACAGTGACACTTCCATATGGGAACTTTGACATTGTTCTCAGCAGGGTTTTACCTAGAAACCTTAATACCATGACTCTGTGTTTTTTTGTTTTGGTTGGTTGGTTGGTTTCTTTTTTTCACCCAAATACTGCAATTGTTTATGGCAGGTATAGATAGATAAACAAATTTTAGAATTGAAACCTGACAGCATTTATAGAAGTAAGATATTTTGCTTTATGCTAAGTGTGGAATAAGTATTCCACAACTGGGACACTGTTAATAGCAATTTTGTGGAAAGTGCGTGCCATTTTTCTAATTTTCACGTTACCAGAATGATGACGTCAGGAATTACAGAATGATGTTGCAGCCTTTAGAACAGTGCTGTGAGCAAAATGATTTCCCAGTTTCTAATGAACTTTAAAACATCTACTCAGCAACAAGACCTTGTCCAGCACCAGAATGTATATCGAGTCGTTGCAAGAGTGGTGGGGTTGAACTGAGCAGCCCTGTTGCTGTGTGTAAAGCAGGCCTGCAATGGAGCACTGGCCTTAGTGTGTGAAGGGTTGCTTTGGCAGACGTGTGAGCTTTCAAATCTTGTTTTGTATTTTTCCTAGGTGGCTCATGAAAATGGTAAACGCTTTCAGTGTAGCTCATGTGAAGCACACTGAGGAAATTACGTGCTGCTAACTGCACCCTGTTGCTTCACAACACAAGCAGTTTTCTAATATTCATTTGTTTTATTTAAATTTAGGACAAGTTCCAGGCCCAGCTCGCCAGAGAAACATGAAAAAGTGATGAGAATGCTTCTGAAATCTGTACTGCGACCCCACCCAGTCACTGCTTCCTTCTGAGTTGGTCCATACTGAATGGAGGCACCTGCAATCTCTTGCGCGACTGAATAAAGGGCAGTGCTTTTGCATCAGATTTTTATATGACACTTTTTATGATATTTTAGTACTTTAAGAGGAAATTACTTTTCACTAAGAACAATGTTTTACATTCTCATGTGAAATTACTACTAAGTTAACAGCTGAAGTGTGCCTGCATCACTGCATTGTAAGTTGCAAAGTCTCTTTGGTGTTTATTTTTCTATAGTGTATAGCTGGATTCCTTGTAAAAAAAGTTATCAAAATGGCATTTTATTAGTGAATTCTTGCATTGTCATCATTATTTGTTTCCACCTTACCTATTTACTTTTTTTGCTGTTCCAATTGTTTGTGTTTTAATATTTCTGTAGGCTCATTCTGACTAACAGAACAGCTAAAACACTCTCCCAAATATCAAAGATATGTGTAGCCTTCTGTGAATTTTGGGTTTGCTCTTCTAGTTTTACAATAAATAAGTCCTCCCTCCCTCAGTCTTTCTCATCACATTCCAATTCAGTGTCAAGCCACCACTCCTTGAGCTCTTCTGTGACGGAGCTATGCATGCATGATGTATTTGGTCTGACTGAATTCATGCAATATAATTAATCTGTGCCTACTCAGGAAGTCAAATGCATGTTAGATTTTCCTCCAGTGTGACCATTGCCTATCAGACTGATCTTTCCAGCCATGACCTTGACTCAGTATCAGAGCAGTCCTTCCAGTTTCCTCTCGTGTTCCCTCTGGCGCAGTAGTGCATACAGCAGTATCTGGTTCTTCCCCCTCCCACCACCACCGCAACTGAGCAGAGCTTTGGGGGGAAATTGCCTCAGTGTTCAACGTATGGTATTTCCACGCAGTACAGGATGTCTGCCCTTACTGTGCTGCAGGTGTGTCCTGTTTGGTGTGTGTCCTGCACCCTGCTCCAAGTGACAGCTTGGGCAGGTATCTTCTCTCACTGCCCTGTCACAACCAGCTACTAGTGTGCTGGGTTGTATTTGCTGATGATTTCAATAAAGGTAATGGGTGCTAGTCCACATACGAGCAAACCCATGCTGGAACTAGTGAGGTAGAAGGGCACTGATCCAGAAGGCTCTGTTACAAGTAGTTTGGAAATGGCTGAAGTCAGCTGGCTGCACCCTTGCCTCTCCCTCAACTTACCAGAGACTCCAAGAGAGTAGTCTGAAAAGGAGCTGCTTCTGACACTTGGCAAACTGGAGCATCTGTGTTACAGAAATGCTTACGTGTTTAGGAACTTGAAAAAAACGAATTGTTTCTGAAGTAGATTTGGATTAGACTGGTGTTTATAAATGGGAAAATAAACAAGTCAATGCAGGAAAGCAGAAATTCAGTTCATTCTAAAGTGCAAATAGATGGGATAGAAGAGAAATAAGTAAAGCTTACAAGCACTGAATTAGAAGCTCCTGATTGCAAATCCTAGCTCTGCCCAGTACCTTGTGCTGTAGGTACCTTTCTGGAGGTGTGTATTAAGTTGCTGGTCAGAGAAGAGAAAAGAGGCAGCATTCTGGTGGTATACCCATTTCCAGTCATAAAGTATCACAGTGCAAAAATATTCCAAATATGATGCTAAATAAGACTTCTTTCTGTGATATTTACTTGTGGTATTTGTTGTCATGATATTTCACAGAAGCCAAGTGCTTCTTGGGATAACCCTAGATTCATTCTTTCTTTTTCTCTAGAAAAAGTATAGGCTGAATCATAACATCAGAAGAGCATACATGGTGTTTTAACTTTTGGGTATTGCAAAAATCTCTTCTGGAGGCAGATTATTCTACTACAGCCTATTAAAAGATTTTTCTCTACAGGATATTTGACAATTGGATATTGGCCTTTGTCCGAGATTGTGCGGAGGAAATGCTGCGGAGCTTTAGTACCAACCCTCGGTGAAGAGTCTCTGCTGGAGTTACTGGACTGCCCCTCGTACTGGTGGTCCTCAACAGGTGCTTCTGTCTCTGGGTTGATTGGAGCCTAGCTCATGCAGCGCTGTACCTGACAAGTCTGTGTATTTTTATCGTTCAGTGGTCGTAGCATCCAGGGTATTCCTGAGTCACTGGCAGGCTGGGAGCATGGCCAGCAGGCAGGATGCTGCATGATTCAGGCTTGGGAGACCGCACAGCCGCCCTGAGGCAGTCCTGTAACTTTGGTGGTGGGTGCTCCTGCTGCCTCTGCTCTCTGCCTGGCTGCCCTTTGGGGAACCCTTTGCTGGGTTCCTTGGCTACTTGCCAGACTACCTGTTCCAGAGGCAAATGTGTCTGTGGGAGCTGGGAGCCGTGTGGTGCTTTGCAGGTGACCTTTGGGCCAGCCCCTGAAGAACTCATGCTGGATACATCACAGATGGCATCCTGGCTCTTCTGCACGCAACTGGTACCTTGCTGCCTTCTGGATGTTGGCAAGACCTTTCCCAATGCCTGCTCTTACCCTTAGCAAGCTAGCACTGTGCCACCGTGCTAATTCTTTAAACTTTTGAGAACGTTTATTTGGCCAGCTGAAAGTTATATTAAAAAAGAAAGTGGCAATGCAGCTAGCTAGCTTTGGAAGTTAGCTTCGGGCTTCTCATTGGTATTGTTTTAACGGGTAAGAAATATCCTTTTACTTGAGCAAAAAGGTGCTAGGTGACCTGCATGGAAGAGGACATGAAGGGTACCATGTATGGGAGGATCCCAGCTGTGCTGCTGCAAGGGGTGACTCAAGAGTCTGGTTCCACAGTCCCTGGTAACTGTCCTACACAGGGGTCAGGCCAGTGCGCACATGTGACCCGTCTGTGCGATGTTACCTTGGCGCGGGTACAGAGTATGTTATTCTATGATGGCTATAGGAGAACCTATTACCTGATTGAGCATAAATTTAAGAGGGCCATGAGCAATTAGTACCCAATTTAGTATAAAAGCTAGCCAAAAGTAACTTCACTCGTCCAGAGTTCCAAACCAATTTGAACTGAGTAAGTTTATGCTGGATCAGTAACTGTATCCTGTTTCTTTCAAAAATCTGATTCTAGGAGTCTTAACGTTAGATGTAGCATTCTGTCAAACTGCACACTCTGAATGGTGTTGGTGTCCTTTTTGTTTAGCATAGCATGAGTTTATTCTGTTATAAATAACATGCGTTTCTAGATGAGAATTCAAAACTGGCACTAAATCAAATCTGTAATTTCACACTCACACCTGAACTGCACTTTTCATTTTGACTTTGTAAGCAGGAGCGCCTGGACTTGTAATGAGCCAGTAAGTAGTGACATTGCAAATCTAAATTAATGACTAGTTTTAAAATCTGGCACTTTTAGGTAGACAATAAAAAACATCTTTTAAAAGACAAAAAGTAAATTTTATGTGTGTGTAGTAAGTTAGTTTCCCAGCATGCCCTGGTGTTTGTAGGCTGGCACATCATAAGGATCAGTTCTGTTGCAAGTGAACTTGGCTTTGCATTTGCACATTTCTAAATCAATCTACAGTGTAAGTAATTTAACATCCCAAAGTTTTACTGCTCTTCAGTCAGTCACTGACAGCGTGAAAAAGATTCAAATAGTGCCTTAGTGTGTACACAAAAGCCCTAGGAACAAACACTATTTTCCCTTAGCACTTTGCACCAGATGCAAGCATAGTGGAATAGTGGATAATTTAAGTGTTCCTATGCATAGTCTATTTCATCCTTCTCAGAAATGAGGACTATGAATGAGGTAAGGCTGGCTGTTAGCAATTCACCTCAAGGCAACAGGAGCTATCAGTAACTTGATGCATTGTCTGCTGAGGCTTCCCCAGCCATGCTCCCCCCACCACCCGTGGAAGCCAAGCACTCGGCACCCACTGAACGGCAGGGCTTTTCCCCAGCCTCTGCCCAAGCCTCTGCAGGGATTGCGTTCTGCTGTGCATTGAGGTAGAACCTTTCCATGACAGTCAGTGCTGTATAATTCCCCTGCCTTGCCTCTTCCCTTCATAGAGGCCTCTTGCCCCACAGGTACCGAAGTCACCCCTCTGAGATGGTCTCCTTGGGCGTTCTCTGTTTCCAGAAACACAGGCAGGATGTGGGGGGTAGGAGGCAGATGCTCAAGCCCCCTATCCAGAAAAGAAATCTGGAGAAGAAATCAAGCCTGTCAGTCTTTCAGGATCTGTGAGCTATAGTTAACATGTTGCCTGCTTTTCCGAAGGACTGTGGAAGCACTGTGGCAGAAATGTTTCTGCCCAGTGTAGGGTGGTAAAATTTTTAATAGCGTGGCTTTCCAAGGACTGGTGTGCTGTCTCTGTGCCCTGTGAAGGGCAGTCAAACAGGACATGCTCTCTTGTGATGTGTTGACCTCAGCAGTATGAGCAGAGAAGTCAGAGGCTGAAGCAGTTCAGGACTGGGTAGGAAAAGAAGAAGAGAGAGGGCAGGAGCAGAAGGAAAGGGAAGGAGAAGCAAGGACCAGATGTTGGTAACAGAGCAGACAGTGGCTGATCCTCTATGTCATTTTTTGGTAATCTTCCCTGAATGGAGCATGAGTAGAGATTCTCCCACTGCTGCAGTGACCTGGAATATCTGCCAATGCAAATGTCTGCCTGTCTCACACTGAGCTATGCTACAGTGTGCCATCGATCCACTTTTCACAGAATACAAACATGGTGCTGGCGGCAAACACGAATACCATCCCGTCTCTTGCTGCTTGGAGACCTGCAGCCCTGAACTGTCCCCTTGTTTGAAGGTTGTACTGTACTGTGGATGCTGGGATGCTGTGGGATGTGACCCCATGCTAACCCATGTGAAACCCCTGTGATTGTTTTATACCTGTCATGTATGGGAGCAAGAACAGTGTTCACGTAATGCCTTCCTCAGCAGCCAGGTGTCCTGTTTCCAGATTAAACAAACTCAGCCTCTGTCATTCTCCTGCCAGCTCAGGAGCAGGGTCCATAGGGATACGAGGTGCAGTGCTGTAGCCATGCTCTTCTGCAGCACTGCACTCAGGAGGGGAAGATGCAGAGAAAACGCTTACTTTGGAGGCGTGGGAGGGCTGCATTGCCCCTGCCCCACGTGTGATACCAACACAAGCCTGGTCACTCTAACAGGGAGAGCTGTTTCTGACAGAAGTAGTTGTTAGGGAAAAAACTTCTCCACAGATTTTTTCTCTACTTCCTGGCTCCAGGCAAGTTATTGTTACTGGCAGAACAGTCCCTGGGGTCAGGAGCACTGGCAAGGTCCAGCATTTGCCTTTGCATGAGTTTGGGGGGGGGCTGCAGGAATGCCAGAGGAAGATCATGCCTCGGTATCCCGCCACCCGTTCCCCCTGGAACCTGCGGTTAAACTGGGGGAAGCCATTGCATCGATGCAGGCTCCAAAACAAACGTTTCCTGCGGGTCTCTGTAGTGCCCTTCAGAAGCGGTTGAAAAGACAGCCTTTTTTTCCTTAACTTCACGCAGGCCCAAGCACCGCTTTACATCCAGGCTCTCGCGTTTCCAGGTGCTCACGCTGTAATTCTACTCCACGAAAACCTCCGTGCCCCCTCCCGGGAAACGCCGTGAGCAGGGTGGGCCCCGCGGCTCTGCCGTTTTTACCGTTTTCTGTGGGGAGGGAAGTGCAGTTTCGGTATTTTCAGAAGGGGACGCAGCACCAGCGCGCAGGGGAGGGCAAGGACAGCAGCTCGACGAGGGAGAGGGCGGGTCGTGCCGAGCTCCCTCCGAAGCGGCGGGACCACGGGGGGGGGGGGGGAGCTCCCTGCCCTCACCACCGGGGGGCGCACGCTCCCAGGGCAGCTCTCGGCGAGGGCCTGGCGCTAACATCGGAGGCAGGCCCGGCCCCACCGGGCTCCGTCTGCCCCCGGCGCTCCGCTCCGCTCCGCTCCCCTCAGCGGCGCCGCCTCACGCCGACGGAGCCGCCGGCGGCCGC